CTTCTGCTCTCCGGGCGGACGCTCTAACCACTACACCACGGAGGAGGTCCCACGCAAAGGGTTAAATCAATAAATCAGGGCGATCGTGCTGTGCTTTCATATTTTTGAACTGATAATGACATGGCGGTCTTGGTATCAACCCATACAACACAGACCTTTATTGTGAAGAGCGCGCGATAGAACGGTGCTTGCATATTTCTTACCTGTGTGTCACCAAGCCTATCTAAAACCGTGATGATGATTACGCTGTTAAACCCCAGAAAATTGAATTTGGATACCTTTTAAGTTTTAACCCCCAATCCCTTTCCTTGGGTCCAGAGCTAATAAGATTAATGGCATTGTCAATCTGGTAAATCTAAATCTTAATATCTAACATCGGATTTAAAATAAATCCTGAAGACTGTACTGGCTGTGCGGATGTATGATTTTTCATTTAATCAGCCATTCGAAAATGGTTACCATGACAACGTTGTTATCAATTTAACCATGAAATTGTTAAAATCGTGATAGGCCATTATTGCGTTGGGAGACGAGGTGAAGTTGTGTTTTAAACGTCACGTTTAAGATTAATGCGCTTATAGTAGGCATGCCTATACGTGTGTCTGTGCGTGTGCGTGTGCGTTTGCGTTTGCGTGTGCGTATGCGTGTGTAGCTGCTTGTACTAGCCCGGACTAATATGGCAGGGTATGATGGCAAACTCATTTTACGGTTGAAATCACTCAAGAGGTATTTGGTCTGATGATAAGTCACTCCCTCTTGTTTAAGAGCATGTTTGATTGTATGTTCTGGTTGGTGTGTCAGGTTATAGGTCTACAGCAGCTGGGTGTAGCTAGTGACGTTGAGCGTGTTGCTCGTGTAACACATTGTTCACTCCTACAGTTGTTGCTGTCTGCAACAAGCATTCTGAACCTCCCTGGAAACGTGGTCACAGTATATGTAGAGGGTCCCTGTCATTACACACCTGGCTGTCTACTTATTTGTTTACAAACTTACGGTATACACTACACTATACACTACAAATATCTCAATTCGGACTGATAATACCTATTTGCGAGTCATTCCTTGACACATGCTTAAGGTACTGTCGGAATTGTACGAATGTATTTAGCAGAGTTTTCTCTTGACTATGAAAAGGTTTTGTGCTTTACATTTATGAACTTGTATAAAAATCAACACTTATTACACTCTAGAATTGACGTTTTATATTTCTAAATGGATGTTTCAGGCATGAGTGTTGGTTGATAACACACAACACCAAATAATGTTTTTAAAATGTTAAAATGTTTCGGTTTTAATTGATATGAATTCTAGTATTTGATATTGTCCGGGCCACAATTTTCGGAATGAAGTAAACTAATTTGATTTAAAAAATATTTATTTGAGGAAAAATAGTTAAACAGTCATATGAATATTTGTTATAAAATATACTATTCCAAAAAAGAAATGCATAGGCATTTTGTGTTTTTAAAAATCTATTAATTACCTATTGTGTTCAAACAATCGTCAAAATATGTAACAAAAGTGTTGATAACATGATTTTACACAATTGTACAAGTAAAAAGTGGACTTGACCTGAAAATGTTGATTTCGATGAGATTTCTTACAAGGATTAAAAAGGCATCGCCACAACGCAACAGCAATCACCTTCCAGTAGAAATTGTGCAGCAAAGAGCATGCACTGTCTGGATATAAAATTCCAGATTACGTTCGGAAATCGGCATTCGTTTTGAAGGAGTTTCAAGGTCAAATCATTACGCCAAATCTTGACGCTGCGACACGGAACATCGCCATTGAAAGAATACACGCTGGAGATTACCAATCTTCTGTTGCCAGGCGTCTGAATGTTAGTTTGAGATCGTTACAATCCAACAGGCGTAACAAATGACCGTCCCCGTACAGGCAGACCTCGAGTCACCACTGCAGCCCAAGATCGGTACATCCGGGTACTACATTTCGTACTGCCACGGATGAGAGCACAGCAGCCAGGGTGCCTGTAGGGAACAGGTTGAGAGAGATTGGACTGAGAGCCAGGAGACCAGACGTCGGGACCGCGCTACGTCGTCGCCATGGCGCTCAACATCTCCGCTAACTATAATTAGCCACTTGGTTGTATAGACATTTCCTTCTTCTAATCTGTTGTAAAAATTCATGATACAACATTTTCGCAACAGATATCTGGGTTATGCGTTTCTTTTTTGGAATAGTATAAAACGGTTGTCAAAGTAGGCCATAAAATGATGGGGTTCGAGTTCGGACGCCTTGTCTACACGGTGAAAGAGGGGATGGTGGCAAGTTAAGGACGTAATCTGTGGAGTGACTGTACACCTTCCACATGATTACAAGGAAATGTTCAACAAACATTCCGTTGTGTTTACCTTCAATCCAGACGTGAATTGTTTTAAACAGTCAGGTGCGTAGCAAGCCAATTAATTCGTGTAAGCCCGATAGGTTTCAAAGCTTTATATTTAGTTAGTATTGAGGGCTTGCCCAACTTTTATTTTCAAAATCACACGTAAGCCCGGGCTTTTTTTATAATGGTAGCTACGCCCTTGACTGTGAGTGAGTTATTATTTATCGTCACATCGGCAATATTTCAGCCATATTGTGACGAAATGTTTTTAAACAGCCCATGTACGTGGTATGTATGTAATGGGAGACTATACACGATCTTTGATATAACAGACATAGATGTTGTGTACAGTACTGCTTAGCATCCAATACGATATTATAAACATGAACCTGTTCATTCGGCTAAACATTTCCAAACAACATGCAACATAAGGTAATATATTGGATTGTCTACCAAGTTTTTAATACACGAACCTTTAGCTGCATCACAAATTTTAAATGTAATATTATTTTGTTAAATTTAGATACCCGTATCGGAAGTCAAACAACACACACTACAAGACATATCAATCACTACAAAGGGAATTGTTTGTCATTATTTTTTTGAAATATTGAATACTTTCGAAAGACGTCATCTGTAACTGTAAGACTTGGTTAAAAATATGTGAAAGGAGAATCACTGGAAGAGCGTAGGCAGTACCAGGTGTTGGGTAAACACGACTTACCTGTATGTGTAATGGAGAATATACAGTGTTCAGTTAAAACATCCTCTGATTTCTAGTAATATGGTTATAGTAATATTCACGGTGTGTGTGTGTGTGTGTCGCTTTTGGCAATATTCCAGCAACATCACGAAGGGGGACATCTGAAATGGGCTTCACACAATGTACCCACGTGTGGAATCGAACCCGCGCCTTCGGCGTGACGAGCGAACGCTTTAACCACTAGGCTACCCTATGCTGAAAGAGTTATTTGAACCACGATCACTCTAGAGCGAATATTTAAGGGTTTGATATGGACCTGCTTCATCAGGTTTATAGCGCTCGCCCACTGAGATACCATGCCACAGTTTAACGTTAATTCCCTCCTCAGATTCTGCATGCTCGCTCGGGGGCGCCCAGTCTTTGTTTAATCCCTTTACCCAGGGTGACAAGAAGTACTACATATTTTACCATCTTTTAGGACGACACCACCCGGAGACGAATCACCGTCTATGCGGAGACGCCACTTGGCCACGTATGCGCATTACTAATGACCCCAAATGTAGACTGAAAATTACTATCATAATGTGTGCAGGTGGGTATCCTCAGACTGTTCCTTGCTGGTGAATAGGCGTTGACCTTGTATTGAGGCTTTCGCTTGACACGCCAAAGGGTTCGATTCCCATGTTGGTGAGGCCATTTCTGGTGTTCCCAGCTGTGATATGGCTATTGTATTCATACAAGGGGTGTAATATACTCACACAATTATTGTAAAAGTTGACAATAGACTAGAACAGACAGTTAAATAACAACACCAAGGTATTCTGAAGGCATGGGTCACACTTTACACCCAATGCAATAACTCTACGCGTCGGTTTGCACAGCAAGGTCAGGGGAGTTATCCTCCCTTGATCAGTGGGTGTGGTGGTCGTCCTGTGGCCTCTGATCATCATTCAAACATTCTAAAACCCACGCTCCATTTACATATGTATTTACCATTATAATGTCAATATTAAAACATCATTATCCTCAGCACTATACTGCTGGTCGTAAGAACCGAAAGGATCGGATGATTTGGTTCCGTGAATTGGCTGATCATCGTACACACAGTGCAAACCGGATATAGTGCGCTGTACGCTCGTGGTTTGGTTGATAGGAATGTTGTCACGGGCTCCATTTTTCTGCTTTTTTTATTACAGTGAGTAAAGTTCAAGTACTAAAATGAGTGAAATACGTCTTCTTACTCATATAAACTACAATTCACTGCTAGTTTGAATAATGACCCTTTAAATTCTTCCAAATATCAAAAACGCATCGCCGATTTTGCTCCTTCGCAGAAAACATCGAAAACAATGCCACAATATTCCTTTATCTCGCAATTTCTTCGGTAAAACTTGACAACATATGAAATGCTCGATATATAAGCCTTGAAATGGGTTATAATATTCCTAACATAGAGTATTCGTTTCTTTACACGAGAGGTAAACGTTACCCACCTATGCATCATCACTGTACAGGTTGATAGCCGCCAATACAGCTGGTTGCTAGCGCTTTCAAAACAAATCACTGTACGGTTTCTAGTTAGTTCATGTTATCATTTCAAAGTAATTGGAGTTCTTAATGAAATATTTTGCTTCATTTTCTTAAGGTACTGCTGAATTCAACACAGACCGACAAAATGAACACTTCAGTTTGCTATTATTGTGATTTTCGGACAAATTCTTTCAACATTATCATTGACCACTGTATTATCAATCCCCATCCAGTGAATTAAAATACAAATTCCAATATCATGACGACACAACCCAAAAATCTTATCTGCAAACAATTTAAAAAAAATTATACCAGAAGTATTAACATCTGAAGGAAAGTACATTGTACCTTGTAATGACAACAAAAATAGAAATCATGAAGCATTCAAACAATGAAGTATTCAGTCCCCTTAAGAAAATGTCTAAATGTGATATGAAGGAGGATGTGTTTGGCCAGATGCAAGCATTGTCAATGAATGATCTAACGGAGGAACTAGATGGGAATACAGAAAAAGTTTCCTCGCATGAAGCTGGCACTCAGACCTTACCAACAATTGTTATTCCTGCATGTGGGAGTTTTGATGGAGGTTCTATGAAAGAAATGATAGAATTGCTTCCACTTGTGTTACATAACCTTAAGGAAGTCGGGAATGACGATATGTTTCTTAACTTCACACGATTGGTTGCCTCAAATTCATTTCCCTTGGACAATATTGCGTTCATGCTGTTTCTGTAGTGGTATCGTGGTATTCACTCTACAACACGGTACTGATGAGATACAGTGAGGTTACCAAACGTTTTTGGAGAATTGGGCTAAAATTGTTCAAAGGGATATTTTCGAAATTCACGTCAGGCATGAAAAACACTGGCACAGTGACAGAGGGAAAAGTCCCTAGTGGTGTGTATCTTCCTAATGATTCAAAAATAAACTTCGCAGTTCCTGATAGGACTGTTCTGGACAGAATGAAAGGTCCTCTTTAAAGCAACCAACTTGTACCTGGTTGCACTATGCAAATGCTGGACATGATTGCTAAAGCCGACCCAGAACAAGTTAACACTTACAAAATGTGTGTTGATGGAAAGAAAATCAATGCCTGTACGGGTGGAACGTTAGGGGATGTTGATTTATGTGGTTTTGAAGAGCATCCGACTCTCATCGAAAAACAATGTCAACTATCACACGAAACTAGTATTTTGGAAAGTTGTGAAGAATTTGTTAATAGAATGGAAATTCGTGGATTAGAACAGGTTACCGAATGTTCAGACGAGCAAAAAGAGAAGTTCAAGTCGTTGAGTCACGATGTCATTAGGATTTGCAGTGGTCACGTGAGACAATTGACAAAATTCTGAAAGCTGTAACTGGTGAGTGGAGACAGTCCAAATATGCTTTCGTAATTAGTTCTCTCAAAACCAGCATGTACCAGATAAGCTGTGCCATCGAAGACCTCCTACACGGGATAGATAAACTCGGGCTTCTTGTTAGGGGTGGGTATTGCAGAACATTTTCATATTGCGATATATTGCGATGCGAAAGCATATATTGCGATATGTATTGCAATATATTGCAAGAAGTAAATACTTGATTTATAAAGCCAAAACACAACAAAATCACTATTCTTGATTAAGCTTTAATAAAAACTTTAAATTTACTTTACCATGGCATATTTTACATACCGCGTTACTCTTATCAATAGTTCCATCTACAGTGAACTTTTTCAACCCAAAATGCTGCCATAAGTACTGAAGCTTTGCCCTGGTATTTGGCACCACAATAAATATTGTTCGTTGTTGGGGGTCGAGATTTTACAACAAACGCATGACTTCCTGTGTGAAAAACGGACATATCCGAAGATTTCCGAGTGTTACGAAGTTTTCCGAATGCATGTCAAAATACCGGTTTTCGATCAACGTATCGCAATACGTATCGTTTTCATGTCTGAACCGGTATATACCGGTAAACCGGTTATATTGCGCATCCTTTCTTCTTGTTGCAGAATGTAACAATACATCACACTTATATTGTTGACCTTAACCAGCAGGAAAACTATGTTTGTTTAGTTAACGAGGACAGTGGTACTGTGTTTGACATGTCTTCGTCTGACAATAGTTTGGTCAAACAGCGATCTTCCACTTGGCACAACAACCGCAAACAGGCTCAGGTTACCGGCAGTACTTGTCACGCTGCTGCTGGTTTGGATACACTGAAAGAACAACAGAGTCACTACCGCAAAGTCTATGAATGTATGCCAGAACCTGAACCGTCTGCTGAAACAAAGGTGAAGATGCAGCATGGTGCTGACAACGAGGTACATTGTGTTGCTACGTTGGTGGGTAAAGTGCTGCCTGTGTTCTTTAGCTCTGCTTCATATGTAGAAGAGGGTTGCTATGTTCTCGACAGAGAAGACGTGAACTTTGTAGTCAGCCCAGATGGTAGTTGCAGGAGGCGAGTCAATGGGGATGTAGGTCCTCCTGAATGTGGAATAGAAATAAAGTGCCCCTATCCGGGAAATGTTTTTACAACACCTGTACAGTACAAACTACCATTTTACTATGTAATCCAGGTCTTGAGCGAAATGGTAGCTTTGAATGTAGACAAACTGCTATTTCTGTCCTATTCCAAAGAAAGCACTTCTGTATTTGAAGCCCACTTCGATAGACCATTATGGGATATGATAATCCAACTTGTATCAGACTTGTATTCAAATTCAGAAACACACCCACTTCCAAAACGATTGCATGGTAACATTTCTTCCTTGCGGATACGTTTGAAGCAGTACACGGATAACCGTGTCCATTTTCTTGCAGAGGTCCCCTAAGTTCAAGCAATTGCGTGCACACACAATGAGGCAATAAGATGCAACAGTGGAGAGAGACGCCAACATCCATCTTCCTCTCACATAACCGTGGAATCATTCAAAGTTGAGGAACTTCACATCATTTTCCAGAAGTGTTAAGATCTGCTAAAAACGGCGTACAATTTGAGCAGACACCGTGCCAATGAGGTTTTAGTGTTCCTACTTTCTGATCGTGATAGACTTGCAGGCCCGGAGAAGAAACATTCTGTACCTGTTGGGTATGCCTTCAAAGGATACAATATGAAAACAAACTGTATGCGGAGGATGATAGAACATGTTCTTGACAATTGCTTTTCAAGGGGATTGTATGTACCATGCATATCCTTTGCATATCCTTTGACGGTCAGTGGTATATCAAGGAATGGTGAACCTTTGACAATTCTTCAACTTCAGAAAGATGTTTTTACCCTAGCACGCAAGACCACAAAAGCTGCAATCGTCAAGGCTATTGTATGTACAAATTGTGTTAAACACTGCAAAAACTTAGATGAACTAAAATCTGAGTTGGAGTTACAATTCAGTGTAAACGAAACTAGATAAATAATTAGCCCAATCAAAGTTGGTTGTGCCTTTGGTGCTGCAAAACCATTCTGCACTTCAGCCCATGTATCATCACTGCTGTCGACTGCCAACAAGAACAATGTAGACTTACCCGATAAGATATCCACACAATCTACTGCTGCAGATGCAATCTTTCCCACAGTAGATCACGTCATCAGCTCTATTCCACCTAATGATTCCCTGAACGTGGATGCAATTATGATTCAGACCATATCAGATATGGCAGATCTGTTCAATGAGCATAGTGAAACGATGGAGACGCAGTCTAAATCATCCAGACGGAGTCGTTTTGATTCATCCGTTGAATGCGTGCAGTATATCTTCAACGAAGAAACAGACCATAAGTCAGTAAATGCGTTTGTGGATGCAGAAGACATGGATGTCATGTCAGAGCATGGTCAGGAATTTGGCCAGGTAAATAACCAGGACGATGGTCAGGACATTAGCCAGGACAATGGACAGGACATTAGCCAGGACGATGGTCAGGACATTAGCCAGGACAATGGACAGGACATTAGCCAGGACAATGGTCAGGACATTAGCCAGGACAATGGACAGGACATTAGCCAGGACAATGGTCAGGACATTAGCCAGGACAATGGTCAGGACATTAGCCAGGACGATGGTCAGGACATTAGCCAGGACAATGGACAGGACATTAGCCAGGACAATGGTAGAGATGTACTTAGGACATTAGCCAGGACAATGGACAGGACATTAGCCAGGACAATGGTCAGGACATTAGCCAGGACAATGGTCAGGACATTAGCCAGGACAATGGTCAGGACATTAGCCAGGACAATGGACAGGACATTAGCCAGGACAATGGTCAGGACATTAGCCAGGACAATGGTCAGGACATTAGCCAGGACAATGGACAGGAACATGGAGAAGAAGAGGGTCAGCATGTTTTTAGGTTGGGAGATTCTCATATCATAGATATATGGCATACATTGAATGACTGACCCTAAACCTGAAGAGCAAGATAGGAAATGCCGATGAATTCGTTAAAGATTTTAATGACGCGGATGATCTTAGCAAAACATTGAACAAATACGAAACAAAGGTTTGCCTTATGTGTATCTCGGGAAAACTTAAAGAAAAAAAGATACTGCATAGTTTATCTTGGCCCAAGTACAAAATGATCGAAGCTCTTGTTCAGGCAACGAAAGGTTCAATGAAAGTTACAGAAAATATACGTAGAATTAAGGTTTCACCGCAACCTCTGAAGAAATTGTGTTGCTCTGTCATAAATAAAATTCCAAAGGATCTACTTAATGTAGTGTATACTGAGGACATATTTCTATCCAATGTTATGGAATGGCGAGAAAGACATCCCTTTCCAAACGTCATCGGGGTAAAAGATCTTCAACTTGATGTGTTGTGGTATTCTACTCCAGAATACGTGTCCTCGAGATTAACTTATCAATTTTCATTTCGTGACTGTCATCACTTACAAATGCTCGGGTAAAGTGTTGTAAAACAGGTATACCAGAAGCTGGAATCAACAGATCTGCATGGTTGAAAGTTGCTGCAGAAAGCAAGACGAATAACAGCAATCTCAGCATGGCTCTTGTCGATGACCTTATTGACAAACAATCAAATGCATTTGCACAGCAAACATTCTCTGAAACTGTAGAGGATGTCATGCTCAAGGATAATGACATAAAGGAAGCCGAGTTTTGCCGACTCATACGTCATTGGTATGAGGCAGAGGACCAACCTGGAATAAGTGCCAGAGAACGATGCAGTCAGCCATTGGTACAGCTTGTGAACTTCTCTACACCAGACTTAACCTCTGACAGGTGAAGAAAGAAACATAAATAATATTACCTTTATTTCATATCTACGTAACAGGGTAAAACAATTGATGCTAAAGCTACTTGTTTATTTCGGTGTCTATGAAAGTGATTGTAGATTTCCCACAAGCTCCTTTGCTACCTTGCTATGGTGCCAATGCTATTCTTGGTTTGATTGCAGCGCCCCTATCGGTGGTTATGAGTTACAGCCTTTCTAAATAACACATCGAAAAGACCTTTACTATCGCTCTTCTATGCTTCCGGCAATTATGTTTGCATTACGTTTAAGAAAATCAATTGTTTAATAAATAACATTTCCAGCCAAGATAAAAAGAGTTAATTGGAGTTATAAAATTTGAATATAAAAGTTTATATAAACCTTTTGGTCGATGACACTAAAAGTACACTGATTTAAAGGCACGAAAAGTCTTGGAACTAAATCAAGGTAAAGAAATGCAGGTTTTCTCTCGACTGGCGTGGTAAGTTGATAGATTAAAGGAAAAGCTTTTCTTTTCAAGAGTGGAATACATTCTCAAATGTGTATGATGTCTGAAATATTTGACTGGGAATTACTGTATGCCATACTAGATTAGGATAAATCTATTCATAAATTTAATTTTTTTCGAACATTGTCATATTCCATATCATAAAGGAGCATTTTATTGATCTTCAGAGGTTTCTTTATGCTTACTAGTAGAGCGAAAGTGTATCCAGTTCAGCATCTCCTTGACGCCAGTGATGTAAATACTGGTGACGTCCACATGGTACCCACCATAGTGACAACGATCACACCAAGGTAACATCATTTCTCAAAGTTAGCACCGATTCACTTAATTGGAAGACATAAATTACCCGCCCATTACTTTATAATATGTCAGTATACCTTCACCGTAATCTATTACAATCGTTGCCATCATGATCATCCAGTATCATGTGAGTAATATCAAAACACTTGTTGAAGCATGTTATGTGTTGTAAAAATATGTCTTTTTTTAAGGGATCATTGTTTCGACGTGTCAGCAAGGGCTAAACGTAAATCGAAGAACAGAAAGAGTGGTATTATTGCAGAACCGTGTATGGCGGCCAGGGGAGTGTGACCTGTGAGAAAACATCACCGTGTGGATGAAAGCAAAATCCTACCAAATGTCAGATATGGACTTCCATTAGATGAAAAAATAAATTATACAGATGATAAATGTATGACAAATGAATCCCACAATATATTTGCAGATGCAAGTTTATTTGAAACCAGTAACCCTTTTGAAAGAGGACAAGACATTGACAACGTATTTAACTCAAATTGCTCAACATGTCGATCCAACTTTAATAGAAGGGGCGGTGGGGTAGCCTAGTGGTTAAAGCTCGTCACGCCGAAGACCCGGGTTCGATTCCCCACATGGGTACATTGTGTGAAGCCCATTTCTGGTGTCCCCGCCGTGATGTTGCTGGAATATTGCTAAAAGCGGCGTAAAACTAAACTCAGTCAGTCAGTCAGTCAAAGACGATAAGCGTATTCAGAGAGCGGATTGTGACCGAATGTCATATTAAGCCTCATTTGCTGAACAACCGGATATCATATACTCATGCCAATAATGGTTGTCACCCCCTTCAATTTTTTAATTGGAGAGGGTGTGTGGGTGTGTGTGTGGGGTTGGGGTGGGGAGGGGATGACAACCATTATTGGCATGAGTATATTAGGTAAAATATCATATTCTATATGTGTAAATCATGAATAGAACATTTTTCTTTGATACCTTTTTGTGTATGCATTTTCAAGATTCTTTACCATGTTTGTGATGATATCTGTATTCAATAAAGTCCTTAGTTTGTCCAAAACTATTAACGTTTTCAAAAGTGTTGTGTAAGAATATAATGTGTATTTGACACACCTCACAATACATTCAATCATTTAATACAATGCAAATTCTTTATAATAAAGTATCAAAATTTTTATCTATGTATAAAAAACCCAACATTTTTGTCCCGTTTTGAGATAAACAAATTGATACAAACATTTAAAGAGAATCACTGTTTGGTTCCTCCCAGGATCAAACGTTGATGGAAAACAGTTCTTCCTAAAATAAATGGTTTGAAAATTCATGATCCAACTGTAAAGTACACTTAATCAAAATTGAACTATAAAGATGGTTTTGTAGATGCACTAGGACTCGCGGCAGACCCGGATGTGGTAGTTGTAGCTTGACCGCCACTTAAACGCTTTACCACAATTGCACCGGTAGAGGCGCCCCTGGTGGAAACCTTGAAATGGGCTCTTTCATGGGCCACATTGTCCCCAACTTGTCCCCACAAACGAAACAGGTAAAGTTGGTTATGGCTGGAGGTTGCGGTTTGGGTTTCTTCTGGCAGCGCCCCTTCTGATGCCTTGTCAGGGAGCTTGCGTATCTGAAGGGTTTCTTGCAATCCGGACACTTAAACTGGGTCATCTGGTCGAAGTGGCCCTTTAGATGACCATCATTATGAGATCGGAAATTAAATCTCTTATCACACTGGTTACATCGATATTTGAACTCGTTTAAGTGTACCGATTTCCGGTGCTGTGCGAGTCCAAATGCTGTCTTGTAGGGTTTAGCACAGTGGTCACACACCAAAATGCGCCGAAAACTTTGATCTGTATCTTTATCTCCATGTCTCAACCTCAGGTGTCTCTTGAGGTCCGACTTCCTTTTGGTAGTGTACGGGCAAGTTCTACAACTGAAAATCTTTTTGGGAGTAGCAACACCCACGCTCGTGAACGATTCGTCCAAAGCATCTATTTGCTCGGTATCTGACATGTTGAATTCCTGTTGATAATGGATAATAATGAAAACAAACACATTTGCATCACATCATATGACTAATGTATGCATGAACTATAAACTCGTCAATATATCATTGTTATATGTAAACCTATAGTTACAATTTAATAACGATATTCACCAAAGATAGAATTATGCAATCGAGTTTATTGACATGTGTCTGTGATAACAAACTAAGAACAGATGACTAAGATTCTTTAAATTGCAGTAAATAAATCCTTCGAATGTTTAAGCAATTTCATGTATTCCTTCACGATTTGCAATAACATACTTTGAAGATATGCTACCACAATATATACATACGTTGGATGTTTCCAGAAATGCCAATAAAGCCCACCTTAAATAAGCTCTCAGTCAGGAAGTTATTCAGATACGCGCTATATTCCGTACAGATCTAGAGAAACAAATGGTTTCGGCTATAATCCAGTACAGTGATGCTGCATTGTTGCGAGTGAACTTATTGATAACGTCATAACTAAACAACTTTGAATCATGAAAAGTCTCACATACATTGTAAAATCGATTACGAATAGAATACTGGTAGCTCTGTAGGCTAACATGATGGTATATATGAGTAAAAGCGAAAGTGCACAAGCTGGTAGAATTTGGCTCGATGCGCAAGAGGTGAAAAACTTTGTGTTTTCATTAACATACAGATATCTCGCTAATAATTACTGTAAATACTATGTCCAAGTTATCTATTGATGAAGCGTAGCCTATTTGCATGTGATATTATACTGTATTTGCCTTTAAATAAACGTTTCTGGTCGAGCATACCTGTTCGAACGAACGAGTACGAACGTACAGCGCACTATATCCGGTTTGCACTGTATGAGATCATACACTGTGCGTACACAGAAGGCATGGGGCGTTGGTCATGATATCAACCACCGGTTTGTCTCGTCAAGCCTCGACCGCCGACCACTGACCGCCGTGATGCAGCCGAACTAATTATGACTTCGGTAAATAAATTTAAAAAAAAAAATAAAAAAAAAAAAAATAAATAAATAGATTTCTGCTGGAGTGGTGGAGATGTTTTTCTTGTAAATTATGTCATTGGAAAAGGGACGCACATACGCACTAGCATGCGCGATATAGTTTGAAGTATTCGTGTCAGACTTTAGCAACGTCAACTTCGTTGATGATGTCTGACCAGATTAGGTCAAACAATATTGTCCCTGTATCCCAGCGGAGGACTGTTTCGTCATTCCTCTAGGACCGCACATCCTATATCACAAAGGTTTATTGAGAAACTGGCACTTGTTCTCTAGTTGACTGAAGTCCCATTCTGGTGTTGGTAATCCGTTGTATACTTACAGGGTACAAGTCTTTTGAACACAGCGATAATGGCAAGAATTGTCACAAGAATAACGGCGCAGTCTGCCGCGAATGTCACGCGAGGTCCGAATGAATAATATATCTGTGACACGAATATTGGCCCCAGGGTTCTTGCCAGACTGCCGGACGCTGTCAGCCAGCCCATCCACATTCCCTGAATAGTAATAATAAAGTATCATTTTTTATTATCATTATTGAGAAGTTGACAAAGACGATAACAATAACTATTGCAGTGATGAGGATAATTTGAATACTACTACTAATATACTCAAACTATTTTACTAAGTGAGTGAGTGAGTGAGTGAGGTTGGTTTTACGCTGCTTTTAGCAATTATTGCAGCAATATCACGGCGGGGGTCACTAGACAATTCTACCTACTACTACTACTACTACTACTACTACTACTACTACTACTACTGCTTCTGCTGCTGTTATCAATACTACTGGCGATGACGACGATGACAACCGTTATTACCGCTACATCTACAACTACATGTACTACTAATGACGAAAATTAAAGATAGTTATTTATAAATGGGTCGGTTGGGTAGCTGAGTGGGTAAAGTGTTCGCCACGCCGAAGACGAGGGCTGGAATCCTCACATGGGCACAATGTTAGATGCACATTGTTGCTGTCCCCCGTTGTTCTAATTCCTGACGTTGGGGTAGCCTAGTGGTTAAAGCGTTGGCTTGTCACGCAAAAGACCCGGGTTCGTTTCCCCACATGGGTACAATGAGTGAAGCCCATTTCTGGTGTCCCCCGCCGTGATATTGCTGGAATATTGCTAAAAGCGGCGTACCACTAAATTCACTTACTCTAATTCCAGAATTAAATGCAGCGTAACATCACACTCACCCACTCTCTTCTGGCATAAACAGAACCAAAACACAATCTGTCCAGACTCACCTGCGGTTTGGGACCAAGTATTTTGGAGAAGAGAGTATAACACATGACGTTTGCTGCCGGGTACCCAGCTGATATTATAATACACCCAACTAATGTACTGAGCCAGATACACAGGAGGCGTGTGGTTACACCAGTCCATGGTTGAAGGGCAACCAACTGGTTCTACTGTTGTAGAAACGTTGCTGTGCGGTGTCGACGTCATATTGCTTACAGTTGTGGAATATGTTGATAGTATGTGTTCTGTGGTGTGTTGTGGCGTTGATGTGGATGCTGTTGCTGCTGTTGACAGGATAGCGTCTGTGATGGTCGTCGTGGCTTCAGTTGTCGTCAAGGTCTCTGCCGTTGAAAGAATCGAATCTGAGATGGTTGTCGTTGCAGCGGTTGTCGTCAATGTCTCCGCCGTTGAAAGAATCGAATCTGAGATGGTTGTCGTTGCAGCGGTTGTCGTCAATGTCTCCGCCGTTGAAAGAATCGAATCTGAGATGGTTGTCGTTGCTGTGGTTGTAGTTAACACCTTCGCAGTCGACATGACGGCTTCTGTGATGTTTGACGTTAACGTTGCTGCAGTTCCTACCGAAGCTTCGGTGACAAGTGACTTTGCGTCTTCTATCGCCGTCTTCGTCAACGGCGCAATAGTCGTATCTAATGTTGACAGTGTGGTCGTCACATTGTCTACCAGCATGGTGATGATACCGCCATCGGTGGAGTTGCTGCCTGGAGACATGAGACTATCCAGCGTGCTCTTCAAGACCCCTGTCGGCTCAACTGTTTGACTAGCCACCATTACTGTACCAAATAATACAGAAAAGTTTAGTCAGTGTGTTACGTACGTTCACTAAAGGAGTGAGCGAGTTTAGTTTTACACCGCACTCAGCAATATTCCAGCTATATGGCGGCGGTCTGTAAATAATCGAGTCTGGACCAGACAATCCAGTGATCAACAGCATGAACATCGATCTGCGCAATTGGGAATCGATGACATGTGTCAACCAAGTCAGCGAGCCTGACCACCCGATCCCGTTAGTCGCCTCTTACGACAAGCATCGGTTACTGAAGATCAATATTTTAGTCCGGACCTTCACGTGTCGGGAACCGATGACATGTGTCAACCAAGTCAGCGAGCCTGACCACCCGATCCCGTTAGTCGCCTCTTACGACAAGCATGGGTTACTGAAGATCAATATTCTAGTCCGGACCTTCACGTGTCGGGATACGATGACATGTGTCAACCAAGTCAGCGAGCCTGACCACCCGATCCCGTTAGTCGCCTCTTACGACAAGCATGGGTTACTGAAGATCAATATTCTAGTCCGGACCTTCACGTGTCGGGATACGATGACATGTGTCAACCAAGTCAGCGAGCCTGACCACCCGATCCCGTTAGTCGCCTCTTACGACAAGCATGGGTTACTGAAGATCAATATTCTAACCCGGATCTTCACGGGTATTCACTACAGGAGATAACGTTAAGAAAAGTATGATACTTTAATGATAACAACTTCTTTATTACATTATGATGCGACGTTTCCGTATAGATTCGTATACCGTACTCAAGCAAGAGGTCGCATCGCAATAATTATAAAAAAGAAGTTGTTATCCAAATAGTATCACACCTTTATTCATCAACTTCTAAAATGCCAATCCAACGGAGATAACGTTATTATTCAAAGAATGAGTCGGGTAAATAGCGTAAAAACACTTTCGGTAGTCAGGAGCAATATATAGATTTGTGATTCGTAAAATTAGTGGCCACAAAATGCAAAACAACGCAGAAATATTTTGTTTTGATGAAGCTGGGTGTTAACATGGACCCTTCAGACCAGACATATTGGTTGGCTGGTTGGTTTGTTGTTGAATGCCGCATATATATTGAATATTCCAGCTATTATGGGGGCGGTCTGGAAATAATCGAGTCTGGACCAGGCAACCCAGTGATCAACATCGTGAGCATCCTTCTACATAAGTGTCAACCAAGTCAGCGAACCTGACCACCCGATCCCGTTAGTCGCCTCTTACGACAAGCAGGGGTTACTGAAAATCAATTCTAGCCCGGGTCCTTACGGGTTCCAGTCCAAGTAAATGAAATGGTCCTCCAGAAAGAAACCGGCTGAATATCGTGGTATTTGTAAATTTGTCAGTTCAAAGATATTCCAATATAACAGGGGCGGTGGGGTAGCCTAGTGGTTAAAGCGTTCGCTTGTCACGCCGAAGACACGGGTTCGATTCCCCAGATGGGTACAAAGTTTGAAGCCGATTTCTAGTGTCCCCCGCCGTGATATTGCTGGAATGTTGCTAAAAGCGGCGTAAAACTAAACTCACTAACTCACCATTATAACACAACTGATAACCAGTACTTAACAAATAAATAATCATAAACCACTGACGGGTCCAGAGAAGCCCTTCGTTTTTATAAATACTATGCGTTCTCAGGTCCTCGGCTCAGTAATCCGTGACGTGGGTAATGCATGCAAACATCCCCCTTCCCCCATTTTTCACAATCCTGTTACAAGCAATGACGCAGAATTAACGCAGTAAGACTGGTTCAATTATACATTTTTTCATGTTGCTTTCTGATCACTGAATAGCAATTCAATTATTATACCACGTGAAATGGTTCGGTAATAATGTAGTCATCACTTCTGACAGCGAATCATATTCATGGAACGTGTGTAACAAGTAATAAATGGAAGAACCAAAATGTTTCCGTCAGCCGTACCTGCTGGAGCTCTCACCGGGAGTCCATCTCCCCACGGAAGTTGAACAAAGTATCCCAGAAAGCACAGCACAAACCCCATGATTAGAAGGTACCGTTCGTTTATCCTGACAAAAAAGATAGAAAGGCAGTACATTATTCAGGTTACCATTTCTGTGCATTAAGGAGCTTGTTCACAAGCGTCCTTTGAAAGTTGAGGCTTTCAGTCTTTTTTTGGTATCAAAATGCGTATTCAGGTGAATAAGACGTGATATTAGGATAGATTCCTTGTGGAATCGCTGATGGTATCCCATGTTGTCATAGTTACCTAGGTTCATTTTTTGTCTGAAGTTTACGCATGTAGAAGTGTGCATACAGGTTGCTTAATTTGCATCGCACTTGACATGTATTTCAAATATTATTTACGATTTCATAATCTTATTATACCCAACATATATTAAATATTAAATAGGAATATGTTTGCATACTTTGTGTTGACAGATTACTGAGAGATGGCGATAAAGCCTACATTCTGTTGACAGATTGCTGAGAGATGGCGATAAGGCCTACATTCTGTTGACAGGTTGCTGAGAGATGGCGATAAGGCCTACATTCTGTTGACAGGTTGCCGAGAGATGGCGATAAGGCCCGCTTTGTGTCGGCAGATTGCTGAGAGATGACGATAAAGCCTACTTTTGTGTTGACAGATTGCTGAGAGATAGCGATAAGGCCTACATTCTGTTGACAGATTGCTGAGAGATGGCGATAAGGCCTACATTCTGTTGACAGATTGCTGAGAGATGTAGATAAGGCCTACATTTGTGTTGACAGATTGCTGAGAGATGGCGATAAGGCCTACTTTTGTGTTCACAGATTGCTGAGAGAGCGTAATAAGGCCTGCTTTGTGTTCACAGATTGCTGAGCTTGCGTTAAGGCCTGATTTGTTTAGGCAGATTGCTGAGAGATGGCGATAAGGCCTACATTCTGTTGACAGATTGCTGAGAGATGGCGATAAGGCCTACATTCTGTTGACAGATTGCTGAGAGATGGCGATAAGGGCTAATTTCTGACAACAAATTGCTGAAAGGCATACCTATTGTGGACAAACAGCTAACAGCGGGCATTAAGGTGTATGTTCTCTGGACAGATTACTGAGGGTTGGTGTCCGTTGAGAGATCGGCGACAGGGAGATACTGTCTACTGTTTGTGGACAGAATGGCGAATGTGATGATGGTTATAATTTTAATTTTGTATACTCAGTGTTTTTACATTCACATTTGAAAAGGGACACACAGACACCGTGAGGATTAGAAACACCTGAGAATGGGAGACAAGGCGTACTTTTTTTTGAAAAACTGCCTGAAAGGGCTTAGAATGAGCGATAAGGTCTACCCTCGGTTTTGAGATTCTTGTCCAATGACTCCTACCTTCTGCTGGCGATCTTCAGGACGACAAACACTCCAATTGCTTCCACTCCACACGACGCAAGAATGATCCCCACATACAGCGTCGATTGTTTCTTAGTCCAGGCAAACATGTCCATCCCCAGGGGCGTTGCAATTCTGGAACCAGAGTGCCATACATACTGACGTAGACTGACTGTCTGAGAAAGTTTGGTTTTACGCCGCTTTTAGCAATATTCCAGCAACATCACGGCGGGGGACACCAGAAATGGGCTTCACACATTGTACCCATGTGGGGATTCGAACCCGGGTCTTCGGCGTGACGAGCCAACGCTTTAACCACTAGGCTACCCCACCGCCCCTACTGACGTAGAAAAGAAAGAACATGCCCTGTGCTTTGGCATCATTTTCTGTACAAAAGATACACATTTTGAAAAGCCTTTTGATTGTGATTGTAAGCCAGTCTCATTATACATATAATTGTAACGTTATAAGAATTTATAATCTCGGTTAATCTCATAATCGCCGTGGTCTTCATCATCATAATCGTCATTAGTTATTGTTCAATTCCATGTTTTTCGGCCAAATTAAGTTTGGTTATACATCGTTGACAATTCTGAGGCAAGAGATTTTTAATAACGCTACAAATTTGATTCTATATATCCTACTTTGATAAAATCGATAAATTCAAGCAGCTCAACCATTTTGTACTATTATCACCAAGAAGGGTAATAAGAAGTATCGGGGATAAGTCGATGAACTGTTGCGATTAAACAATGGGGCGATGCTATGAAAGAAACGAAGAAATGATGTTGAGAATCGAACCGGCAATACGACGAAACGATGAGATGAAACAACGACCCATCTCGGTCACCATACATCTGTGATATTTACCTGTCCACATATGTTATTCCGTGTTTTCGAAACATCAATGATTGGTAGGGCTCAGTTTCATTAATTTCGGACCTTACTTCTCGCTACCACGAAAGATCTTAGGATATCCCAATCAGGACCCCGTTCTTCAAACCGATCATAGCGCTACGACTGTCGTAAGTCTATGAATGGGAGTTACGCTCATCTTAGCACAACGATCGCTTCGTAGAACGGTTTCCAGATCGGGAAAATGTCAGTCGGATTGAAAGCTCGAAAACAGTAAGGGGTTCATCCGAAGACACATACGGACTGTACGCCTACATTCGTCACCCCTCCCGCTTTCCACTAACTACAAAACGACGGCTTATCCTTGAAGAACACGAGATGGTCACGAGTAGTAAGCCTGATTTCATCAACAACATCGTCGCTTCAATGGGGTAGATATTTGGAACAGATGAACTTCCATAGCCCGTGTGTACTGACACACAATCTTAGCCGTGTATGATTAGAAATTCCAGAATGATCCTACTTTCATTTCTAAATCGAAAAGCGTCAAAATATATTTTCAAATCGTAGTCTGGCTGGTTAAATAGTCGATAAAGTCGTTACAAAGTAGACGATGTTCATGGATTGTGGTAGCTTGCAACTGTGGATACGAGTAATACTTTCAAGATGGTTCTAATCAGATTATGACCCATTCCTTTTTCACAAAACGATCGTAGCGCTACGACTACCTCAGGTCAGTGAGAAAGTATGGGAGTTACCAATCTCTAAAGGCTAAGCTGGCCATGCTGATCCTTGCTCCCATCCACAATGCATTCGTAACGTTACGACCTGTCGTAACTCTAGAGTTTACCATAGGCTTACGGATGTGTCAGCGCTGCGAACGCTTTGTGGATCGGGACTCTTGTTCCTAGTAAAGGAAACCCATTGCGACCTGGCGGAAGTACTAGTCGTCAAAATGGCGTTAGTTTCCCGATATACACGCAGCAGTGCATCAACGACAGATTTCGGAGGTTGAAAGTGGTACTCACGTTTCAAAAATCGTGAAGATGAAGAGGACGACAAAGAAGATGATGATGCAGTATATAACGGCGAAGTAATCCGGCTTGTATTTCTTGACTGATTCTTCGTATGCTGAAAGATTGAACATCATTAGCTTTGGATTGAATCGTAGACATCGGAGATATTTACAAATTGATTGATTGATTGAGTGAGTGAGTGCGTGAGTGAGTGAGTGGGTTATACGCCATAATAAGCAGCACATTATAATGATAAGGTCACAGTAGAGGACCCATGGTTTGGCCATGGAAAGGGTTTTGTCGCTTTTATTCATAGTGTGCCCCCCTTGGTAATTGAACAGGGATTAAGGTGATCAGCCAATGCTTTAAAACTCATCCCAGACCAAGACCAGTCCAGCTTAGCCCAGCTAGCCAGCCAGCCCAAGCCAAACCAATTCAAAACCAACTGAACAATATCGTCTTCTATTCTTGTTCATTATTCGCTGACCCTGGGTTTTGCATGTCTTTGTATCCCATTTGCTTAGATTGGTGCTTATGAAGTCAATCAGTAGACTGTCTAGTCCGTGCTTATGAAGTCACTCAGTAGACTGTCTAGTCCGTGCTTATGAAGTCAATCAGTAGACTGTCTAGTCCGTGCTTATGAAGTCAATCAGTAGACTGTCTAGTCCGTGCTTATGAAGTCAATCAGTAGACTGTCTAGTCCTTGCTTATGAAGTCAATCAGTAGACTGTCTAGTCCGTGCTTATGAAGTCAATCAGTAGACTGTCTAGTCCATCCTGGATTATTTACAGACCGTCGCCACATGACTTGGATATTGGTGACTGCGGGTTACCCAAATAAATAAACATATAAACATACAAACATCGGAGGCTGACCATCCAATCTCTACCCCAGTCGGGTCCTCCATGAGGTATTGGGGACCTATCCGTACGTCATTCCTAGCACTCAACAGATAATACAACCCGACACAAACCCGAATCACACTGATATGGAATCACTTACAGCTTTGAATGTTGTTGATGACGATGTCATCATGCACCTGGAATTCTTTAAAAACCACAAACAGTAGCACCACGTTGACTGTACAACATATGGCGCCCAAGATGGCGGGTGCGGTGTACATGTTGAGGTGGAATTCAGGTCGCTCGACGAGCCCTGGATAGGAGATGGGCACCAGGGCAGACTGGATAACTGTAAAAGAATGTGTAAAAACATGTATAGATCCATTCAGAGTTTAGATGCAACAGTTGTAGTGGGTTAAGAGACAGTGTTTAACAAAGCACATCGATGTTTTTTTATATTTGGGGTTTATATCTTAAAGTTTCATGGTTTTTGCTTGTTTCTTGTTTAACGCTGCTTTCAGCAATATTCCATGCTGGCGGCTGTCTGTAAATAGTCGAGTCTGGACCAGACAATCCTGTGATCAACAGCATGATCATCCATCTACGCCCCTGGGAAACGATGGCATGTGCCAAGTCAGTGAGTCTGACCACGCGATCCTGTCAGTCGCCTCTTACAACAAGCATGGGTTACTGAAGACCAATTCTTACCCGGATCTTCACAGGTTTCTTTCATTGGTTTTACAATTATATTCATATGCCAAAGAGAAGCTTTTGACAGCGCGATTTGTATGGCAGACAGAACATGTCCGACTGCTTTGCGACATATGTATATTAAAAGCAAAGATTGGAGACTGGGTAGATCATTTTTCAAAACTTATCCTACCCCTTCTTAGAGTATTAAATACAAAATAATCCTCCGTTCATTCAATAGTACATATTCTACATTACTTGGCCCAAGGATGAATCCAACGGACTGGAATATGCTGACATTAGCCATTGCAGGGGTTCGTTCAGACATATTGGTCGCACCGGCTACATATGCTCTCACCACGGCCACGTTTCCTGAAACAGATTAATTAAACATGGTGTCATGTGGTGCTCCGTTACTTTAAAAGTGTAATGGGGTTAATTTGAGGAATTTATATACTGACGGCGAAATGTAACCTTACAGTGTCACCGGGTGTTCGTGAAATGGGGAGAATGTGGGATCAGGGTGAGATCACAATAATATTGTCAATAAAGCGGTGTAAGATATGATAAGTTGTTAACTGGTCACGAGGGGGACAAGGGCTGATGTACCCTGTATGTTTGTTTATGTTCCCTGAGCCCGAAGGGGTAATTTTGAACTGTTTGAAGCACGGGTATCAGATAATAATAATAATAATAGTTCATTTATAAAGCGCATATTTCCATGCACAATGCATGCTCAAAGCGCTGATGTCAGGACGAAAAGGCTTTTTGGAAAAGGTGGGTCTTTAGCGATGTTCGAAAGGTTGAAAGTTCTGTAATTTCTCTCAAATGTTGTGGGAGATGATTCCATTCTGAGGCTGCAGCATAAGAGAAAGTTCTTTGACCAAATTTAACTGTTCTGACTTTAGAAATACACAGAAGATTATGTTTCTCGGAGCGGAGGGATCTTGTTGGTTTGTATGGAGAAAGGAGGTCGGACAGATATTGAGGTGCACTTCCAGAGAGACATCTGAAGGCGAGAATGCAGAGTTTAAAAGTGATGCGCTGTGGAATGGGCAACCAGTGGAGGTCCTTCAACACAGGGGTGATGTGAGCTGACTTGGGTGAGAGAGTGACTATTCTTGCTGCTGTGTTCTGAACCCGTTGCAGTCTACCAATCTGGGATTTTGTTGCACCAGCAAAGAGGCTGTTGCAGTAATCTAGTCTTGTCATCACCAATGAGAGGACAAGGATTTTAGCTGACTCCTTTGTGAGAAGCTTTCGAATGTTTCCAATGTTTCGGAGGAGTAGGAAGCATGTCCTGCACAAGATGATAATGTGCTGGTCCAATGACAGCTCAGGATCAACAGTCACGCCAAGGTCCTTAACACTGTTAGATAGTGGAACAGTGGTTTCGCCAAAGTGAAACGACTTGATGTTGGTCTGTTCTCGGCGAGGTGTTGTCCCTACCAGAAGACACTCTGTCTTGTCCTCATTTAGCTTCATAATACCGAGTTATCTTTCTTCCATCGATTTGCATTCGCAAAACATCGGCTATTTCCGTACATCATACGTGACTCAATTATTGGATATAAAGAATAACTAACACTAAGTTCCAAATGAATTCCCACTTCTCGGCATACCCATCGGTAACATCGAAGTTGACATCCATAAATTCGTTTCTTTATGGGTGTCATTTCTAAATGCCGTTCAAAGACAGTCAAGTTACAACACGGTTACATGCGTCTTCCCTGGGAAGGGAGATAACTGACTAAACAGGTAGGTAGGTAGGTAGGTAGATAAGGTTATAGGGCGACCTTGGGCCTTAAAAGGCCTATATGCGCCCAACACTTAACAAACTGTTATATTTTTGTTCAGTTAGATTACGTTGTACTTACCCGTTTTAACGAGGAAGTCTAAAACAGCTCTTTGTATGCAACAATACATTAAATTATCGCCAAGTATTGCGTTCATTGAACAAGCATTTTGGGTTTTGTTAAGCACAGTTTCTTTAGGAGCCTTACGTGGGTTTTCATGAGCTGGACATTCAATGAGGTAGTGCTGAACTGTTTCTGGGCAGTGTAAGTTACAGCTTTCACACAGAGGAGATAGGTCTTTATCTAAAATACGTCTATATGCCTTTAATCCACAATGTCCCAGCCTGAGGCGAGTTAAAAAAACTTCATCTCTGCGACAACGCCGACGAATTTTAAAATGTTTGTTTACTACAGGACAAGTAGAGTACATGTGTCTACCTGTAGTTTCATTATCCCATTTATTTTGCCAAGATGCAGTTATTGAAAACTAAACAGCACTTTTACAGTCAGTTACCTCCCTTGCCCCAGGAAGGCTTGCTACACGTTAATAATCGGTCTGGACCAGACAAATTAGAGTCAACATGTACATGTATTATATATTATCCACGCCGTCGGAAACATTGACAGATCGATCCTCCATCTATAGACAAGTCTGGTATTGTAGATATACTGGTGTTCTGCTCGCGAGCACAGAACCATGTGATGGAAACCCAAGACAAAGTACAATTAGAAATATTGGTAACCAATTATAATGATTAGCATTAGGGAACAAACATTTGCCATGACATAAAGATCGGCGGCGTAGCTTAGAGCCAAAAGATTTCACTCGCCACACAAACACCTGGTTTCGACTCCCATATGAGTACACAGCATCATGCTAATGTCTGGTGTCCCCCCGCCATGAAGCTGCTGGATTATTGCTAAAATCCATCCACATATATGCAACACAGAGTTAGGGAATGAGTTTAGTTGTATGCCGCGTTTAGCAATATTCCAGCAACATCACGGCTGGGGACACCAGAAATGGGCTTCACACATTGTACCCATGTGGGGAATCGAGTCCAGGTCTTCGACTTGACGAGCGAACGCTTTAACCATAAGGCTACCCCGCATGCAACACAAAACAAACTGAAGGAGTTAAGTTTTACCCACCTGCACCAAAGCCTATGAGCCCACGAGAAATGATCATTAAAAGTCCTTTGGGCCCCGGGATGGTCTGCAGATAGGCGTACATGATGTTCGCCCCTATACCGAGTGTAATGGAGGCCACGAGAGGTTCCCTACTCTGGCCCCTGCAGTTGGCCCATATCCCGAACAACGGGGAAGCCACGAGCTGTCCAACACTGTATGCGGCCACCACCCATCCCAGGAAGTCGGCAGTCGCGGATGGGTCGAGCTAAAAGAGAAAGAGTGAGTGAATGAGAGTGGTTTTACGCCGCTTTTAGCAATATCAGCAATATGACGGCGGGGGACACCAGAAATGGGCTTCACACATTGTACCCATGTGGGGAATCGAACCCGGATCTTTGGCGTGACCAGCGAACGCTTTAACCACTAGGCTACTCCACCGCCCCTGAAGATAAGAGGTTCATTGGGGATCTGATATTAAGGTACTTCCGTCATCTGCTTGTATGACTGCATTTGTAGGTAACTTATTCAATAGTTTTGCGGTTCTAAGGACTATTTCAATATTCGTTTTGCTTGTGTTTGTGATGTTTGGCAATCTTTTCAAGACAATGAACATAGAAGTTCAGTTTCCGTTATTGTCAACAATAAACTGGAATTCCTAACTTCCTATTTTGCCTAGCCTTATGAGTCCATGCATTGTCCAATTGTCGACATTCGAATGTCGACATTCGAAGGTCGATTATAGGATGCGCAATACCTGTCACCCGAGCCTAGACTCATATTGTATAAACTTCTTCGTGTTTTAATGAACGAGCTCAACTGATGTGACGCACTTTTCGTGCCGTTTCAATATAAATCTTGATAATTGTCAGATTGTCTACTCAGTTGTTTGGTTTGTTGTTCAACGATGCACCCAGCAATATTTCAGCTATATGCCATCTGTAAGTAATCAATTCTGGACCAGACAATACAGTGATCAACATCATGAACAACGATCTGCGTCACTGGGATACGATCACATGTGTCAACCAGGTCAGCGAGCCTGACAACCCGATCCTGTTAGTCACCTCTTTCGAAAAGCATGGGTTGCTGAAGACCATTTATAACCCGGATCTTCAGGGTCGTTTGCTTGATGCAAATGTAAATGATATGGCAGATGGAATGTGATTGGTCAATTCGAGGGATAAAACTCGTAATAGGTCTGAGTGGCGTTACGATACAGCCAAAAGATGCAAGCCTAGTTTGGCAAGGATGGAAACTGGATTCCTCTGTGACGTTAACTCCTTTGTTTCGGGCAAATCCACCAAGTTTAAATGCACCAACAAGGCTGTCGTAGACGGAAAAGCGGCTTAAACCTTGTTAATTCGATCTGATTCTATTCTTGAAAAGAAATACGTAATTAACATACTTTGGAATGTAAATCTGACTGATCGCACGTCAGAATGCGATACAAAGATAAGTTGCTGCAACTACACCCTGTCTTTGAAATTCTAACTTAAGCCTGTAGCTTTGTGATGGGAAACTGAACACACCTTGACATTTCCTTTATCTGAGGATACACAGGCTCGTTACTTTTGATCTTAGTGGATGACGTTTCAATCTCAGATAGTCAGTTATGTTTTCATGAAGGGTTTGAAGAATGTTTGAACATTTTTCACTCCTGTCAGCTTCGATTTTGTTGTGTTTGATTGTTGTTTAGTGTCCCAATATGAGCGCCGCCTCGAGTCTGGACCAAACAATCCACTGATTAACATTGTGAGCAGCGAACTGTGTTGTCAGGATCCGAAGTCACGCGATCAACTAGGTCACCGAGCCTGACCACCCCATGCGACAGTGTCCTGAACCAGTGATCAGAACAGGTTGGTGTGTGTGTGTGTGTGAGTGAGTGAGTGAGTGAGTGAGTGAGTGAGTGAGTGAATGAGTGAGTGAGTGAGTGAGTGAGTGAATGAGTGAGTGAGTGAGTGAGTGAGGTGAGCCTGACCACCCCTGCGAGTGAGTGAGAACAGGTTGGTGTGTGAGTGAGTGAGTGAGTGAGTGAGTGAGTGAGTGAGTGAGTGAGTGAGTGAGTGAGTGAGTGAGTATGACACCAGAAATGGGCTTTACACCTTGTAAAACCCGGGTTTTCGGCATGACGAGCGAACACTTTCACCATTGTTCTACCCCACCGCCCTGAAGTCGGTGCAAAACCTACAACAAGATGAAGAGAAATGGGATGTAGCATCTCGTCTACGAGGACTTCACACAAATACCTATGTGCATGCACACGTGGGTATGTCTCATGGTCCCTGTCCATGTATATATATGGTTTTATCGTGTTGGATCCCGATCCACAAAGCGTTCGTAACGTTACAACCTGTCGCAACTTTAAAGTTTTTCATAGGCTTAGGAACCTTTTTGGACTCAGATCCACTGAGTTGTCATGCCCCAGTTTAACATATCTCACGGTCAACCAGCTCTGATTTTATTATAATAATGATAATAATAATGAGAATATTTACCCTAGATATCCTGCTCAAAGTGCACATTCTGATCGTTATTCCCTGGATAACCTGTTAGGTGCTAATCGTTAATAGTCTCACGTCTTATTTCACCCGGGTACCCATTTTCTGCTGGGTGAATACAGGCAATTTTGAACAAACTCACTTGCCTAAGGTGAGACCACATGTATCACATGTACTCCGTTGTGGGGCAGGACTGAAGTCCTAGAAACTCTCAGGAGTCAAGCTGTCAAACACGGTCACCCATCAAAGACTCTCCGCGCCCAACGTTGCTTAACTTCAGCTGAGGGTGACCTGAGCTCTATGCATATTCTGCTGGGTGAACACAGGCCATTTTGAACAAACTCACTTGCCTAAGGTGAGACCACATGTATAACATGAGCTTCGTTGTGGGGCAGGACTGAAGTCCTAGAAACTCTCAGGAGTCAAGCTGTCAAACACGGTCACCCATCAAAGACTCTCCGCGCCCAACGTTGCTTAACTTCAGCTGAATGTGACCTGAGCTCTATGCATCCCACGTCACCACTATTAATCCCCTGAATGCCGACTAAGCAGGGTACTATTTTTAACGGTTTTGGTTCGACGCGGCCAGTGAATCCATCCATCGACCTTCTGTCTCCAGACAGACGTTCCATCCATTACGCCAATGATGCGGTAATCCACGAATAAGTACCGAGTGTTCATTTATATCTCAGAGACTGGAAAGCTATATTTTTAATCAACCTCGCGTTTGTATCACTTTCTTTAAATTTATTCAGTTAATTGTATTTTTTCTCTCTTCCATGTTTCACAAGTCAAAGAACACGACCCACTCGTAAGTTGATGACAAAGTATGGTTTACACTGCATTTCCAAAGAAAAACCCAATACGTTATTAACCTTTTGTGTGAATCGTGTTTATATAAATGTAAATGCATTTAACAATCGATGGTTTGGAATGCGCTTAAAATCCAACCTTGCCCAGTAGAACCCAGTGATGAAATGTAATGAAAGAGTTAGGTTTAGTGCCTCTGTGGGCAGTATATATCTTCTATCCTAGCAGGGATGGTAGCCTAGTGGTTAAAGCGTTCCTTCTTCCCGCCGAAGATTCGAATCCCCACATCTGTACAATGTGAGATATTTAGTGTGATATTTCTTTGATATTTCTAAAAGCGGCGTTAAACCACTTTCCGTCACTCTGTCCCCGCATAACACTTGGGACAAGAAGGACTTCCAGATTTTGAACATTTTGGTGCTACCTATGGACGAGTGAGTGAGTGGGTGGGTGAGTGAGTTTAGTTTTACGCCGCATTCAGCAATATTCCAGCTATATGGCGGCGGTCTGTAAATAATCAAGTCTGGACCAGACAATCCAGTGATCAACAGCATGAACATCGATCTGCCCAATTGGCTGACTGACTGACTGAGTATGGTTTTACGCCGCTTTTAACAATACTCCAGCAATATCACGACGGGGGACACCAGAAATGGGCTTCACACAATGTGCCCTTGTGGGAATCGAACCCGGGTCTTCTGCCCAATTGGGATAAGATGACATGTGTCAACCTGACCACCCTGACCTCCCAATCCCGTTAGTCGCCTCTTACGACAAGCATGGGTTGCTGAAGATCAATTCCAACTCGGACCTTCACGGGTACCTATAGACGAATACCAGTGTGGTTCAGACTAACCATTGAGGTCTCAAGCAGTGCGAATGTAGCACTCGAACACAAGATGATTCAACGTCTAAGGGACGCAACTCTTGGCGCGTAATAATCTGGTCACCTGTGCCAGTTAATGACATACAGGTCAGATCATGACGAAGGAGGTACGATAACAGGCGAAAGATAAGTCCGTGACAGGTCCTGTATATGTTTTTCTGCCTCTCCAATCGATACAATATCGTATGACAATCACAAATATGTCTGCCTTTACAGATACACAGTTGTCGTTGACCAACAACACATCAATCTTCAGATCATCCATCATTAAATAGAAGACAGTAATACAACGTCATTATGTAAGAAAAAGAATATTAACTAATTCATAAACTGTAAGGGCGGAGTAAGGTTTTTAACGGCGGGGGACAACAGACATTGGCTTCACACAGTAACCATGTGGGGAATAGATCCCGGGTCGTCGGCGTGACAAGCGAACGCTTTACCCGCTATGCTACTCCACAGCTCAACAATGTCATAATTCATTAAGGGAATATTCATTAATTCAGAAACATGAAGTACGATCATATAGTGTCAGAAGACATAGATGTTTATCTCGCAATACAACAATACAAAATGCCGAGTGTATAGAAACGTTTAAGTCAAATTATTACCGAAAGCGAAGTAGAATAGTCCATTTTCCATTGAAATACCACACTACGGAAATGAGTATATTTCTTCCGAGAGGCATTTCTCCATTAATATTTGAAGGATAGATTACAGTATATTAAAATGTCCTTATAAACATAAGATTTTGTTGATGCTGCTCTGACACCCCTATGTATATTATTGATGCGAATGTGAGAATGGGGATATGTAGACATATTATAGTAACGTATTCGTTAACACAAAACGTCACGATGAAGCTTGTGTACATACCACTTGCAGGAAAGGCCATATTGAAGATAAAGTCAAGGTGAAGGTCACACTGCTGAGGAACATCGTCAAATACATCACCCTGATGGACCACCATCGTTTCCGGTCTGAGAGATCGCCAGGTTGAACGGCCTTTTTCTTAAAGCTGGAAAGGAGAACATAAAACTATCATATAAAGGTCCAGTAAAAACAACACCAATATATACATGATGTCAAAATAATTAACATCACGTGAAAAACCCAAGCAATCAGAAAGTGCTGAGTATGAGAAAAATAATTACATAAATGGTTGAATACAAAATCGCACAGGTAAAACAAAACATGTCATTCACAATAAATTATAAAATTGAAAACAATAAGATCAAATTATTACATATCTCATACAAACTTGGTCGGCCCGTATTTTGTAAACACGAAATCTAAATACGTGATAGGAAGGTCATCATAATATGCGGAAGCCAAAACTCACTATAAAGCCATATATTTCAATGTGTTGTGAGAGACCGACTGAACAGACCCCAAAACCAAAATACCGTTATGTCAACACATGATCACAGGCTGACCCAAATGATATAACTGACAGCTTGAGCTGGCATATACTGATAACTCATTGGTCAAAGTCTAAGGCCCGAAAGGGTGTGATATTCTTCTTGTCAGTTGGAGTGGAGGTCTTTCGTAGACTGCGCACAATGCAGCTATGGACTATTAGGGTTAGCTGTCGGTGTATAAGCTGCAACAATGAAACAACTTCAATTCCTATATTGAGTGGTGACTCTGAGATAGGGCGATTTCAATAGATAAACAGTTGAAATATGTGTCACAGATATACACATACCTGGATTTCTGCATGCCTCCATTATCTTAACATTGGAGCATGCGCATTGGGAACCTGTTATTATTTCCTTGTAAATAGAAGATAACTGTTAACCCCCTCAAGGGAGATGTCAAGTCGAATGTATGTCTCTGTGTGTAGGTGTGGGTGTGTGTGTGGGGGTGTGTAGGTGTATGTGTGTGTGTGGGGCATGAGAAAGCTATTTCATTTCTTATCTTATTCGTATTATTTCGTGTAGTGCTCTTACCATATCTGGGGAGGTGGGGGTAGCCTAGTGGTTAAAACGTTCGCTCGTCACGCCTCAGACCTGTGTTCGATTCCCAACATGGGTACAATGTGTGAAGCCCATTTCTGGTGTCCCCCGCCGTGATATTCATGGACTATTGCTAAAGACGGCGTTAAACTAAACTCACTCACTCACTCTTACCACATCCAAGTGAGATTGATCACCAGTTTGAAATTTAGAGCAACAAGCCCTACTGTAGATGAGGTGGAAAGGCATGAAAGCAAAATCATGCACTCTGCCAACGGCGCTTTATATCTGCTTAAAACCCCAATGTCTAAATAAACAGGTCTGAACAGTTGAAATGTATATATGTGTATGAATATTGCACATAACCATGTGACGTAACGTACGTGATCATGCAGGCTATGTGATAAATTATCTACTTTTGCTAACATAGAATCTTTCCATCTTTGCTTTGGAGACGAATGTACGTCCTTGTGCCACAGTCAGAATTTTTTTTATCTCCTAATTAGTCATCTCCTAATTTTTTCTCCTAATTAGGTCATACTATCTCCTAATTAGGACTTAATATCTCCTAATTAGGTCATACTATCTCCTAATTAGGACTTAATATCTCCTAATTAGGACATAGCTATCTCCTAATTAGGACATAGCTATCTCCTAATTAGGACTTAATTAGGACTTCTTATAAATATGTTTGAAAAGTCAACCAGTAGTCATTCACTTCTTCTGTTTAGGCTTAAGCATCTTGGATGAAGTCATGGATGAAAGCATATGCATTTGTTTCATGTTGGACATGCAGTATTCAGAAATTGTGTCTTGTTTGGCCCATGTAAATGGCATCATTATCAGCATGAAGACTTTGAAAAGGAAATCAAAACGACTGAATCTGTTTAGGCGAAGCCATAATAGTGATATTGCAGAAGTTGCTATGTTCGTAGTGAAAGTGAGTAAGTGAGTATGTTTTTACGCCGCTTTTAGCAATATTCCAGCAATATCACGGCGAGGGACCGTAGTGAAAGAGGTAGAAGAATCAGGACAAATGTGTACTTACAAGCTTATGCATCTGAAATGCATACAAGAGGGATTCATTATCAGTCAAGACATGGTGTTTCATTTGCTACATTTAGTAGTGGCAGAAATGAGAGTACAAGAACACCCAACTGCATGTACTTCCATAGAGATCGGGTAGCCTCCCTGAATGTGAGAGGCTACCACACTGATGACGTCACTAGGGGGAATCCCCCTTGTTTCCTCTATAGCATGGCTGACGCCATGTTGAAAAAAACTCAAGTCGTCCGTTTGCGTAATGACACATGCCTGCACAAATGCAAATTTATAGAGCGAAATAAACAATGACAACATACAACTTCTAGACACAATATTCAATATCCCTGTGCATGCAGAATGGACATGGGTAGGAGAGCCTCCCCAAGCCACCCTTACAATCTATATACAGATGTCTCTTGAAATATACAAATACACTTTACACATCTCTCTACCATGTGGTGGTGTCTGGCAGTATGTGGTGGTGATGGTGGTGTGTGGTATGTGGTGGTGTGATGTGATGGTGTGGTGGTGGTGGTGGTGATGGTGATGGTGATGGTGGTTGTGGTGATGGTGATTGTGATGGTGGTGTGTGGTGGTATGGGTGGTTTGTGTGTGTGGTATGTGTTGTGTGGTGGTGGTAGTGGTGGTGGTGCTGTGTCTGCTGCTGCTGCTGCGGCTGCGTCTGCGTCGTCGTCAGCGTCAGTGGAACCACATTTTGGCATTCATCAGAATGTTTGATTCTCATGTGTCTCTTCAAATCATAGGGGCGGTGGGGTAGTCTAGTGGTTAAAGCGTTGGCTCGTCACTCCAAAGACCCGGGTTCGAATCCCCACATGGGTACAATGTGTGAAGCCCATTTCTGGTGCCCCCCGCCATGATGTTGCTGGAATATTGCTAAAAGCGGCGTAAAACCAAACTCAGACAGTCAGTCAGTCTTCAAATCATAAGACCATGTATAAGTATTTCCACACAAAGAATAGATATCCATCTTGATGTTTCTCCTCAAAAGGTCAGTGACAGAACAACAAGGTTCTGGGCTATTCATACCTCCATTCATTGGCTCTTCTCTGATTCTCCAATGACCATAGGCCAGACTGGTTACACCATCTTCGGGAAGATATCGCTTGTCATTGAAGGGAGACGACCAAATATCAGTGCATAAAATGGGGTAATATGGGAAATGCTAATGGAACTACTATTAAATTAATTGTTGTGATTGCACTTGTAAAAATGACTGTAAAACTTAGTGATAACGTTTTGTTTGTTTTTATAAACATGGTTTTCAATATAGTTGTGCAAGACGATTTGAAAGGTAGGCCTACTAACCCACTGATCTAGTTATACAGGTCACGTCTGTTGTACATAGCCAGGCGTGTATGCACAGGCTAAGACTCGAAATATATTATTGGATACAAGTGGACAGACATTACACTATATATAAAACTATGTATAAACCTGGGACAGCCTTCTGTTCAGTTGGGAAGACGTATGTATGTAGCCTGTCATAGATTCGTAGGACAGTAAGGACTGTGTTTATATGACAAGGCATGCTTACATGACGATGTGAAAAAATGTGACTGTTGATCTCATAGATTATATGGATTATGCGATACTGTGGATAAATAATAATGAACAGGTGACGTCATTGGCGTTGGGTGTTCTGGTGCTCTTATTTCTACCGCTACTAAATGCAGCAAAGACGCACCGTGTCTTGACTGACAGCGAATCCCTCTTGTATGCATTTCAGATGCATAAGCTTGTAACCACATATTTGTCCTGATTCTTCTATAACATGCTTTATTTGGGATTACACTTTCTTATAAAGTACAATTCTAGTACTTTTGTTGGGTTGAGTCCCATCAGGGATGGCATCCAATCGCCAGCACCAGCACACAAAGTCAGCCGGCTCACCCACCGCGACTTCCAGCCACCGCTGGCGATTAGGTGCCTGACTCTGAGGGTGTGGGAAAGTGTAATCCCATATATAACATAGGTTACATCTGACCACTTTCTAAATGGCACTGTGTAATCACTGGTTCTTCTACCTCTTCTACCTCTTTCACTAGTATGTCTTCGCCTACACAGTTTCAGTCGTTTTGATTTCCTTTTCAAAGTCTTCCATGAGCCAAACAAGACACAATTTCTGAATACTGCATGTCCAACATGAAACAAATGCATATGCTTTCATCCATGACTTCATCCAAGATGCTAAACCCAAACAGAAGAAGTGAATGACTACTGGTTGACTTTTTCATACATATTTATAAGGTCCATAAGTCCTAATTAGGAGATATTAAGTCCTAATTAGGAGATATTAAGTCCTAATTAGGAGATATTTAAGATCCCTAATTAGGAGTTAGCTAATTAGGAGATAGTATCACCTAATTAGGAGATAGCTAAAATTCTGACTGTGGCACTAGGACGCTTCCGTACGAATGTAGGAGAGAAAGTCACAGGAAAAAAGTCACGGATAAAAAGTCACAATACAATAATACTACAATAATACTTTTTGTGATGACTGTCTGTTTATATCAAGTACATGTAACTTGGCTTCTGATTCTGACGGAGTATTAAAGCGGGTACATTGTGATGTTGTTCTTGTTTTCTTTTGATGTGTGATTATTTCCTAGGATATGAAACTGGCTAGCTATTCTCGAAACTTCCGTAGCCCCACGAACTTGTTAAGCATATTCTTAACACATTTGCTACGATTCTTAGGGCTACGAACGTTTCGAGTATAAGGACCCTGCGCCTAGATTTTCGAAGCCTTAGCGCTAGATTTTCAAGCATTAACTTATGACTCTTAGCGCTAAGATAATCATAAGTTAATGTTAATGTATGGCACTTACGACTATCTTAGCGATAAGAAGGCTTCGAAAATCTGGACCCAGGCCTCTAAACAAAAAGAGTATACATGTATATCTTTTCGATTTTACCTTTCACATGTCCATCAAGCCTGAGCTACGAACGTTTCGAGAATAGCTAAAATTCATTCACAGAAAGCCTGAAAACATTCACAAACCCAACAGATATGAGACAACCACACAATCACCCAACCGGCTATGCCTATATCGAGATGACCAAAGTTCGACTCCAAATGAAGACACCAGGGATAAGCCGAGCCAGATATTTGTTATTGTGACTTTTTTCCTGTGACATTTTTTCCTAGCCAAAAAATTGTGACTTTTTCCGTGACTTTTTTCCCTGTGACATTCTTTCCGATCACTTTGGAGACAACCTCCCTTGAATACGTTTTAAACAAGACCCAATCTTCACTGATTTCGACAAAGATGACACGACATCGTAGTACGGTCTGTATTTGACGTGTATTCGTGTGTGCGTGTGTCCGTTTCTACTTATTATTGAGGAGTGTTTCCGTCTGTATATTGTATGTAGGGTCTGTATATGAATGTAAACGTGTGTGTGTGTGCATGCGTGTGTGCGTGTGTGCGTTTCTACTTATTATTGAGAAGTGTTTCCGTCTGTATATTGTATGTAGGATCTGTATATGAATGTAAACGTGTGTGTGTGCATGCGTGTGTGCGTGTGTGCGTTTCTACTTATTATTGAGGAGTGTTTCCGTCTGTATATTGTATGTAGGGTATGTATATAGAGAATCTCACCCGAGTGTCAAATATATCACCACGAGTTGATAAAGTAACAAATATCCGAGGCTTGCCGAGGATATTTTTACTTTTATCAACGAGTGTTGATATATTTGATATCAGAAGACACGAGGGTGAGATTCTATTTATCATCAAAAATCACTCTTCATTAGTTTTCAATGGAAAATGTACATCTCTGAACACAGTACTGCCATTAGATTTGCAGTGCAGCGATGTCATAACATTGTGACGTCAACAAGTTCATGACGTCATAGCATTGTCAGGGCATTGTACCAAAGCTACTGTCAAAACGATATCTCCTAGGAGATATCGTCTGATCTCACACAAGCGATATCTACTGTGGAATACAGTTTTGGATGATAATCGGTGTATGCGTGTGCGTTTCTACTTATTATTGAGGAGTGTTTCCGTCTGTATATTGTATGTAAGGTTTGCATATGAATGTGAACGTGTGTGTGTATGCGTGTTTGCGTGCGTGCATTTCTCCTTTTTAGTGAGGAGTGTTTCCGTCTGTATATTGTCTGTAGGTTATATATATGTATGTAAACGTGTGTGTGTGTGCGTGCGTGCATGTGTGCGTTTCTACTTATTAAGGAGTGTTTCCGTCTGTATATTGTTTCTGGGTTCGGTATATGATTGTAAACGTGTGTGTGTATGCGTGCGTGCGTGCGTGCGTTTCTACTTATTAAGCAGTGTTTCCGTCTGTATATTGTATGTAGGTTATATATATGTATGTAAACGTGTGTGTGTATGCGTGCGTGCGTGCGTGCGTGCGTTTCTACTTTTTAAGAAGTGTTTCCGTCTGTATATTGTTTCTAGGTTCGGTATATGAATGTAAACGTGTGTGTGTATGCGTGCGTGCGTGTGTGTGTGCGTTTCTACTTATTATTGAGGAGTGCTTCCGTCTGTATATCGTATGTAGGGTCTGTATATGAATGTAAACGTGTGTGTGTATGCGTGTGTGCGTGTTTGCGTTTCTACTTATTATGGAGTGTTTCCGTCTGTATATTGTTTCTAGGTTCGGTACATGAATGTAAACGTGTGTGTGTATGCGTGCGTGCTTGTGTGCGTTTCTACTTATTATTGAGTGTTTCCGTCTGTATATTGTTTCTAGGTTCGGTTTATGAATGTAAACGTGTGTGTGTATGCGTGCGTGCGTGTGTGCGTTTCTACTTATTATTGAGGAGTGAATTCCGTCTGTATATTGTTTCTAGGTTCGGTATATGAATGTAAACGTGTGTGTGTATGCGTGCGTGCGTGTGTGCGTTTCTACTTATTATTGAGGAGTGTTTCCGTCTGTATATCGTATGTAGGGTCTGTATATGAAACGTGTGTGTACATGCGTGCGTGTGTGTGCGTTTCTACTTATTATTGAGGAGTGAATTCCGTCTGTATATTGTTTCTAGGTTCGGTATATGAATGTAAACGTGTGTGTGTATGCGTGCGTGCGTGTGTGCGTTTCTACTTATTATTGAGGAGTGTTTCCGTCTGTATATTGTATGTAGGGTATGTACATGAATGTAATTTTTGAGTGAGTTTAGTTTTACGCCGCACTCAGCAATATTCCAGCTGTGTGGCGGATATATGTTTGTATACGTGTGGGTGTATGCGTGTGTGCGTTTCTACTTATTATTGAGGAGTGTTTCCGTCTGTATATTGTATGTAGGGTCTGTATATGTATGTAAACGTGTGTGTGTGCGTGCGTGCGTGTGTGCGTTTCTACTTATTAAGGAGTGTTTCCGTCTGTATATTGTTTCTAGGTTCGGTATATGAATGTAAACGTGTGTGTGTATGCGTGCGTGCGTGCGTGCGTGCGTGCGTGCGTGTCTATTTATTATTGAGAAATGTTTCCGTCTGTATATATATTGTATGGTATCATTAACATTAATTGTCAAACACAGACAGATAACACAGACATTGGCCGGCTCGCACTGCTACGTTGCGAATTACCACAGTCCACAGTCATTTTGCCCATCGACATCCATGTACACCATTATTGGTGTGTCTGTCTGGACGTGCTCCCCGGCGTTTGCGATCTTCGGCCCATTTTAGTGTCACATATATCATGTGTCTAAAGTTCGAATAATGTGTTATATGTTCATAATAGTATCTGATAGGCCATTAACTGGCCGGATATTATGTGCATAGTACATTTACACGTATTTATTTCTTGCTGAATATAAACATATTTGTCACCAATATAAACAGTATTGTTTTAATTATTTCAAGGTCTTCAACACATATTCAGGTTAACCACATATGGGTTTTGATAAATCCAGAACACCACATTAAACTCTATAATATGTCAAATTCATCATAAAGTACCCATAAATATCACACCTTTAATATGAGGATTTACGGTACGATCAAAGATGAAGATCACTTAACAATACACTGATACGGGATATCTGATCCACCATAATGCGATGAAATAAGTTTGCTTCGTGTAACACACTGTGATTAAACATAGCCTCTATCTATCCGCAGGACTTACCTGTTTTTTCCCAGTATTGGTGATCGTTCGTTTGGTTCGTCCATATCCGATACTTGGGATGTATGTTTCCGTCTCGCTTGAAATGTCGTCTGCTAGACAAAAGGAGCAGACGAGAGGTCACGTGGCGAGCGCGAGAGGATGACACATGACACCATGTTAGATTATCTACCCTGATTAGTAACTTATCACGGTTATGGGAGCATAGATGGGTTTATCTGACAACAGTAATTACTGACTGACTGACTGAGTTTGGTTTTACGCCGCTTTTAGCAATATTCCAGCAACATCACGGCGGGGGACACCAGAAATGGGCTTCACACATTGTACCCATGTGGGGATTCGAACCCGGGTCTTCGGCGTGACGAGCCAACGCTTTAACCACTAGGATACCCCACCGCCCCCGACAACAGTAATTAAACGTTATCGACGTCGTATAGCGCTTGAAACTTTTTTCTGACCATTTCATCGCCTGTCTTTTATTTTACGCCCCACGCAGTAATACTGACAGAGGTTTTTTTACGGCGGTCTGTAAATAATCGAATCTTGACTTGACAATCCAGTGATTGACCTCACAAGCATCGATCTATTCTACTGGGATGCGATGACATGTATCAACCACGGCGGCGAGTCTGACGCCCTGACCCGTTAGCCGCTGATAACTTACACGGATCTGATAGGGCGGACCCGTATAGTGATTGTATTGGACACGGGGTTCCGAGTGAACAATCCAACGAAAACCGCGGTTTACATTAAATAAGATAGATACCTTACAACATTGTTCTGAAACAGAAACAAATGTAAGAATTATATGCAAAATTGTGATTACATTCCATTTAAAAGATCTGCACGACCCGGTTAACTCACACTGACCAAGGTGTATAACGCATGTTAACTTCGGTTGAGCAATGTCAGCAAATGTTAACTGATTTACCTTGAGCGAGTGAGTGAGTGACTGAGCTTCGTTTTACGCCGCTTTTAGCAACATTTCAGCAATATCACAACAGGGGACAATGGTTTCACAAATTCTACCCATATGGGGAATCCCCCGCCGTGATATTGCTGGAATATTGCTAAAAGCGACGTAAACCCATACTCACTCATGTGGGGAATCGAACCCGGGTCTTCGGCGAACGCTTTCAGCACTAGGCTACACCTCCGCCCCATATACGTCGGTTGACAAATGTCGTCCTTACCGAGGTACAGTATTGTGTTTTCAGAAAGTGCATTAATTAGCTTTCGATGCTGAGCCCTCGAGTTCTGGCATTACAGGCCTTTTCTCAAATTGTCCAATCATCAGACTAAGTGACTTAAAATAGAATCCCTTTTTTGAGATGGTCAGCATGAAATATATAAAAGGTAAGATAAGTGTCCATACGTTGCAGAATATTTATATGTAGATACATCTTGGGAAAATGCCTTAATTTAGATTTTTGCCCCAGTCTGGTTAGTAGGTTTCACTTAGGAATTATATATTTGCAATATGTCTAAAGGTGTCTTCGTCAAACGTCGTTCTTTGTCAATACATATAAAAAAATCGAAATCATAATGGGCGAGCTGTCTTAGGCGCCAAGCTAGTGATCCAGCGAGATTGAGGTGCCGGGATCGAACCCACCTGTGACCGGGTGTAAAAATCTTGGAGTCAACTTTGTGTGAAGACTCTTTCAGTGTTTCAGTCTGTTTGGGTCAAAATGATACCGATAAATCACTATCTAATTTCCAAATCGGGTCATGATCACAATCATTTCAACGCAGAATGTAACGAAAACATCAGATCAACTCTGGAAAAAAGTTTCATAACGTTTGTCTCCCCCCACAAAAAGTTACTTAACAAACTGTCATCATTTTCCGTGTGAAGTTTTGCAAGGGTAAAGTAACAGTAATGCTATAGTAGGGACATCCTCACGTCTAATTAAGTAAAGTAAGAACGTTATTGAGGGAAAGTGAAGCGGTCGTAAAATCTGATGTTCCTTGCAGCAACGGGAATACAAATCAGGACAGTCACTTGAATTCATTTTGGTTGCAACGTGTATTCTCCGGTTGTTCTATTCTTTAGCTTGTTCACCCGAGAGTTCACGCATGTTACCTCATAGAACAATTGCAGGTGGGTGTTTAGACAAAATTAATTTGTATGTGTTTTGAATGTCAAATACAGCGGTGTCAAACTCTAATGTATCGAATTATCGGTTGTGACGAACTGTTCGAACGATCTCAACGACTTCCCCAACTCTTCGAGACCGTCTCCGTGGTGTAGTTGTTAGAGCGTCCGCCCGGAGAGCGGAAGGTCGCGGGTTCGATCCACGGCCGCGTCATACCATAAGACGTTAAAATATGGTACTTGTTGGTCCCTGCCTGGCGCTCGGCATTAATGGGTACAACAAGGACTGGTCGACTCGGAGTCAGTATAATGTGTCTGAGTGGGGTATTCATGCTTCACTGCGGCATGGTATCTCAGTGGGCTAGCACTATTAAAACCAGCTTAAGTCTGGGCTAGTACAAGCAGCCGCACATACACATACACACGCATGCACGTCGTCATATGAGCGAAATATTCTCAAGCACGACGTTAAACCTCACCAATTTCACCTCACCTCACCTCACCCCACTCTTCGAATTCATTGCTTTTAAGCTCAGGTAAGTCAAATTTGATTTGTCGAAATTTCCCTTATTCGTACGTTTTGCAGTCACAAATGACATTGTAAGTGCAAAAATGCCCTCATGAGTTAACTGAACATATATCTTCAAGGTATAGTAGGGTATATTTTAGCTATGTGGGGAATCGAACGCGGAGTTTTGGTCTGACGAGCGAACGTTTTAGACACGAGGCTAAACCACCACCCTAGAACCCCACCACCCCACCCATATGAAGATACTTTAGCCCATGTGAAAGGGTGGGTTGCGGCCACAAATCGTTTATCCTCGAAGCGCTTGCCCACTCTTCTAAAATGGACGCACGATTACCGTTGGCTCGCCTTGCTCTAATGGAGAAAGAATGGAAGAACCTCCATGATGATCTGTTCGATTGGCATTTTTGAAATTGATGAGCAATAAGAAAGGTATGATACTTTATGGAAGACAACATAACAAAAAAGTTGTCATCAATAAAGTATCATACCTCACTTCTCGATGACGAGTCAATTGACGCTTTCTTTCACGGACGCTCACGATCTGCGCCCATATATACTCATGGAAACGAATAAGGGAACACCTGAAAGTACAAGTGTTCCTTTATTCTTTCCCAGAATTTCACTCACAGTGCAATACAAAGCTTGTGAAGAAACCTAAAAAAGAATAAAGGAAGACTTGTACTTTCAGGCACATTTTCCCATATTTGTTTCCATGAGTATATGTACCGGGCGCAGTATGATAGCTCAAATCGTGATCACCCTTGATCGAAATGGTGAAAGATATCGCGACCACAATCGTATCCTATCGCAACAGAGCTCATCGGTTCGTGATGAACGTATCGGAACGTACCTGCACGTACCAGATCGTCCCAAATCGGGGACCCCGATCGTGATGATCGTGTCAGATCGCAACCCGATCGTGAACTCAATCAGGACACTCATATCACAACGTATGTGGTCATATCTGAACGGGAGATCAGATCATGACAATAGCGCATTCAAGAACACCAAATCGTATCAAAACGTATCGACTCGCATCACCTCGTATCCAAACCAGAAATTTCCGAGAAGTTCCACGATTAGCTACAAATGGCCAATCGTGGCATTCGTAACGAATCGTACGACAGTGTTAACCTAGCATAAGTATTCGCACGACAGTGTGAAGCAAACATTATCCAATACACTGAATGCATCACCTGATGAAATCCAACAAATACAACGTCAATCCTCATTTGAAAATCCCTAAAGTGTACCTGTGCAAATATCGGAAGAATATTACACACAATCACTCAACTTTTATGGACAATCATTTCCCGAATATTTATCTAAACATATTAGGTAATAAGACGATGTCTTACCGAACCTTCTACTGCCTGTAACCCGTGGAGATCCGGGTTAGATTTGGTCTTCAGTAGCTCGTGCTTGTCGTAAGAGGCGACTAACGGGATCAAGTGGCCAGACTCGATGTCTTGGTTGGCACATGCCATCGTATCTCAATAGCGTAGATTGCTGCTCTTGTTGTTGATCACTGGATTGTCTGGTCCAGATTCGATTATTTACAGACCGCCACCATGTAGCTGGAATATTGCTGAGAGCGGCGTTAAACAACAAGCCAACCAATGGTCGCTACCTGCTTCGATGGCTCCCCTTCGGAATTCTGGGACACAGACAGTGTCACGGAAAAAGGGAAATTCAATCGTTTACACCGTCATATTAAGCCGCCCATCATATAGGTGACGAGGCATGAATCAGATATAATAAAAATATATATAATTGAAAGCCGAAATACATGTTGAAACTCAAAGATTATTAATCATAATAAAATATATCAATTTTTGGCGACATATAATTTCATACGAAACAGCTGTGACCAAAATAGATGATTAGATGTACGTGTCACGTGCTGAAAAATCCTGTTATTGGCGATTTATGTTTTTTGTCAACTGATATTCATCATACTCGTCCTGCGTAATGTCGTTCACTCATGCCCATGATTTTGTCATAACTGTAACGTGAGTACGTGTGTTATCCCCGTGTAATCGATCCCAGCATCTCTATGGCTAGTTGGATGTATGGTTATGTAAAAGCAATTTAATGTATGGTTACGAATGCCTGGGTCGACATGCCACAGTGTTTATAGTTTTATTGCACGTTGCTGACTATTAAACATGATTATTATGTATTATTTATTACACATATTCATGTATAGGGCACTGGATATTCAGAAAAAATGAACTGGGTCTCAGAACTGGGTTTCATAAATACTGTAAAATCCCGAACTGGAACATGTGTGTCGTAAGAGGCTGGTAACGTGAGTGAGTGAGTTTAGGTTTACGCCGCACTCTGCAATATTCCAGCTATATGGCGGCGGTCTGTAAATAATCGAGTCTGAACCTGACACTCCAGTGATCAACATCATGAGCATCGATCTACACTATTGGGATATGATGACATGTGTCAACTAAGTCAGCGAGCCTGACCACCCGATCCGGTTAGTCGCCTCTTACAACAAGCATGCGTTACTGAAGATCAATTCTAACCCGGGTAGGCTGGTAACGGGTGGTCTGACTCATTGTATTTGTGTAGAGGGAGTCACAGTGGTCGATGTCGTTGACATGATCGTATAAATATCCTCTATTACTGCAATGCATTCAGCACGCTACGCCTGTTATCTATTTTTCTCAAACAAATCAGGTCATTGTGCCATGTGACCTGCATGTTCGCATGAAGTGCATTGAATAATTAAATTGATATTCCATTGCATTTTCAACTGTTCTACAAGCCGGTTGACTCGGTGGTTCAGTCTATAAAAAGACGACCTCGCGCTTTTCTATAAGCATACAGGATAGGCATACAGGTTTTGTATGTTGACACTCGGCAACAGGTAATCGACTAAGGATGAAGAGTCGACTATGAAGCGCAGAGGACTCACGGGGACGAACGCGAGGTAGGTTCACATAGAATATTTCATTATAGCTGCACTGTTTGTGGGTGAAGAATATTGGCGTGTTTGAAGTTATTGTCAAGACGTCAGTTGGCGAACGCGCGGTGGTAGTTCTGATCGGGTACAACGTATATACAGTCGCATGTATTGCTTAGTAGCTGGTGTAAATGATCCTGCATCCCTGAGACACGGTAGTTTGCATCAACCAAGGGATGATGGGCTTTGGTGTTTGTCGGGTGGGTGGGGTGGTTTAACAAATGGTTGAAGATTTTGCTGATTCTATTGATTCAGTGGCATCTGCCTGTAGTACTACAGCGTCCAGCTGGGGAATCGAACCCAGATCTTAGCTGTCGGAAGCGAACGCTTATCCTAGATATGTACGTGACTACACCAGCCCCACCTAAATCATATGTCTTGTGGAACGGTAACAAGCAGCTCTTTCCATCAAGACTCTTTGCTATATACACATAGATATGTACATGCACCTACATTGTAATTTTCTGCTTTGTATATATAATGGTAGTGGTTCTGAGCGTGGATAACGCACTATTATTAATTATTATTGGTTACAACCAATATGGACAACCAACACCAAGACCCCCTCTTCTGATGCAGGTTTTGCGTGGTTAAGGGAAAACATTGGTGACGCCATTTTGGGTTTATGTTTTTTAATAACAAACATAACATGTCTCTCTGACAAAATTATTCCCGGAAACTTGGAGATATTACTCGCATAAAAGTCCGCACTCAATGTTGAGAGATACTTACTTATCATTGCCCAAATCTTTTCTGTATTAGGCAAGCGAATTTGTTCAAAATTGCTGTATTGGGCTGTTTCGTATTCAGGACTTAAAACATCACCAACATTTAAAGCATAAATTATTCTTAATTATGTTTATGATAAAAATAACTATATTACTTGTGCGTGTTATGAGACTGAAAACACGCAATTGTGTTACTGTTTGCTGAAATTGGTAAGTTTTGGATCATGTGGGACTTTTACCAGGCAAAAGCACTGACAGTTAATTGAGAAGCGTAGGGCAACGAAAAATATGAAGTTTATGTTAAAAAACTGAAACATCTATGCATAATTTCATTAAAATCAGATCATAATGAGTGAATGAGTTTAGTTTTACACCGCAATATTCCGGGGGACGGCAGAAAAGGACTTCATACATTATTATACCCATGTAGGAAGTCAAACCCGGCAATTCGGCGTGACGAGCGAACGATTTAACCACACAATCGTCCACAGACCTTAGTACTAATCACAGCCATATAGAAGTTCTACGAACATCCCCTTCACAGGTCATGTTATAACAATCTATCCAAAATATTTATTTAAAATAATTACTTCATTGTATATTTGTATTTAGTTGTTTAGAAGGTTCAAAATATAATTGACATATTTTATGGTATTTGCTGTTTTTCTACGTTGGCACCTGTGAAGATCCAGGTTAGAATGGACCTCAACCCATGCTTTCGTAAGAGGCGACTAATGGGATCGGGTGGTCAGGCTTGCTGACTTGGTTGATCATGTCATTGGTTCCCAATTGCGCAGATCGATGCTCATGCTGTTGATCACTGGATTGTCTGGTCCAAACTCGATTATTTACAGACCGCTGTCATATAGCTGGAATATTGCTGAGTGCGGCGTAAAACGATAAACCATCCATTTTGGCAGTTACGACATATCCTCCATCAACCACCCAGCACACAGCCACAAGCTCTTCGCCAACAGACAGAAAATAGTAGTCTTTTTGCTGCCCTTACTCGCTGTCCTGGCGTGGATGAGCCCCTGGGACGAGAGGGTGGCGGAACATACTCCCCCTTCCCTATCATGGTGGCAGACAACCATCGTCTATCAGATCTACCCACGGTCCTTCCAAGACTCGGATGGAGATGGTGTGGGTGACTTAAGAGGTGGGTGGCCCTTTTAGATTCAATCACTCAATCCTCATTGGGCTAGATTTATTGGTACCATAGCTGGGTATTTTAATTATTTCAGGCATGTTTGTATGAACACATACAGTTTCAATTGATTTTGCAATCCTTTTTAATTTTAAAAGACGACAAAACAAATATATGGGGATGCCACGATACATCGATACATTGATGCACCGATACTTTTTTTTAAGACGATACAATTATCGATACATTCAAAACTGTATCGATATTTAGTTTTGAAAGTATCGGTTTAAATATGTTTATGTATCGTTTACATTTTGCAATTGTATCAATTTTTTTGATGTTATGAAAGTTATAAATGATTATTTTTCATCCACAAAGATGGGAAATAAGATCTTTTTAATCTCTTAGAATCAAAAATGGTGATCTTTTCGTGGACAACTATAAAATATGAAATATTAATGTTCAAAATGTAACCATATTTGCGCAATAATGCCGCGAAGATAGGTATCGTGATACGTATCGATTCATAAAACTTATGTATCGTGACACCCCTACAAATATGTATTTAATTTTTAAAAATTTAACCCGCTAACCCTGTCCACCGTTACAGTGACAGTGCGTCTGGTTTGCAGTTTGCAGTTAGCACATGTTACGCAATCACATATTGAAACGTAATTCATACAGCCTTTACCTTTGTCTGTAACCGTAACAGCCGAAGTTACCTGGGCGATGCATTGTTTTCAGCTGATGGTTAATTCTGGGACGTCTTGCTAACGTTTCACTCTAGGCATGTGAGTGAGTTAAGTTTTACGCCGCACTCAGCAATATTCCAGTTATATGCAGCACACGTAAGCTGTAATTTCTATTTTCTCAGGCATCACACAGCGTTTGGACTACATCCGGTCTCTCAACGTAAGGGCAATATGGCTGAGTCCTATCTTCCGGTCTCCAATGCGAGACTTCGGCTATGATATTTCAAACTACACTGACATCGACCCGACTTTCGGAACCCTGGAGGACTTCGACAATCTCATTTCAGCAGCACATGACAGGGGTAAGCATTGGTCAACTTCCATATCCATATGGGAAACTTGACAATTACCTATTCCTTATAGTGAGGTGTCTCAGAGATTTAACTCGCTGTGCTAATAAATTCACCGCAAACCTGTGATCGTGTTTGGATCAAGCTTCTCCCTGATTATGACGCAGCGTTTTCATCACTTTGGGCTTTCGTCCTTCATCAAGGGACGGTGGGGTAGCCTAGTGGTTAAAGCGTTAGCTCGTCACGCCGAAGTCCCGGGTTCGATTCCCCACATGGGTACAATGTGTGAATCCCATTTCTGGTGTCCCCCGCCGTGATATTGCTTGAATATTGCTTAAAGCGGCGTAAAACTAATCTCACTCACTCCTTCATTAAACAGACTCGTCATGATATAAAGGAAACTCAGCGCAGCGCCAAACACAACCCCCACACTCACTAACCCCTATTGTGAATCTATCTGGTCAATATAAACACAACCCCCACACTCACTATCCGCTATTGTGAATCCCTCTGGTCAATATAAACACAACCCCCACACTCACTATCCCCTATTGTGCATCTATCTGGTCAATATAAACATAACCCCCAAACTCACTATCCCCTATTGTGAATCTGTCTGGTCAATATAAACATAACCCCCAAACTCAATAGCCCCTATTGTGAATCCGTCTGGTCAATATAAACACAACCCCCACACTCACTAACCCCTATTGTGAATCTATCTGGTCAATATAAACACAACCCCCACACTCACTATCCCCTATTGTGCATCTATCTGGTCAATATATAAGCATGGTCAATGTTCATGACCCTAATATCCGCCGACGAGCCCACTGTGTATTTCTCCTGTTTATTCATTTCTGGAGAATGGTGGAAACTCTTATGGAAGAAAAGGATATCGTCCTAGAAATAAGTTGTACAATATTGTTTGCCACTGTTCAATAACAAAAAGTAATTGCTTTGCGCAAAAACACTTTTGGGGGAAATCTTAGGTTTAAGCATACAATTTTGCAACTGAAGTCGAAAAGCAAATAAAGCCTCAAGTACACGTACACAAACTACACCCTCAAGCTCTACTCTTAAATTCGATCAGTAGGTCAGCACTTATAAGTATACAACAAAACCTGACTGTCAGACGCTGGGGGGTTCACCGTCACATTTCTATATAATCCTACCGGGGACTGACTGACTGAGTTTGGTTTTACGCCGCTCTTAGCAATATTCCAGCAACATCACGGCGGGGGACACCAGAAATGGGCTTCACACATTGTACCCATGTAGGGATTCGAACCCGGGTCTTCGGCGTGACGAGCCAACGCTTTAACCCCTAGGCTACCCCACCGCCCCCTACCGGGGAACCTTTCACAGCTGAGTAAACAGGATTATATTTTGACCCAAATCGATGGTGCCCCCTCATTTGTCAGACAGTTCATTATACAAAATTATATGGTTGAGTGAACACTAAAGCAAAGGATGTTATTCATTACGTTAATGGACTAGTCAAAACTGATAGTTCTGTAGACAGACACTTTGAAAAATAAGGTGATATTTAAAGTGTGGCACATGTATATTTTGTTCACATGTTTACACAATAAAGCACAGATCGTGACAAGCGACTAAGCGAATCGGGCGATCACAGTCGGGCATGACGACACGGACGGATGCTCATAATATTGATCACTAAGACTCGACTTTTATTCGATTTGTTGAGGCGACCGCGATGCAGCTGGGACATTTACTACAGAACCAATAAACAATGAAAGCACTTATTACGAATTTCACATCATTATCCTGATGGTGAAATTTAGGGGGCAGTTTGTACCGAGTAACCAACACTTAAGTTAACTAGAAATGGGATTGGTTGGTTGTGTAAGACCCGGGCCTAATTTCACAAAGCACTACGGTGGTCGTAAGTCACTAAGATAACCTGAGTGCAATGTTAAAGAACGGAAGTTAAAGTAAACCTTGGTTGCTTCCTGAAAGGAGCCCCCTTGGACAACACATTGCAACTCTACCCCAATTTCGTGGAACGTTGTTCATTCTATCAACCACATGATTTTGTCGTATTGAGACCATTATATGCAGGCCTTTGTGATATCTGGCAACTCACGCGGGATTTCTTGCACTACATAGGGACGCTGTTTTGGACAGCGTGTTCTGGCTTTGTAAACGACTCGTGTCCCGTTAGGTAACACATACTACTGTTGGTAGTCGCCGAGCTTCGATCCTTTGTTTAACAAGACCGATCTCTGTGTGTTTGACCTAGTGATACAATAATCAAACAATGAATACTAGACACCCCTGTCGACTAGTACACTGGAAGGTCCAAACACTGTCAGCTGATCACCTGTATTCAATTCACTTCACCACCTACGGCAGATACCTCTGCTCGCAATTTCAAATCACTGGCCAAGTATATTCATGTATGACTGAACCAGTTGTCAGACATGTAAATGTGAACAATAAAGTAAGTAGGACACTCCTGCACGCTATAGCATCATCGTAGAGTATGTTAGTGTGTACTATCATGGCGTTGATATTTCGCCACGTGTGTTATCGTTGAAAGGACACCTCGCTTCCCGCTGTATTACACAGTTATAGGGGACACGTTTTATCGTAGGGTACATGTTTTTTAAGTTTCGTGTCTTACACTATTAATTACATGAGCAAACAGTGGCCTTTATGGGATTATACCCAGCGGAGACCGAAAACATAGAAAATATGCATAATCCTTTCATTGATTGTGTCAAGGATGTGGGTCAATGTTTGAGAGGTCAAGGAAAATATGCAAAGACCTTCCTTGATTGTGTCAAGAATTATGGCCAATAGTTGAGGGTTTCGGTGATAGATTTGCCTGAACTACAAATGCATCTCTCGGATTTTGGGGTCTTCAGGTTTCGCAGTCAAGCCAAAAGTTGTCAGTGCCAATAACCGGTTGGGCAGATTTTCTTCTTCAGTGACCAAATCGACTATTCACTTGTCTCTATTTGATATACCACTTATATCATATTCCATTAATAAAGCGATGCTTACATAGAATGATAATGTCATTTGTGATCTTACCAGACAATTTGCCTTGTTCGCTACAAACTTTCATGTCGGGAGACCATGGTCAGACATCTGATGAACGCTGGCAGGAGCAGACTGGCATTATTTCAGTTTTGTTTCCTTTTCTTCAAATTATGCATGACAACATCATGCACTAACCTAAGGGCACTCTTACAGTTACATAAAGAACTCTATCAGTATGAGTTAACTCTTCACAATGATTAATTACGATCACGCATATGTGTGAGACAATTATGTCTGTATTGTGAGTGAGTGAGTTGGGTTTTACACCGCATTTAGTAATATTCCAGCAATATCGGAAACACCAGAAATGGACTTCACACAATAAACCCATGTGGGGAATCGAACCCGGGTCTTCTGCGTGACGAGCGAACGCTTGAACCACTGGGCTACCCCACCGCCCTTATTTGTATTGTGACCTACAACGATACTCCTTCAGAGGACGTGGGAAGTACCCGTAATTTGTACCCGATATATCTATCACAGAGGAATTCTGAATTAACTGTTATATCTATCACAGAAAGCGTCTGAAGTACCCGTTATATCTATGACAGAGGGCGTCTGAATTACCCGTTATGTCTATCACAGAGGGCGTCTGAATTACCCGTTATATCTGTCACAGACGCGTCTGAATTACCCATTATATCTATGACAGAGGCGTCTGAAATACCGATATACCTATCACAGAGGGCGTCTGAACTACCCGTTATGTCTATCACAGACTCGTCTGATTTACCCAAACCGTGAAGGTCCGGGTTAGAATATTGGCCTTCAGTAAACCATGCTTGTCGTAAGAGGCGACTAACGGGATCCGGGGGTCAGGCTTGCTGACATGGTTGACACATGTCATCGGTTCCCAATTGCGCAGATCGATGCTCATGTTGTTGATCTCTTGATTGTCTGGTCCAGACTCGATTATTTACAGACCACCGCCATATACCTGGAATATTGCTAAGTGTGGCGTAAAACTAAACTCACTCACTCACTCAGTTACCTTTTATATCTATCACAGAGGGCGTCTGAATTACTCGTTATATCTTTCACAGAGGGCGTCTGAATTATTCGATATATCTATCACCGAGGGCGTCTGAATTACCCGTTATATCTGTCACAGAGGCGTCTGAAGTACCCATTGTATCTATGACAGAGGCGTCTGAACTACCCGTTATATCTGACACAGGGGGTATCTGAATTACCCGTTATATCTATCACAGAGGCGTTTGAACTACCAGTAATATCTGTCACAGAGGCGTCTGAAGTACCCTTATATGTATTACAGAGGGCGTCTGAATTACCTGTTATATCTATGACATGGGCCATCTGAACTACCCGTTATATCTATCACCGAGGGCGTCTGACCTGCTCGTTATATCTATCACAGAAGGCATCTGCACTACCCGTTATATCTATCACAGAGGGCGTCTGAAATACCCGTATATCTATCACAGAGGGCGTCTGAATTACCCGTTTTATTTATCACAGAGGGCGTTTGAATTACTCGTAAATCTATCACAGAGGGCGTCTAAATTACCCGTTTTATCTATCACAGAGGGCGTTTGAATTACTCGTTATATCTTTCACACTGGGCGTCTGAAGTACCCGTTATATTTATCACAGAGGGCGTCTGAACTACCCGTTACATCTTTCACCGAGGGCGTCTGAATTACTCGTTATATCTATCAGAGAGGGTCGTCTGAATTACCCATTTTGTCTATCACATGATATCAATCATGTACGGCGTCTGCATTAACCTGTTCAATCTTTGCCTGAGGATATACGGTAATATGAACAGTTGTCCAAACAGAAGAACAACAGTATATGCTGGAGAACCAAAGTGGGCAACCATTGATAATTGTCAACACTACTGTGGCAGCTTGCTTATGCTGAATCAAGTCTCCACTGACAATTGTGTCCTTGGTAACATTGATCAGTAGTCACATGATCTAGTGAAAGATCTCTCAAGATCTCATCTAGTGATCCAATTGTTGATAAAATAGACACGCAGGTTTCAACCAGTTAATTTACCCATTACCCATTATAAATATCTCAGGAGGCGCCCACATTACCCGTTAAAACCACCTCAGAGGGAGCCTTCATAACCCGTTATAACTACCTCGGGGGCGTCACATTACTCGTTATAGCTAACTACATTACCCGTTATAATTATCTCAGGGGGCGCCTACGTTACCCGTTTGAAGTTGAGAGGGCACCTGCAACACCTGTGCCTGCTATAATACATCAAGCTCCAATCTGAATTTTACAGGATAAGCCGGCGTTCGAGTGAAACATTACACTCCTCTCATCAAATACAAATGCAGGTATCCTAGTTCATATTCACGACATGTGGTGATGCATACCGGATATATATTGCACAACGGCCGCACGTATGTTTGCTCTGCTTTACAATTCAAACATGGCAGAATAGATTACGTCTAGAATATAATACTCGTTCACTCACAAAAACTGTTACTAGCTGTGTATGTACTGTAGTTGACTGAGTTTTTCAGTTGCTTTGAGGCTAAGGACAAACTTTCTTGTCATCGAAATGAAATCCTGAAGCTCACCTGCAAGGTAAATGATGTCATGTGGCCACATGGGCCGTTGGGTAGCCTAGCCGTTAAAGTGCTGGCTCGTCACGCCGTGATATTGCTGGAATATTGCTAAACGCGGCATAAAACCGAATTCACTCACTCACGTGGTCACAGACTCAGTCTGAAAACATCCCGACGACTTCAAACACGATCCTATATCTGGCAATCACGAAGACGCATTATACAATTAATACATAACATTAAACAGTCAGTTATAACTATTTTAAACGCAATTTGAATTGACCAGTTTTATCTCGAAAGAAGCGCATTGAAGTATTTCCCGCAGTTTGTGGACCCATCAATTTGTTCCTATAAGTTTGCTTGTTTAACTCTGCACTCATCACTTTTCAGCTAAATGAACTGGGTCTGTAAATTTTCGAGTCTGGACCAGATAATCCAGTGACTGTTATCATCAGCATTGATCTACGCAATTGGGATATGATGATAATCCACCAAGTTAGCGAGCCTGACCACCCGATCCGTTCAGTCGCTCTAACGACAAGCATGGGTTACTGAAGACCTGGTGAATTCCAGCCTGGTCGTCCTTATTAGAATCACCCTCGTTGGGATTCCACTGAAAAATTGATTTTTTACATTATTTAACTGTTTCACGTTGTAGGGATCAAAGTAATTTTGGATTTTGTGCCAAACCACTCCAGTGACCTGCACCCGTGGTTTCAACTGAGCCGACAGGGCGTGGCACCATACAAGGACTACTACGTTTGGACACGCCCAGGGGAACCCCCCAACAACTGGGTAGGTGGTGATATATGGAGCTATATACGTTGGTGATTTTAGGGACTGTGGGGCAAACTTGTAGAACAGAGTAAGCATAGGCAAGAAACCCTTGGTTCGATTCTCCACATGGGTGCAGTGTGTGAACTGGCCTTGTGACTCCCATTGTGATTTAGCTTGCAGACTTGTGGAACAGAGTAAGCTCGTCAGACAAAAACCTCCTTGGTTCGATTCTTCACATGGGTGCAGTAAGGGAAGTGGCCCTGTATCTCTCATTGTGAGTAAGCTTGCAGACTTGTGGAACAGAGTAAGCTCGTCAGACAAAAATCCTTGGTTCGATTCTTCACATGGGTGCAGTAAGGGAAGTGGCCCTGTATCTCTCATTGTGAGTTAGCTTGCAGACTTGTGGAACAGAGTAAGCTCGTCAGACAAAAAACCCTTGGTTCGATTCTTCACATGGGTGCAGTAAGGGAAGTGGCCCTGTATCTCTCATTGTGAGTTAGCTTGCAGACTTGTGGAACAGGAGTAAGCTCGTCAGACAAAAACCCTTGGTTCGATTCTCCACATGGGTGCAGTAAAGGAAGTGGCCGTGTTGTGATTTAGCTCAAATATTGCTTAAAGCGGAATAAAATCATGCACATCTTCACCGTGTGCTCTAAAATGCTACTGATACAAACCCTTTGGCGATTCCAGGCCGAATTGCCACTGTGCAGCCTGTGTTGTAAAGGACGAGTGAATGGATTTTTTGGTCAGAATCAGTGTCTTGGCTGACTGTGACATCACACCCGGATAATAGTCAACACTGTCACCATCACATAGCTTGAATAGTCAGTCAGTAGTTAAAAACAAACTACAAAAACAAAAAATCAAACTGATACATAGTTCCTTAGCTTCTCCACATGCAGCAACAGAAATATGTTGACATCCGGGTATGGCAACAACGCCCTCTTTTGACGGTTATGCCTTCCGGTAGAGACAAAGGGGCATAAATACCGTTGAAGGAAAATATTTGGGTGCAGATTTTTATTATGAATTACACAGGGACGTAATAGAAATAACAACTCTACCATCAAACAATATTGTTTAGATGATTGATGTTTGAACATTATTCATAAATTTATTAATAGGAGTGATAAAAATGGATTTATTTGTAACAATATACACGTTCTCATAATGACCTAAAATGACGACAAACGATATCGGATGGTCAGGCTCACTTGGCTGATGCTTGTCACCCTATCCCACTTTCGTAGATTGATGCTCAGTCACTGGATTGTCTGGTCCAGACCTGGGCCTAGATTTTCGAAGCTGTCTTAGCGCTAAGATAGTCGTTAGTGCCATGCATTAACATTAACTTACGACTATCTTAGCTCTAAAAGAGCTTCGAAAATCTAGGCCCTGGGTCTCGTTCCTCAAAGCGATCGTAGTGCTACGACTGTCGTAAGTCTATGTTAAAGTATGGGAGTTACGATCGCCTTGGGTTAACGATCGCTTTGAGGAATGGGGCCCGGATTATGTATTACTGACTTTGGTGTTAAACGACACACTCAAAATTAATGGACTTAAACATGTAATTCTGTTCGCTTCTCCTGACCCCAAATTATCAATGTGATTCATCACAAAATTCATGTAAATATTAGTGTGATTATACGTATTTTCAGCACTCATTAATTATCATCTTTTAGCTCATCACATACTAACTACTCCATCCTCTGTGTCCAGAAATAACGTAAATGCCAACACACGTATATTCCAGTTGAGTCTATTCCGTGGTTCGGCGTGGATGCTGGACAGCGTCCGAGGAGAGCTATACTACCACGCCTTCATGGTGAAGCAGCCGGACCTCAACTGGAGATGTGCTCAACTGGTGGAAGAGATGGATGTATGGTGCACCCTTAATCCCATAATTAGCACCCTTTTGGTCCTTGTATCATCTAGAAACCACTGTGGAAATCGTTGGTGGCTCTGTATCTCAATGTAAAGAGTTGCGCATCAGACATTTGTTTATGGTTCGAATCCAGCTTTGGCCTTATTGTGTTTGTGGGTTTGTCAGTACCACTTCCGTGCTCAGGGGTTCACAAAATGAGATGTACAACTGGGACATACATGGGGTTTCCTGTTCATAAATGAGACACTTTTCAAAGCGGAGTTAAACCTAATTCACTCACTCACTCGTATCACCGGGGAGTTACAATTGCAGGCACTGCACAAGTGGAAGTGTAACGTCCCTAGACTGATCCCAAATACTGGTTTTATTTGTGACACGAGTCAGGCACTTAATCACAGGCATGGATGACTTTGTGGGCTGGCGATTAGGTACCTGACTCTTGGAGGTTTGGTTCCAATCCCGGATGGGACAATAGTGCTAGAAGTGATACTTTACTTTTAAGTGTAATCCCAAATATAACATATGTTTCATTTGACCGCTTTCTAAATGGCATTGTGTACTCATATACTTCTCTAAATGGTATACCTTCAGAATGTGCTGAGGTTCTGGCTGAGTCGAGGCGTAGATGGGTTTCGTATGATACAGGTTTGAGACAGAGGATTCTCGAACCACCTTCTGGAGAGTGGATGCAATACAAAACCTGTTTGAGACAGAGGATCTCGAACCACCTCTGGAGATACTTAGAGAAGGTGAACGCTGTTTGAGACAGAAGATCTCTCTTTGACCTTCTGGAGATACTGGCGTAGAGAAGGTGAGTGGGTTTATGTAATCCAAAAGCTGTTTGAGACAGAGGATCTCTCTTTGAACGAACCACCTTCTGGAGATACTGGCGTTGAGAAGGTGAGGGGCTCTACCAACCACCTTCTGGACGCAACTGGCGTTTGAGGCCTACGGTCACCTCTTGACCAAAAGAACCTACTTCTGGAGATACTGACGGAGAGATGTTGAGAATGAGTAAATGTAAAGGAGGATCGTAGCTTGAGAGCAGAGTTCCTCTGATTGTAGGATCTCTCTTTGAAACAACCTCCTTCTGGAGATACTGGCGGAGAGGTGTGTAATCAGTCAATGTCAAACAACTTATATGTGACTTAGGATCTTGAATGAACTTTACCGCACGCAGGTCATTTTGGAAATAACATTATGATTTAACATGAGAGTCAATGTCAGACAACATTGAAGGATGTGTCAGAGTTTATGCGATATCTTGTGAATGCGTCAATAGCTTCTGGTCTACTTACTGGCGTTTTTATTTCAGTACAGCCACTTAACACCGCTCTGTAGAGTTATATACTGAGAACTACACGAAGCTATACCTCCCACTTGAATTTATCATATTGATTTCCAATTGAACATATAAGCTATTGACATTGTGTATAAATATGAATACTTCTTCATGGTTCAATTTTAAAATGCTAACTGAAATATGTTCTCGTAATATAAAATTGCTGCTTGGTATCTCAGACATCGTATGTTAACATTCAATTTATTTGATTTTATAGCCTAAAGTTGCTTGTTAGAATAAGTCATTTGGTTCCAAATGCAAATCGTCATTGACACATTGACTTTGTAAACAAAATGTGCCTACCGCCAATTACCTGAACAGCTCAAACGTTTAGATAATGAAGTAATGTCTGATGCATTTTTTAGGATAACTGGTACTCTCTGCGACACGACTACACATTTGACTTGCCGGAAATAGGTGGCGCTGTGAGACGATGGCGGGACGTTTTGAATGAATACGAGGCTCGGGATGGAAAGGCAAGGTGATATATTGGACGTGCGAGTGACCAAATTGTTGGTCAGTATGACGAATCTTTTCTTGCCACCGATGTAGAAGGTTACGCTCACCTTTTCACTTGAACACCTTGGTATCATCACTATTTGGTAGTGATTCATAAACACCTGGTATCATCACTATTTGGTAGTGATTCATAAACACCTAGTATCATCACTATTTGGTAGTGATTCATAAACATCTGGTATCATCACTATTTGGTAGTGATTCATAAACACCTGGTATCATCACTATTTGGTAGTGATTCATAAACACCTGGTATCATCACTATTCTGGTAGTGATTCATAAACACCTGGTATCATCACTATTTGGTAGTGATTCATAAACACAAGGTCGTTTATCGTATCTCACTATGTCAATCAATGGATTGTCTGGTCCAGACTAATTCATTTACAACAGACAACCGTCATGCAGCTGTGACATTGCTGAGTGAGGCGTTGAACAAACAAACAAACAAACAAACAAACGCAATATAGAACAAACTTTATGGATAACAACTTCTTTTTATTCGTGAGTGCGACGTTTCGATACAGATTCTTGTACCGTTGTCAAGCATAATGGGACATGAAGAAGTGTATATATATACTGGATGTGACAATGCGACAAAGAAAACAACATAATTAACATAACTGACTAGGCAAGAAGGCTGATGAAGCCAGAGAGGAGAGTAGACAAAAGGACAGGCGTAGAAGCCAATGATGTACAAAATGATAATGACATGTTTTATACAGCGGTGAGTTTATGCAGTGGATTGGGCTTGGTGGATGGAGTGCATCATAAGCGGATGGAATGAAGTATCCTTGGTCTCGGTTGATGGTGGGCTTTTGGCGTTTGATGTGGATGGCTTCGGTGAGCTTACGTTTGAGTGAAGTCTGTTTGTTTGTTAGAAAGAATGGAGTGTGTCAGACCACTCTATTTGATGATTGGGGCTTGCTTTGATGTGGTCGGAAATGGCTGATTTGCTGTCGGAATTGGTAACAGAGGTCTGATGTTCTTTCACTCGGGTGTTGATGGGTCAGGAAGTTTCGCCTATGTAGCTCTGCCCACAATCACAGTTTATTTTGTAGATGACACATTTTGGGTTGTTGTTCTTTATGGTGGTAGGTTTTCTTCCATTGGCATGGAGAATGTTGTTGCAAGGTTGGAGGACGCGGAGAAGGTGGTATCTATGCCAGCTTGATCTTTCAGGAGGCGGCTGATTTGATGTGACGGTTTGCCAATGTAGGGGATGGATATCTTGATGGGGGCTAAATCTTGTTTGGGTCTTTTGGTAGGGGTGACGGGGTGGCAGAGATGGTTCTGTTGACTATTTGGGATGGAAAGTGGTTGCGTTCTACGAAGACCATCATCACTATTTGGTAGTGATTCATAAACACCTGGTATCATCACTATTTGGTAGTGATTCATAAACACCTGATATCATCACTATTTGGTAGTGATTCATAAACACCTGGTATCATCACTGTTTGGTAGTGATTCATGAAACACCTGGTATCATCACTATTTGGTAGTGATTCATAAACACAAGGTCGTTTATCGTATCTCACTATGTCAATCAATGGATTGTCTGGTCCAGACTAATTCATTTACAGACAACCGTCATGCAGCTGTGACATTGCTGAGTGAGGCGTTGAACAAAACAAACAAACAAACAAACGCAATATAGAACAAACTTTATGGATAACAACTTCTTTTTATTCGTGAGTGCGACGTTTCGATACAGATTCTTGTACCGTTGTCAAAGCATAATGGGACATGAAGAGGGAAGTATATATACTGGATGTGACAATGCGACAAAGAAAACAACATAATTAACATAACTGACTTCAGGCAGAAGGCTGATGAAGCCAGAGAGTAGACAAAGTACAGGCGTAGAAGCCAATGATGTACAAATGATAATGACATGTTTATACAGCAGTGAGTTTATACAGTGGATTGGGCTTGGTGGATGAGTGCATCATAAGCGGATGGAATGGAAGTATCCTTGGTCTCGGTTGATGGTGGGCTTTTGGCGTTTGATGTGGATGGCTTCGGTGAGCTTGCGTTTAGTGAAGTCTGTTTGTTTGTTAGAGAGAATGGTGATGTCAGACCACTCTATTTGATGATTGGGGCTTGCTTTGATGTGGTCGGAAATGGCTGATTTGCTGTCGGAATTGGTAACAGAGGTCTGATGTTCTTTCACTCGGGTGTTGATGGGTCGGGAAGTTTCGCCTATGTAGCTTTGCCCACAATCACAGTTTATTTTGTAGATGACACATCTTGGGTTGTTGTTCTTTATGGTGGTGGGTTTTCCCCATTGGCATGGAGAATGTTGTTAAGGTTGGAGGACGCGGAGAAGGTGGTATCTATGCCAGCTTGATCTTTCAGGAGGCAGCTGATTTGATGTGACGGTTTGCCAATGTAGGGATGGATATCTTGATGGGGGCTAAATCTTGTTTGGGTCTTTTGGTAGGGGTGACAGGGGTGGCAGAGATGGTTCTGTTGACTATTTGGGATGGAAAGTGGTTGCGTTCTACGAAGACTTTCTTGAGGTGTTCGATTTCTTCTTGTAGTTTAGTTGAGCAGATGTTCTTGGCCCTTCTTGTTAGTGTGGAGATGATGCCGGTCTTAACTTTAGGTGGATGATTGGAGTTGTAGTGGATATACTGATCCGTATGGGTGGGTTTTCTGTATACAGTGGTCTGGAGTTGGTTGCTGGAGGTGCAGGGACACAAGGACGTCAAGGAGCAGTAGTTGCTGGTTCTGCTCGGTTTCCATGGTGAACTTGATGCGGGGATGTTGGTTGTTGAGATGGGTGATGAAATCAGAACACCTCAAAGAAAGTCTTCGTAGAACGCAACCACTTTCCATCCCAAATAGTCCAACAGAACCATCGCTGCCACCCTGTCACCCCTACCAAAAGACCTGGGTAAACAAGATTTAGCCCCCATCAAGATATCCATCCCCTACATTGGCAAAAACTGTCACATCAAATCAGCTGCCTCCTGAAAGATCAAGCTGGCATAGATACCACCTTCTCCGCGTCCTCCAACCTGTAACAATGATTCTCCATGCCAATGGAAGAAAACCCACCACCATAAAGAACAACAACAACCTAAAATGTGTCATTCAATAAAATAAACTGATGTGCAAAGAAAGTGCACAGGTTGTGTTTCTTCCAATAAGATAAAAATAACAAAACCTTTTTGATGAAATGGAAAATGTATGTTGAAGCACACCCTGCAATTCACGTGTTTTATTATCAAAATGACATTGTAACAATAAACAGCGATGTAGTGATGATCACTGCAGACGGTTCCTACGATGCTGGAAGGTCAAGGCCATTCCACGCAGCGGGCGGTAAACCCATACATGCCAGCAGGACGAAGTCGTCTTTGTCACTGTGAATCGGCTTACGCGATGACCCAATGATGTGGCTGCTGATGACGTCACCGTCAACATCCAGTTGCGTAGGTGAATAACCCACAGATAGCGATCCTCTTGGGGTGCTGTGACTCTGGAACGTCCACTTCTGGGTCGATCACATGTCTGGCCTGTCGTACTGAAACGGTTAAACAACCGAATTATGGTTTGTCTTGTGCAACCCAATGTCCTTGCAATATCCCTGTTGAAAGCACCCATTTGTGTCATTCCTTTGGCCCGTTCTCGTTGCGCCGAAGTCAATCTTGGCATTTCCTCGTGAGATTTCTGTCAAGTGATTGTTCAGTCTTCACGACAAACAGGTATTATACTCTCTGTCAGAAAAGTGCTGGTGCATGGGACAATAATCACAATTTTGCAAACATTCGTGCAAAACACGTACAAATGTTTTTGGTTGCATTTTGGCAAATGAAACAAGATGGTTGCGTTCTATACAATCAATGTTTTTCAATAATTTTATTAGTTAGAACGCATATTTGGGATTGCAACAACATTTACACCTGTGTACTTTCTTTTGCTCGTCAGTTATGTTCTCGTAATATAAAATTGCTGATTGGTATCAATATATTTGCTTTTATAGCCTAAATGTGCTTGTTAGAATGAGTCATGTGGCTCCAAATGCAAATCGTCATTGACACATTGACTTTGTAAACAAAATGTGCCTTCCGCCAATTACCTGAACAGCTCAAACGTTTAGATAATGAAGTAATGTCTGATGCATTTTTTAGGATAACTGGTACTCTCTGCGACACGACTACACATTTGACTTGCCGGAAATAGGTGGCGCTGTGAGACGATGGCGGGACGTTTTGAATGAATACGAGGCTCGGGATGGAAAGGCAAGGTGATATATTGGACGTGCGAGTGACCAAATTGTTGGTCAGTATGACGAATCTTTTCTTGCCACCGATGTAGTAGGTTATGCTCACCTTTTCGCGAACACCTGGTGTCATCACTATTTGGTAGTGATTCATAAACACCTGGTATCATCACTATTTGGTAGTGATTCATAAACACCTGGTATCATCACTATTTGGTAGTGATTCATAAACACAAGGTCGTTTATCGTATCTCACTATGTCAGTCAATGGATTGTCTGGTCCAGACTAATTCATTTACAGACAACCGCCATGCAGCTGTGACATTGCTGAGTGAGGCGTTGAACAAACAAACAAACAAACAAACAAACAAACAAACAAACAAACGCATAATTTAGTCTAGACGTGTTTAGATGTAAACAGTCCTGAAAATATTTCTATCTCAAATTGTAATTGACGTTTTGAACCTGTTGTGTTGATAAGCGACATTCAGGTATAAAACTGATTATAAGTTGTTGTTGGCAAGTGAGTGAGTGAGTTCGGTTTAAAGCTATACTCATATGAAGCAATGCTTTATGACCATTAAGACGTGGTCGTTTACCCAAAGTCAAAATAGGTTTCTGTGAAAATGTGAGATTCGGATCCAAAATGGCAAGTGAATTCCTTGCTAAAAATGAACTCCAATAAGTAAAGCGTGACGTCAGCATACTGGTTCAACATTTCGAAACATGCTGTTATTCTCATACTAGTATATTATTATAACTTATGTAAAAATGGAATCACTTATATAAATAAATAGGTTGTGACTTACGTTACACCAGTTTCACACGGCTGAGAGTGAGATATGAACAAAAGTACAGCTGAAGTTGAGTGAGTGAGTTTATATTAATTTTACGCCACACTCAGCAATATTCCAGCTATATGACGGCAGTCTGTAAGTATTCGAGACTGGACCAGACAATCCAGCGGTAGACAGCATGAGCATAGTTCTGCGCAATTGGGATACGGTGCCATGTGTCAAGTCAGCGAGTCTGATCACCCGATCCCGTTAGTCGCCTCTTACGACAAGCATGGAGAACTGAAGATCAATTCTAACTCGGATCTTCACGTCTTACAGCTGTAGGTTTTGTCACAGAGACTATATAAGTATAATAAGTATTATGTCCTCCAGGTACCTGGTTGTGGAGACACTCTTCGACAATGACGTTTCAAAAAGGAACCAATACTACACCTTCGGTGCCGATATGCCCTTCAACTTTGACCTTCTGCGGGTCAACAGGTCATGCGGAGGTCGATGTATTCGACATTATGTTGACAGGGAGCTCGGCCATCTTTCACAAGGCCAGTGGCCGAACTTTGTGGTTAGTACACCATTGGCATTCCATTACTCGATCACGTATATTTTAACATGTACAAGGTGTACGTATTTCAATAGTCTCGACTGTGTACGGGTCGACGTTAGTTGCTTAAATAATGTTTAGTACGGCGGTTAAAGACAAACGTGCAAACATGTCAAGCTCGATGACATTTTGGGCCATCGGATGGGCAGAATAAGACATTGCCTGAATTGTACAACGACCATGTCTTAAGTAGATATAATTTCTTATGATAATATAAACGTTTTTCGGTCTCTTTTGTTACACCTCAAATATTGTTCTTGTTCAGTTTCATCAGCAGCTAAGTAAACGTATTCAACTTCACAGACATTTTTGTGCCCTACAGAATAGAAAGTGTTCTTGACCTTAATTATTAGTCAAACCAAATAACGAAACAATTGGGTAAAGAAGAGTGCATTCATTTATGTGAATTGAATTTTGGTTGTCACTACAGCGTTATCTATCTCAAGGCGGCCCCCTACTAAGAATCTAATGTAACCCGATCACTGAATATTTATAAGTGTTTTAATATGTTCATCAAGGTCGGTAACCATGACAATCCCCGTATCGCCAGCAAGATGGGTAAAGATTTTGTGAACGCTGTCAACATGATGTTGCTGACGTTACCGGGTACACCCACAACATACTATGGAGAAGAGCTGGGGATGTCGGATGTCCGGGTACCTTTCGACCAGGGTCAAGATCTTCAAGCTAAAGGCCAAGGCGAGGTTAGCCATAAAGATGTGCAAGGGACACTGCATTAATATACAACTGTGACTCATTCCAAACCTAACGTTGTTTCGTCGGTTACCGTTTATAATTTATGGCTAGGGGGTGATGTTAAGTTTTATGAAGAAGCTTGTACAATGTGAATGACACTAACCCGCCCCGCCCCCCCTAAATTCAATGTACATAGAAAGTAACCCCTCTGCATGTCATGTACAATATCAATGACACCACCCCCCCCCTTCCCATAATGTTGAAGCTTATTTTTTATAGATACTATCCCCCAAAAGAAACGCATAGACCAAAAATCTGTTGCGAAAATGTTGCATTTTCAAACATGTATAACTCGTCCACAAATAGACTTTAGTGCATGAATTTTTACATCACTTTAGAAGAAGCAAATGTCTCTACAACCAACTGGATAATTTTAGATAACGGAGACGTTGAGCGCGATTGTGACGACGTAGCACGGTCCGAAGTCCAGGCACCCTGGCTGCTGTGCTCTCATCCGTGGCAGTACGATCACGCAAATGTAGTACCCGGATGTACCGATCTTGCAGTGGTGACTGGAGGTCTGTCTGTACGGGGAGGGTCATTTGTTACACCTGTTTGGCTGTAACGAGCTGCAAGCCATGATATCGTGCTCAGACTAACATTCAGACGCCTGGCAACAGAAGATTGATAATCTCCAGCGTGCATTCTTTCAAAGGTGATGTTCCTTGTCGCAGCGTCAAGACGTGGCATAGTGATTTGACCTTGAAACTCCTTCAAAACGAATGCCGATTTCCGAAAGTAATCTGGATTTTTATAGCCAGACAGCGCATGCTTTTGCTGCACAATTTCAACTGGAAGGTGATTTGTGTTGCGTTGTGGCGATGCGTTTTTAATCCTTGTAAGCAATCTCATCAAAATCAACATTTCAGGTAAAGTCGATTTTTGACTTGTGCAATTGTCTAAAATCATGTTGTTAACACATTTGTTACATATTTTGACGATTGTTTGAACACAATAGGTAATTAATAGATTTTTAAAAATACAAAACGCCTATGGGTTTCTTTCTTGGGATAGTATATTATAATGTACAAAATTGCTGACACCCCCAGTACATGTGTACAAAATACAATATTGATGACCCCCCTACCTCCATTAAAATCACCCCCACCTCCCCTTCTTCCGGCCAAAAATTCTAGCGGTCAGGTAATTTATACATCCCGTTCTATGTCGTCAAACTCGCACCTCGGTGAGTAACGGGCATGTCGGAAGCTTCCAAGATCATTCAGATCATAGCGATACTAAAAGATGAAGTTTCAAAAGGGCATCAGTCTGGACAGGTGAGAATTCATCCAAATATCAACATGTGGCGGACCCACCACCATGTTGTACATGTATTACATCACAGGTTTGTTTGTTGTTTAACGCCGCACTCAGCCAATTTCCAGCGGTCTGTAAATAGTCAAATCTGGACCAAACACTCCAGTGACTTACATCATGAGCATCGACTGGATACGATGGCGGGAAACAGTCAGCGAGTCTGACCAACCGATCCCTTTAGTCGTCACTTACGTCAAGTATGGCGGACCATTACAGGTTACTGCAGTGGAGTGAGTGAGTGAGTGAGTAAGTGAGTGGGTGGGTGGATGGGTGGGTGAGTGAGTGAGTGAGTGAGTGAGTGAGTGAGTGAGTGAGTGAGTGAGTGAGTGAGTGAGTGAGTGAGTGAATGGGTGGGTGGGTGAGTGAGTGAGTGAGTGACGCTGCTTTTAGCAATATTCCAGCAATATCACGGCGGGGGTCACCAGAAATGGGCTTCACACTTTGAACCCATGTGGGGAATCGAACCCGGGTCATCGTAGTGACGGGCGAACGCTTTAATCACTAGGATACCCCACCGCCTCTATTGCATTGTAGGTGTTCCAGTCACAGCGGTTACAGACACATGCTGAGAGCAGTGCTATGAACAATCGCCATGAGTTTGTAAACATCAATGTGTAATTAATTTAGTACAATGATTAGACTGGTTCTGGTGTAAACGTTGCACATAATTCTAGCAGAGTCAACAAACAACATTTTCAGATATTTTGTTTGTTTTCACCAAAGGAATATTTCCGGAAGTACAGTCGCGACCCATCGCGGACACCAATGCAATGGAATGGCGGGAAACATGGCGGGTTCACATCCGGTCGCTTGCCCTGGCTACCGGTCAGCGAGAAGTCATTATATGAGAATGTGGAGGTCAGTTCAATGTCTGTGTGACTGGATTCAACGAATGTCACTTCCTGTATGACCCCATGGACGTTTAGTGATAACCTTCGACTCTTAAACAGTAGTATGTCTAGTTATACAATACATTGGTACAGAGTACAATGTATAAAATGGCCTATTTATGAAGGACAGTGAGATGTTCTGGCTGTGAAGTTCTGGGAAATTATTCAAATACTTGATATTAAAGATCCAGGTCCTTTCAAGGTTCATTCGTATCTAAATTTACATTTTACATTCATTTGAATGTAGTTGCTTTTTAACACACATAAATTTGAAAATGTGACACGTTTCAATGGCAAATGAGGTACAAAAGAACAAAGAACGTGAAAGCAATAGATTTGGAACATGATTTCAATCACTAAAATGAAGTCCGATGCAATTCCCTACTTTGACTTGTACCATACGTTCCCGAATTATTTTAGGTGCACAATTGACTAGACTTTGCATATGTTTATGACGGGTGCTACCGTTGTGGCAGGATACGCTCACCTTTTCGGTGAATCATCACCATTTCATAGTGATTCATAAACACATGCTCTGTCATTGTATCGCATGGTGACAATCACTGGCTTGTCTCATCCAGACTCGATTTGCTTACAAACAACATCGTACAGCTGTAATACTGCTGAAACAAATATCTGCTCATGATATAGTCACAAATGTATAATCGACTCTGCTTTTGGCAGAGATTTCTTATGAATGTGGAAAGGGTTTTATTTGTCGCTTTTATTCAAAACCCTACTGGTTCGCCTAGCGTTCGTGCGGCACGCCAAAGACCTTGTTCTGATTTCCACATGGGTGCTTATGTGCCAAGTTTTGAGTTCCATGCCGTGATATATCATGGAAAATCCATACACGGTTTCTCATTAACTGTTGAGAAATAACAACAAGTTAATATTAAAATAAATGGGCTGGTTAAGATGGGACTGTTTTAGTGTAATAGTACACTATATTGTATCGTTATCCATGCTAAAGTCGCACCAAGTAAACCAGGATATGAACCAGAAATCTAATCTAGAAATCGTGCTAAGGATCACGCCAGTCTACAGAACTCGATCTCATTAGGTCATTAGTTGTATATGTACCAGACAAAAATAATATTTGAAGACCAACTGATGTAAAATTCGAGTAATTGCGAGTGACTGTGTAAGTTTAGTTTTACGCCGCTTTTAGCAATATTCCAGCAATATCACGGCGGGGGAAACCAGAAATGGGTTTTACACATTGTACCCATGAGGGAAATCGAACCCGGGTCTTCAGCGTGACGAGCAAGCGCTTTAACCACTTACTCGTAATTTAACTCGTCAACTTACACACATGCCATGTAGGAAATCAATTGTAATAGCACATCCACTCATTTATCCCGAACTGTAACAGATTGAGACTGCGAACAATACGAGACTACGAACAACGTATGTTACATTTATATTTTTAATTACACTTTCTTATTTAAGTAGAGGTTTTAGAGGTTGAGACCAATCCGGGATTTGAACCCACACGTTCAGAGTGAGGCACCAAGCTGCCAGCACATAGAATCTAACACACTGGGCCACCGTGGCTGTCACAAAATTCGAAATCTGGTAACTGGTAGTCTAGATCATGTACTGTGTGTAACCCTGTAAATTTACAAGGCTCCAATGGACGAAAACTATGAATACACAATTAATGTGTCGAGTAATCGAGACATTCTCAGACACTGAAGATTGATATTTTATATCATTTCCTATAATTTGTATTTCAGCATCAAACTTCATCAGAGTTGTCTCCCCTGAAGCTGTACCGGAAATTGGCTGCCTTAAGAGATCAACCGTGTTTCCAATATGGCGGCTTTGAGTACGGAATCGTACATGACAAAATATTTTCATACATTCGTTCCGTAGTGGGAGGACAGACCTACCTTGTCACGATCAATTTCGGACATGAAACGTCGAGAGATAATTACACCGAAGGGTTGAACGGCCAGAGTCATGGAGAGATATCTATCACCACAGAAAACATACACTCTGGAAAATATAAACCCGGTGATAAAGTAAATCTACATCAGTTAGAACTTAAACCCGGGGAAGGTTTAATTGTTAAAATACGATAGCAAACAGCTGTCTTAAACTGTCATCGCTAAATGGTTGAGATTATGATAGTTTCCGGTTTTTACGTAATTGTCTCCAGAAATTGCGGAAAGTGATCGCGAACATAGTCTGCATTTAACAAAACCCCAGGTTCCCCCTCCTCAGGAATGTTGCATCAGCTGAAGTGGGCTTGTGCGTGGGTGCGAATACAACAACCTAAAGTTTCATTTGTTGGCTGCACTGTTAAAATGTTCCTTGTCGCTCACCTTAGGGTCTAAACGTGATTTGGAATTTGTGTAAAGCGCCACATGTGGGAAGGACACTATTCACCTCTCATTGTAGGTAATATATTCAGAATGTCTAACATAAATGAAGCGAAAACTGACTATATATTTACACTGCTTCTGTTGTCATAAAGCAACCAACCCGTGAAGATCCTCGTAAGAGGCGACTAACGGGATCGGGTGGTTAGGCTCGCTGGGTTGGTGAGTGAGTGAGTGAGTGAATTGGTGGGTGGTTGGGTGAGTAAGTGAGTGGGTGAATTGGTGGGTTGGTGGTTGGGTGAGTGAGTGAGTGAATTGGTGGATGATTGGGTGAGTGAGTGAGTGAGTGAGTGAGTTGGTGGGTGGGTGGTTGGGTTGGTGAGTGAGTGGGTGAATTGGTGGGTGGTAGGGCGAATGAGTGAGTGAGTAGGCATTTGGGTGAATGAGTCATCATTGGTTGGGTGAGTGAGTCAGTTGGTGGGTTGTTGGGTGAGTAAGTGAGTGGGTGAATTGGTGGGTTGGTGGTTGGGTGAGTGAGTGAATTGGTGGATGGTTGGGTGAGTGAGTGAGTAAGTATTTGGGTGAATGAGTGAGTGAGTGGGTGGATGGGTGATTTAGTGAATGGGTGGGTGGTTGGGTGAGTGAGTGAGTGTGTGTGTGGGGGGTTTGGATGGGGGAGTGAGTGGGTAGGTTGGTGGGTGAGTGAGTTACCCCGCTTGTAGCACTAGAGTGAGTGTGGGTGAGCTGTAGTCCAGTTATATCACAACATATTAATGTCACAGTACAGTGGGGCGGTGGGGTAGCCTAGTGGTTAAAGCGTCCGCTCGTCACGCAAAAGACCCGGGTTCGAATCCCCACATGGGTTCAATGTGTGAAGCCCATTTCTGGTGTCCCCCGCCGTGATATTGCTGAAATATTGCTAAAAGCGGCGTAAAACCATACTCACTCACTCACTCACTCACAGTACAGTGGGAGGAACATCCGATGTGAAGCATGTCCAAGGTGTGTTTATATAGTTTGACACACATTAAGTTGGAAGGGTAGGGGACGATTTGTAAATTGGCTATCACGAGCACGTGAAACCGATGAATGTCATCAGAGGTACCACATAAAGCAAAATAACACAAAATTAATGAAACAAGAAATTGACATTAATATTTTAAGAGGTGTTTGTTAGTATTTCTGTAGAAAGGAATGCGTCATCCATTGTTGATGAGGGTTCGCCGTCAGAGGATGGTTCCAGGTATTACATGTACACTATAGCAGAAACACAGATACATTTCGAGACAAATGGGTAAATCTGTTCTTATTAGGGCTTTGGGGGGCCTTAACATGAGTTCGACACAGCCGGGATTTCGACAAATCTAGTTCGAGACATCAGGGTAAAAATAATGATAAATATAAGGAAATCGGCAGGGACCGAGAGATGAGTTCGACATAACCGAGAATTCGTCTCAACCGAGTTCAAGACACTGGGGTTCGACTGTACTCACGTTGCTATGTAAATAACGTTAACCGCCATATCGCCTCATTATTTCTATCGTTGAGTATCTCGTTGAGTATGTTTGAATTTCAGTCAAAAAGCTACTATCAAATACATGCACATGTTTACCCACTGATAAGAATGCAGCTGTGACTATCATATTTATTCATCTGAGACATATTTTCAGCGCAACATCGTTAATCACCGTCGCCATTCTACTTGTCATATAACACCACAAAACATCCCACTTAGCATACTGGTACAATAGGAAGTATTTAGGACAATACCATCTATATCCGTTCGTCCAATCTTCTTGAGTGCCGACGATAGCAGGAATACTTCCTTGTCCTCAACGTAGTTCAATGCTTGGTTCCTACTGACGTCGCGAGGTCACGCCTACCGTGGATACTGTTGCTATGTAACACAAGCTTCCGGTCAGAACGTTGTATTGTCATGAACAGACACAACAAAGAGGTGTGGTCTCGGCGTTGACTCAAACCGTTTGGCAATAGTGATTCACGGCGTTCTTTCTGATATATATAATCTACATAGAGTTTATTCAGCGTGACTGTACTGTTGATTATTGCAATATTTATGTTTAGAATTTAGGTCAATACCATATATGGAACTTAATTGCCGGTTGTTCGTGTCAGAGCGGACCTTCCTGTCCTGACACATGCGCATTACTGACATAACCTGTCAGCGGTTTCTTTCGGGAAAAAAAGGATGACTGGATGTAATAATGACGTGACAAGACGAAATAAAATAGTACACCGACGGGAAGAAGTAACGTCACACATGCAATCCTTAGCATAATTAGATCTTGGGAATCTAGGTCGAAAAGGTGGGCCCCATTATTACACATGATTACAAAACAAGCCTCACAATTACAAAATTAGAAGATGGTCAAACATGAGTCCTTGTTGTTAACGAGGAACAACAGCAGCAGTAGCAACAACAACAACAACCTGTTCTTTTGGTGTTGGTGATTGGACGAAACAGGATATTCCGAGTATTGACACCATCACACGAAGAATCATTGTCAGACAATATTTAATTGCGACCTACCTTCTCAGTTAATTAAAAATCTAAATTTTAATGCTGATTTTGTTGATGGCTCAGTACTGCTTTACCGTAGAGAAATGAATGTCGACCAAACGAAGTGTTATTACAAATCTGAGTAGGCTCAACATTTCAAGAGAAAGCTCTCTGGCACCGGGTTCAACCTCAGTGTGTTGCTAGAAAGAGCAATCCTTCTTTGTCCTTCCATTGAATAATGTGAGGTGGCCTGAAAATGGAAACAAACGGCTTGCTGTTTGTTGCACAGGAACAGTTACTTCCAACTCACAACCGCCAATGTGTGACTTTGTATCGAGTTAATCATCATATGTAAATATGAAATGTATATTATTGAGATTGCTCAACTCTGTCAGGTGTATATCATCAGGCGCATAAAAGCCAACAAACCCGACCTTGTCCTTTTTGATAAATCTAATGAAATTATATTTATCATTTAATTTTATGTCCCTTTGACAGAAACATGATTGACAAAGATTCAGGAAAAACAAGGCAAATGTGCAGGCCTTGCTTTTGAAATATCGTCTGTTTAATTTCTGTAACTCCCATGCAGTGGGAGATGGACTCCATTATCTGTTCAAATGCGAAGCTTTGCTTCTGTATAGACAAACATATTTACCTTCTTACCTGAATTCAATTATATCATGAAAAGTCAACAAACTGTTTTCGTCTAAACAAACGCGTAATCTTAAAAAAAAGTCCACAAAGATACATTAACTTCTGGGTGTCTTTCTTGGGTTTTTGCCATCTGGACATGTTAATTTATATGAATATTCTAATTTTGTATTCTCATGTACCATTTATTTAGAGAAATAAATTGAATTGAATTGAAATATATCTCTTGCATCCCAGATACACTGTTGTCAGGCTCCCCATTGTTCTCGGTGCACTTGGTTTGGTACCTCCTGATCTCATGGCGCCTCATTGCGAGGAACACCCGAACCCTCTCTCCTGCATTTATCCATTTTAATCAGTAAAAATCAACAATGATCACGATCTTGATGATGATGATGATGATTATAAAGCCACTTATGAGGCGCTCGGATCTCGGAGCATGTTCCAACCGCCTAATTATTCGATATTCGTAATAGTAATAAACAATCGTCAAATGTGCTGGTATTTGTTATTTTCGTTAATTATTCATGTGGTGAAACATAACCAGTGTCATATATATCATATGTGCACATGTGCACGTATCACTTTTGCTTAGCAACTATTGTTTCTGTATTTCGTCGTCTGTGACGTCATTACAATTGAACGTGACGTCAATGAACAGGGCAGTCACACTTGCTTATCGTGTGTTGCTGCACAAATGTAGATCTACATGAATAAAATGGATAATAAAGAAATTATTACACTCGCAAGTGTGCCACACGACATATACGAAACTCGTGCAAAATTATGTACTGCCCTTTCGCTTTGTTAATACATTTCACACTCGTTTCGTATAAGTCGTATGACACACTTGTTCGTGTAATAATTTCTATTGTCTAGAGAGAGTCCTTTTCATTTTTTTCCTTTAAGAGGATAATGCCGTTTGAAAATTATATTACACATTGGAAATAATCTAAAATATATATTTATATCTGATTATTAGTTTATATCTGATACTTTGAAGTTTACAAGTTTACTGTATCAAGAACAACTATTAACCCTGCAAGTACGAAGAAAATATTTTCATCAGTATCATTCTGAAAAGATCAGGCTATATATGATTTAAATGATTCATGAAATATTTCCCGGTGATGTTTACAAAACGCTGCTGTGTGATGAGAAGTACACATTTGTCATGAATCTACCGGAAAATGTACGTGACACCATCGCGCGTGCATAATGACCAATCGACTGGCCGAAGTGCTCTCTATATAAGCAGCTGCAACATGAGAGGTGTTATTATTTCATTAGTGTGTCACGGGGTCACTGTTACATTGCTATGGAAACGTCTAAAAACGAAGGTAAGAGTTTTTACTGATCCTAGATGATGGAAATATATTTTATAAGCTGGGGTAAATTACTGCTTTTCATTTACAATAGGAAGTGCAGTTTTACTCCGCTTTTAGCAATGTTCCAGCAACATCATGGCGGGGGACATCAGAATTAGGCTTCACACATTGTACCGATATAGAGAATCTCCTATGCATGAATTACTGCCTTACAAAAAAGTACCTGAGGTAAAATATTCAATTTTATGAGTGAAACGATGGTTATAGTTGCTTTGGGATAATTTATACCACAGACAATGTACCTGGGGCTAAATAGTCATTTTTATATACATTAATGAAAGACGTTTTCAAAAAACATTTTACAACATTGCTGAAAATTACACTGTTGACCAAGCATACTGAGCCGTCGCAAGTTGCCGCGAGTTGTGTCCCTTGGTTTCCCTTTTCCCTCGCTGATCATGGGTTCGAATCGCCCCGCTTTGGTTTCAAAGTTTGCCGGCACAATACCAGTGCTACTGAGTTTCACCATGCCATAAAAGATTAAATGAAGTAATATGAAAGAAACGGGTTGTCCTTAACTTATTCTGAGTAGAATATACGTACTACAACAAATTTACGTGAAGTACTTTTTGCTGTCCATTAAGTTTCACATATTTAATGATATATCATAACTTTCATGTTTTCATAACTTTTAACTTGATTTCTTGAACGTGATTTGTAACTAAACGTCCATAGCCTGGCCCAATTGGGACTTGCCACCCTAGTTAAGCATTAAGTCATTCTGAAACTAGAATTTTATTCTATCCGACTGAAGTTTACAGCAGAAATCTCTGTTCGAATATATGTCCACGTCTTAACAGTACTATTCACACCTGACTTTTTCTGGACCCTTGTTGCTAGGGAGGTTAATATTTAAGTATTCCTGACTGGATGAAAAATAAATCGGTTTTACGTCTTGGTTACCAACTCCATGCGAATTCTGGGAGCCTGGCGTTTCACTGCCCTCTTCTACGGAATGAAACAAGTGTAAATCTAGATTGGTAAATTTTGAACTGTACACACAATATTATTTCCAGAAATTTAACGGCCCTGTGGCTAAAAATTTCAGCGTGCCGATGCTGACATGTTAAAACAGATGATATCTATTTTGGTTCTTCAGTTCCAAACATTATTTCCTTTTACAGCTTTGGATCTTTTTTTTCCCTAACATTCCCTACAATATATATATATCACATCAGTTCTCTACAGAATAGACCACCTATTATGGTGAGCGGAATGTTGACAGTTTGATCCCCGGTCGCGTCATTCTCAAGACGTCAGAAATATGGTACTTGTTGATACCCTTCCTTTGACAATATGAGGATAACATGGGGACCAGCCGGTAAGGAATCCGCATCCTGTATCTGTGTTGGATATAGATATAATGTTGCACTTTGGTGTGGTATCTCATGTATCAGTGGGCTACGTGACGTAAAACCTCAGTTCACCACACGTTTCATATGTATGTAGTTTTATCACTGACCCGTGAAGATCCGGGTTAGAATTGGTCTTCACAACCCATGCTTGTCGTAAGAGGCGACTAACGGGATCGGGAGGTCAGGCTCGCTGACTTGGTTGACAAATGCCATCGTATCCCAATTGCGTAGATCGATGCTCATGCTGTTGATCACTGGATTGTCTGGCCCTAACACCATTATTTACAGACCGTCTCCGTGTAGCTAGAAAATTGCTGATTGAGGCGTTAACCCCAAAACAAAGAACAAATCTCATAGGTGAGTCGCCCATAAAATCATGACACCCATGTTCATCACATTAAGATCATGCATTAAATATATGGTAATTACGTAAAAAGATATGAAATATGTTCGTAAACTTTAAATTAGTTTGCGCCATCATCTAAGTACTTTGCCTGTCGATGAGATAAAGCGTAACGAGCTTGACTAGATCAACCTCTATTCCCTCCGCAGACTCGGGCGTGTTGCGAGCGAAGCACTCGTACAATCCTCGTTACCATGACGAACTGGCGCTCACAGTTGGGGATGAGATAGCCGACATCAAAGACGTCGGCAACGGTTGGGTTGTCGGCCACAACAAGACCACGGGCAATACTGGACTGTGTCCGAGAGAGTACCTGCACAGTGCTGTGAGGAGAAGCACTATGGTCAACATTATGCACAGGTTAGTAGGTTCACCGAGTATTTTTAAAAGAGAATTATGACTGTTGAATAAATATTTAACAAGACATTTAATAACAGAGGACGAAATAATGATGAAGTATGTTTTCTAATGAGATAACGTTATATCGTTTCCTATGCCAAGTATTTGAACCACTGGAACTGGTTACCAGACACGGTCAGGTTGTTTCATAAATTTTACAGTTTAGAAAGTCTGGGTTATCGGAATCGTATCAAAATAGAACCCATGGCCTAGATTTTCGAAGCTCTCTTAGCGCTAAGATAGTCGTAAGTTAATGTTAATGTATGGCACTTACGACTATCTTAGCGCTAAGAGAGCTTCGAAAATCTAGGCCCAGCTGACTTGCATACTCAGTATCGTCGCTGTTTTACTATTATTACGTTTGACTGTCAAGATAAAATTTCAGTAGAATATTTTCTTTTGAAATAGATGTAGGGACGATTCGACCTGACTACAAATATGTATCTGCGCACAGATTACAATGATTACAATGGATCAAAAGAGGTGTTGTTTCAGTGTGAACGATTTTAGGCCACTTTAAGGAATATTCCAGCAATATCACGGCAGGGGACACCAGAAATGGTTTTCACATGTGGGGAATCGAACCTGAGTCTTCGGCGTGACGACAGAAGGCTTTCACACTAGGATACCCCAACGCGTTATTGAATTCAGCCAAAATAGTGATCAATGAAGTGTCCACCATTTCATTTCAGGGTGTCGAGCATTTACACGCATATGACACAAAACGTTATGCCACCAAAGAAAAGCGACCAGATGGCGCTGACGTCTATTGGAGGAAGCAGCGACACGCTTGACATTGAAATGTTCAGCGACACTTTACCGGAGAAACAGATGTCTGTCGTCCAGGTGTTCGTCCGGGTGATGTGTGGAGTCCTGTCGAGTCTGTTCCTCGGGGGGCTGATATTTGCAGCACTGTTATACATATACAGGTTCACACTCATTCAGTCCGGAGCAATAGCAGGGGGGATAACCTTCCTCATGGGCATGTTCCTGATTTTCTCCCCATACGTCCGCTGTGTGGCAGCACTGATGTCAGTCAGCGTGTTTACAAGTCAAGGACGGGCTGCCATCTTGACCCTCATCCCTGGACTTCTTCTAACTGGGCCAATAATGAACATGCAAAGAAACATCAACGAGGTAAGTATACAAGCGGAAAAAAGTAACTGTGATTTTTAAAATGGTTTAATGTTATGTAACTTAAAGGTGAAAGTAGCTAAATTTTGGTCGTTCGTCATTTATAAAAATGTTACCATTATTTACTGAGAAAACGACAGAAGCGGCACTTGAAGACAGGTGTGTGAGCGGTTAATCCATGTATGTGTATGTGTTCGTGCGTGCGTTCGTGCAGGATTGATAGCAACGGTGGGGTGGTAAGATAGTCTGGTAAGGTCATCTGGTTGTACAAGCGTTCGCTCATCGCGTCGAAGACTTGGTACAGTTCCCCTCAATTTCTCCAACGTCTGATACATGATATTATTATTCAATAAGGCTAAAGAGGCGTTCACTATTTTCGCTCCAAAGCTGCAGTTAGATAACTACACTTGTAATGGTGTCATTTTGATAGCTGCTCTTAGATATAATGATATATATGTACTGTATCATGACACAATTTCCTTCAGGGAGCAACATCTGTTGGCTGTGTAGCAGAGGTTGTTATGAACCAAACACTGGCACTCCACAACCAGATCTTAGACTCCGTAACCATGCAACGAGACAACCTGGAGAATGCAGTCAAAGAAGCGGAGAACCTCACCTTCACCTCGACTGGTCCAGATCTGAACACTACAGATGGTCTACCCACACCCACGCACAGCAACGAAAGTGTTATAGTAAGTATAACATTGTCCAACTGAGTGAGTTTGTGCGCTTAGGCCGTTGTAATCATTTCCTTGTTGCATCAAGAAGTATCGGTTGAGTGAGTGAGTGAGTGAGTTTAGTTTTGAGCGCGTTTAGCAATATTCCAGCAATATCACGGAGGGGGACACCAGAAATAGGCTTCATCTTGGGAATCGAACCCGAGTCTTCGGCGAGACAAACGCTAGTCTGGGCTAGTACAAGCAGCCACACATACACACGCATGCACGTCGTCATTTGAGCGAAATATTCTTAAGTACGAAGTTAACCCCATTTCACCTCACCTATGATAAGATAATGAGCTCGTATTCAGCTATAAGTTTTGAGTTCCTCTCGCTCGTACCAACGTCTATATCATCGTCAGAATATATCTTATCTGTATATTGTCTCTTCTACAGGAGTGCCTTAGCCGCATGGAGCAAATTAAAGAAAGATGCACCAATGTGACGAAGTTGCAGAAGGAGCCGAACATAACAGTCCACAAACTCCCATGCAGCAAACTACTAGTATTTGGAAAGAAATGGTATTTACAAAAACATATTTATGTAGAAGTGATGTAGCTACATACAATACATAATTTGATTGTCACTATATCAAGATGCCCAGTTGATCTCTTTAAAAATATATAAAAAGTCATTTGAACTTATGTTAAGCATAATGTTCCACACTGTCGAAATGAAAACAAACAGCAAAAATATTGCATTACGTATTTGGCCAAAGTAATTCTCAAGCACCCCTTCCCTGTTGGCAGCAAAGAAGTGGAGATAAAGCCACCAAAGACGGACGCCTTCTGCACTTCTCTGGAAGGAATAGAGGAACTCTGCTACCCTTCAAGCCGATCTAAAAGAAGCATCTCGTCAATTAGGAATGGATTGAAAGGCCTTTCTGACAAGTTTAATGTCAGATTGAATAGTACCAAGGTTGTGGACATCAGAGGGAACACTTCCTTTAACCTTGTCCAGAGGATAGAAGACATAAAGAAGGAAGTGCAGAGGAAGATGGACAAGGTGGTACACGTCTTCGGCATCATCAATAAACTCCTCATCATCTTTGTTCTTCTTGCCTTTGTCAGTGCTGGGATCTACCTAAAAAAATTCCTTCGGAAGATCAAGTTTGACAACGTCTATATCACCTCCCAGCTGAAGAATCTTGATAAGCAGCTGAGGGCAACGGGCAAAGAGAGTGCTGTTCTCCCTCTTCTGAAACGAGAGAGGAGGAAGTATATCAATTCAACGTCGCTGAAATTAGTCGACTCTGAATCTTTCGCGTGGAAAGTTGGCATGTCTCAAGTTGTCCTCCACATCATCATAGCTACTATCATCCTCCTTGTAGACTACGGAATCTTCTACGTCCTAATGCTTGTAAAGGAGAACGGAGGTGTTGATATAGCGTATTCTGGCGGTGCAACATTAGCCGTTGATGTGGAGGGTTCTCAGCCCATAGCGATCTTCTTTAAGACCATTCTGGAGAGCTTGAGCACCTCAAACGCTTTCAATAATACTTTCAGCTTTGAGCAGTGTCTTCCAGAAGCTTCACAGTCTCCAAGGAACATTCTGTATCTGATACTAACTCTCTACACACTGGTCATCCTGTTCGTATTGCTACAGTCTTATGGGCTTCGACTGAGACGCAAGATTGCCGCTTTCTTCTTCCCAGAGAGGGAGATGGAAAGGGTCAGTTTTCTGTGTCGCCATATTTTGCTGAAAAGGAAAATGAGATCGGCAGAGAGGGATGTACACAGTCTCAAGGAATGGCGGAGATGGTTAAGTCGAAAGTAACTGGACAGATTCACCATTCTGTTGGTATAATTTATGGCGTAACAATTCTCATTGTACTCTCATTTATTGTGTTGCTTAACGCCGCACGCCAGCTAACTGAAGGCGGTTTGTAAATAATCGAGTCTGGACCAGACAATCCAGTGATCAACAGCATGTTCGTCGATCAACGCTGCTGGGTTTGACATACGGGCAACGTAACTCTGCGTGGAGAATTGCGTCCCTTGGCGGTGCCAGCATACGCTGGTCGTGAAGTAGAATTCCATATTCGCAATTCTGTGCAGCACCTTACGAATATTCTTGCCTCCATATCGGTTACCGAAAAAATGTTATAATATGATGTTATTGTATGATGAAAATGGACAAAGAAATTGGACATCTCATGTTAAGAACTTCTTATTCTCTATTGGCTTCGGAAACGTTTGGAATGCACAATATGTAGAATCACATACGTCATTCATTCAGTCGTTAACCATAAGACTTAAAGACATATATCTTCAAACATGGTGTGAGAAAATATCTTTGTCAAGTAAATGTTTTTACTATTCAAAATTTAAAAAAGATCTATTCAATGAAGTATACTTATCATGTGTTAATATAATGAAATTTAGGCGATCACTAGCAAGATTCCGATGTTCATCTCACGATTTGTTGATTGAAAGCGGCAGATATAAAAATGTTAAAAGAGAAGAGAGAATATGTACACTTTGTCGTTTAAATGAAATTGAAGATGAATATCACTTTCTCCTCATCTGTCCATCATATAACTCAATACGTTGTAAATACATTAAAAGATATTACTATATCCATCCAAGCATCATAAAATTCTCTACCCTTATAAGCAGTAAAAATCAAAATATATTACAAAATCTTGCCATGTTCATCCACATTGCAATGTTGTATAGAACAAAATGTATATCACTGTAATGTAAATATATTTATTTATGTAATTCCCCATTATATATGTATATGTACTATAGGCCTGTGGCCTCTTCAGTACGAAATAAGATTGAAATTGTAAATTGTGAAATTGAATATTCTTTTGTGGTTGTTTGTCACGGGTGGAATACTGGTCCCAGCAACAGTAAATCTTACTCACTTGATGTAGTACGGAAACCGTGACTTCTTCATTTACATCTCTTCATGTGATATCTGTGTGTGACGATGTACATATATTTTCATAGTTTTTAATATATTTTCTTCATTTTCATAATGTTGTGAACATGGATCTCGCTGTTACTGTACCTTCTACAAATAAAGTATCAAAATTAATGTGTCTTTGTTGGCCGTTGTGGTAGCTCAGAGGTGAGGCGTTAGCTTGTCGCGTCGAACACAAATGTTCGTTTCCGACATTGGTATGATATACGATACCCTTTGAGTATGCCTTGCAGTAGTGTGTTAGGATCATATGCTAAAGTGGCATATCCGCACCAAAACCCCGAGCGTAAGGAACTGGGGGATACCAGGACTGACCTGTGTGTCCCATTTCCTCAACATCGTGGGGCCTTCACGTCCCGTCAGTCATTGATTGACCTGATCACGTCTCGAAAGGTAATGCCACTACACAGACAACCCAAAACCCCCAGTTCAACACCACCCTGTCTGTTCCACAACCTCATCACTCCTACTGAAGCCTCACACACATACCCCCAATACCCTCAGTCAACACCCTTGCTGACAGTCGAAGGGTGGTGTGGTGTGTGTGGTGTGTGTGTGTGTGTGTGTGTGTGGGGGTGGGGCTGGGGTTTGAGTATAATAAAATGCCGTATGGTGAGCTTTAGGGATTCTAGGTTTTAACGGGACCCAACCAACTCATGCTATTCCTATGAGGATACCAAATGGATGGGTTGGTCCGACTCGGTCAACTCAGTCAAAGAATAAAAAGTAGTTTCAATAGAATCATTTTGTATAACGTTTTCAGTACCTCTCTGTGGGAAGCAAAGAAGTGGAGACGAATCCATTGAAAACCGACATACTCGGCGCTTCATGGAGGGAATAGAAAAAACAATCAATTCGGTGCTCACGTTTTCACATTCATGGCATGGATGCGCTAATCAGTGATAGTAATTATGCTATAATTATCGGACATAGATTATATATAATGTATATTGTAGATTTATGGATAATTCAGTAACAGGATATAATTAATTACAGCACTGTGTAGACTATCCCGTTAGATGGTACACTAAGAGTAACAACCCGTGAAGGTCCGGGTTAGAATATTGATCTTCAGTAGCCCATGCTTGTCGTAAGAGGCGACTAACGGGATCGGGTGGTCAGGCTCGCTGACTTGGTTGCCACATGTCATCGGTTCCCAATTGCGTAGATCGATGCTCATGCTGTTGATCACTGGGTTATCTGGTCCAGACTCGATTATTTACAGACCGCCGCCATATCGCTGGAATATTGCTGAGTGTGGCGTAAAACTAAACTCACTCACTCACTCAATCAATCACTAAGAGTAACAGAGTAGCAATATGTTTAGAAGAAAAAGGTGATATCCATAAACGTGGGTATGAACTGCATTAAATGAAGATGAACACACTATTCTTGTCAAAATGTAAGAAGTACTCTTTACTTCAATGCAATTATTACTTACCAAACATTATAAAACATTTCCTCGTACAAGCACTTATGTATATAACGAAATATACATTTCAGCCATGATGTATAAAATGGGTATTTTATGAGTGCTTCAGAGGACACGTGATTATTTCATGAGCGGTTCAAGTAATGGTAATAGTAATAGTCCGCTTATATGGCGCTCATGTCCAGGCGCATTGCCTGCTTACGGCGCTACGAACATTACTATCCCCGGTCATAGGACACTATCATATTTGTCTATACTTTTTCAACACCCTGGGGAGTATACATGCTGCCTGTTAGGCGCAATGAACTAAACACTCACATTGCCAGCACATCCTCACGGGTACCCATTTTACAGCTGGGCGAACTGAGACAATGTGGATCTAAGTATCCTGTCCAACGTTACTACGCACCTCGGGACCCGAACCAATGTGCCTCCACCGGGGATCGAACCCGGGTCTTCAGCGTGATAGGCAAACGCCTTACCACTGTACTATTGCGCTCCACGCTCAAGTTTGGAAAGGTTGGGTTAGGCTATAGAGTATGTCCAAAGCGAAATTCCGGCTTTTTCATCGTGCTCTGTCCACTTTTTCCGTCCACAGCTGATGTCGGTGGCCCCCACTGACTCCCATCTCCCTTGTTTAAATTGTTTATTTGTTAATTAACGCCGAAACTCAGCAATACTCCTGTATAATAGCGGTGGTCTGAAAATAAACAAGACAATCCAGTGGTCAACATCATAAGTTAACAGCATTGGCCTAATAGGGGAAACGATGATGCGTGTCAAACAAGTCAGCGAACCCGACCACCCGATCACGTTAGTTGGCTAAGAGTGAGATTTAAACTAAAATACAGCTGAAGGTGAGTGAGTTTAGGTTTACGTCGCACTCAGCAATATTCCAGCTATATGGCGGCAGTCTGTAAATAATTGAGTCTGGACCAGACAATCCAGTGATCAACAGCATGAGCATCAATCTACGTCACTGGGAACGAATGACATGTGTCAACCAAGTCAGCGAGCCCTACCACCCGATCCCGTTAGTTGGCTCTAAGGACAAGCATGGGTTACTGAAGATCAATTCTAACACGGAGCTTCACGGCTCACCTAATCTATGAAACAGGCAGCCCAATGACAGTATTTAAAAATAATGCTATTATGAGACAGGTCACATCTGCTTCGTCCTGAATTTATTCTGCTGTATTCAGCACTGATGATCCGTCACCTACTGAGTCGGGTGGAATGACAATTCTAACCTTGATCTTTACAAGTAACTACAACTTGGCTAGCAGGAAGAGGAAGTGCCGCAACACGGATTCACACATAACTATGCAATTGAATTCAGAAAGTTAGAATGGGCAATTCCAACTGCAGTTTTAAGTTCAATATTAAACACACCCTTCGAATTCTGAATTACAAAAAGAGTTACTTATTTGACACGAAAAGACGACCTCGTTCACCAAACGGAAGTAGAAATCGCGCCATGTTTGTACAAAGTGCTGAGAAACACAGAAAAGTAACAATTTTGCCAGTCACTCTTGTTGCGCTTTGAACAGTGAACATTCGTGACCAACATTCGGCACCACTCGCCACTTTCCGTAACCTCCAAGAAGAATCGTCCCCCTATTGGTGCTTGTTTTGTGCGCGAAAATACGACAAACCAATCAGAACGCGCGTAAATTACTGCGGTGCTTTGGTAAAAATAATCCCTGGTACTTAAATAGGTTATGGCATATGTCATTGTTTAAAGAATCATGAAAAATATATATCGTCATATTGAAAGTACAAAGAACTTAGCTAACCAGTTTTTGATAAGGATCATGCGATTGACGGTGAGAGATTCAAATACACGCACGTGTGTTTGTTGACATAACGGCTCTCATGGGTCCAACTAAGGGTATTTCTGACGATCTTGCGGGCTTGCTATGGAGATTGTACGTGCGCTTCCAATAATTTAAGGAAATGTAATTATCATCATATATCGCTACGAGTTTCAAAACAATAATAGTAGACATATATCTACATGTAACTAATCAACTTTAATCTTTAATATTGGGCATATATTTCAAATCTCTGGGAATATATTAGTCTGATTTCTTTTTGGTCATTCATATATTTTTCAGCGAATTCATTTGAAATTCCACTTGGGGTATGACAGCAAAATTACACGATTGTTCAGTGTGAGAAATATTTTAAAGTAATTTTGAGTTTCTGCTTTGGGATATAATGTAGCTTTTGTAAATTTTATTTACATATTTAATAAAACAAATCCCATTTGTGATTATCAAACCCTATTTAGAAATATAATTGGAAGTATCAGGTCAACATATGGTAATAATTACGTCAGAATAAGTATTTAACAAATAAGTTTTTCTCCTTCCTTTAGTTGTATCAAAAGGTTTAATTCTTTAATAACACAAACATCAATACAATGCATGAGTACTGCGGTGATATTAAATACCATTAAAATCAAAGAAGAATAGAGTCATCGTTCCTGTTTAAAGTAGTTCTGATAGTAAGAATGTCGTGACCAACTCGTGTTATTCCCGGACAAGCCGAACAGCGAATCGTGCCCCTCTGGAAGGATTTCATATTGGCGCATGACCATGAGGCGAGTGGTGACGAATGCAGCAGTGAACCGACAGCGCAGCATAACCAAGAAACCAGACTGTAGACTTGTGTCAGGTTGTGTCAGTTGTGCAACAAAGTGAGGGAAGAGAAGGGAGGATAGGAACACAGGCCTTCGTGTCTTTGCGAGGATTAATAATTAAAAAAATAATATTTTTGAGATGACCCCCGACTCGAAATGCTTCACAGTACAATACACCATGACCTTGTCACAATGTATTTTACTGTGAAGCATTTCGAGTCGGGGTCATCTCAAATTTTCGTATATATTTTATAAAATCCTTAATCCTCGCAAAGACACAAGGGCCTGTGGATAGGAAGGGAGATGGCAAGCTGTGGTTGTAACTTTTGGCTGGGTAACAAACAGAAATTATGGTTGGCATTGACAAGACTACATAAATTTAACTTAAGTGGGACCTTGTAGGTTTGGCTAGTCCCTGGGATTAAGAATTCAGAATTATTTTCCCTTTGGATTTATGTATTTATTTAAGTCAGATTGCGACAATGGAATACCTTACTTTCTTAGACTAATATCAGAGTAACATTGACATTAAATATACAAAAATATGCTTCATTTTAGAAAAAAAAGAGTAATAAAAAATACACTCAATTCATTAAAATAATGTGCACAGAGAGTCACATAATGAGGCTGGAGTCTCAATAGCACACACACACACACACACACCCACACCCCACACCCCCGGCATCCATACACGCCAACACACGTCTCCTCATTGGATGGATAACGTCAGCAGGAGTGAGTGAGTGACTTGGGTTTTTCGCCGCTTTTAGCAATATTCCAGTAATATCACGGCGGGGGGACACCAGACATTGGCTTCACACAATGTGCCCATGTGGGGAATCGAAAAGGAGTCTTCGGCGTGACAAGCGAACGCTTTAACAGCTAGGCTACCCCACCGCCCTTACGTCAGCAGTTAACCTGTTCCATAAGTTCAAGAGATTCTTTTCAAATTCCTGTGGGTTCGCTGAAGGTGGTACGCGCTGTCTCAGGTGACGATCAAGATGATCCCAGAGATGTTCAATGAGGTTCATGTCTGGCGAACGCGCTGGCCAAGGCAATACGTTGACGTTAACGGTGTGCAGGTATTCTCGAACAATTCTGGCGGTGTGAGGCCTTGCGTTGTCGTGCTGCAACATGACTCCTCTTGGCTGTTGTCGTATAAAAGGCACCGCAAAAGGTCTCAACACTTCATCCCCATATCGCGGATGTTGTTCTCTCACCACAATTGCCACCCCATACCATGGCGCCTCTTCCAACGAACGGATGAACTTCTTGAACGCAGTTTGGTGCCAGTCGCTGTTCTCTTCGTCGAAACCCCGTACTCTGCCATAGTCTCTGAACAGACTGAACCGGCTTTTATCTGTAAAGAGCACTCTCTCCCAGTCACATCGCTGCCACCGACGTAAGTTCGTGCCCATTAGAGTCTGCGTTGACGGTGTAGACGGGTCAAGGCCATTCCACAGAAGGGGCGGTAGGCTCATACCAAGTCGTCGAAGGACTGTTTGTCTGCTCATGGCGTGTCCTAGTTCTGTCACCGCCGTTGACGTCTCCGTCACGAATCTGTTCCGGAGGTGGATCTGCCGGATGGGCGGTCGTGGGTCTGGCAAGTTTGCTTGTAGCGGTTTAACGTGCCCGCTCACAGTCAAGCACAGGCATCTAGACCAATGTCCTACAATTACGATTTCTAGACCAATGTCCCACAATTACGATTTCCATGTTTTGAAAAATGCACAAGATTCCTATAAAGTTTTCGGACAGCTGCGTTGTTATCGGTACTATGGTGTGGTTTCTTCCCTCCCTCCCCCCCTCTCTGCCTCTCTCTCTCTCTCTCTCTCTCTTCTCTCTCCATCTGTATGGGTGTATGTGAACAATATAACACTCACTTATTCACTCAGCACAACTTGTCATGCAGGGTAATTACAGGACGACAAAAGTAGAACACAGTGTACAAAAACTGTCTTCTTCTATTAGACTTTAACCTACATCTTAATTATTATTGCCCACACACGGATATGCGGCATTTCCTACCAGAAAGCGTCAGCAGTATCATACTACTGACCCCGTTGTAGTCAACTGAGGGCATCCTCCCAGGGGAAGGAAAGCCAGTGACTGTAAGACAAGATCATCACACGATGCCAGTCCGAGTCAAACTGGGAGCTACACAGGAGGCACCATGAGCGGGCTGAGAAGATTTAGCCGCAAACCTGAAGGTACTTCATTGGTGATATTTCAGTTGATATGTCTGGGTTTTTTTGCTTAAAAGATAAGGATAAGTCACATTTTTCAGTAATTTGTATTTTGAAGACCTTTTTTAAACAAATAATCACAAATTAATAATCACGGCATAACGAGTATTTTGCCTGTAAGATTACAAAAAGAGATTTGTGCTCAGAAAGGTCCTTGGATAAGTTTCTGTGGGTTCGAACTATGTCTTTGAGTGAGTGAGTGAGTAAGTTTAGTTTTACGCCGCTCTTAGCAATATTCCAGCAATATCACGGCGGGAGATACCAGAAATGGGCCTATGTCTTTGAAAGAACCTAAATAATTCTACATCAATGTTTCTAGACTGTTAATGTAAATGTAATGTAAAATGTGAACGAAAGCTGACTTATCCCAGTGTAGTATTTCGTCATATGTGATTTTACTTTCATTTACACAAAACTGTAACATTGACAATATTATCTTAATACATCCTAACGTTCATGTTTAACAGAACGCTCTTAGCAATAGCCACGTCGTAATTTGAAAGGTCTACATTATGAAGTTGTTTGGTTTGTCGATTCAATGATTATGCTGAAAAGATATAATCACGTAAATATATTGCGTGGACAACTGCTGACCTGGAGCAGCGGCCTGTGCTCATGGTTACGTACTTCCTTTGTAACTCTAGACTCTCTAAAATCAAGGGCGGTGGGGTAGCCAAGTGGTTAAAGCGTCCGCTCGTCACGCCGAAGACCCGGGTTCGAATCCCCACATGGGCACAATGTGTGATGCCCATTTCTGGTGTCCCCAGCCGTGATATTGCTGGAATATTGCTAAAAGCGGCGTAAAACCATACTCACTCACTCACTGTCTAAAATCAAACCAGGATCACTTCAGGTTTTCCTCCCGCCATCAAGCTCATACCCTGTGGTATAAGTGAAATACTGTTCGAGGGAGCGTTCAAATTCACTCACTTGTTAAAACTGACCCGTGAGGATCCAAGTCTTCAACATCCCCGACCGCGTCATACCAAAAGACGTTAAAATATGGTACTTGTTGGTCCCTGCCTGGCGCTCGGCATTAATGGGTACATCAAGGACTGGTCGGCTCGGAGTCAGTATAATGTGTCTGAGTGGGGTATTCATGCTTCACTGCGGCATGGTATCTCAGTGAGCTAGCACTATAAAACTAGCTTAAGTCTGGGCTAGTACAAGCAGCCGCACATACACATACACACGCATGCACGTCGTCATATGAGCGAAATATTCTCAAGCACGACGTAAAACCCAATGTCACCTCATCTCCAAGTCTTCAACATCCAATGTATGTCGTAGAGGTGACTAACTGGATCGGTGGTGACGTAGGATGACTTGGTTGATACATGTCACCGTGATAGATTTGCTCGATGCTCATGATGTCAATCAGTGGACTGTCTGATCAGTTGACAGAATGTATGGAATACTGCGGACAATACAGAAGAAAAACACTAAAACAGTATTGTTATTTTCAGGCAGGGCGTGTGTGTATCGTGTGAAACATCAGTATAATCCAACCAAACAAGATGAGCTCCAACTGGGAATCGGAGATGAACTCCGCAACATCAAAGACGTCGGGAACGGCTGGGTGGTTGGGTACAACACGACCACGGGGAAAACTGGACTATGTCCGAAAGATTACCTGCAGAAAGGAGGGAGCGGAAGAGGCCAGAGTAGAGTTGACCGATTCAGAAATAGGTGAGGCAGACCAAGAGATGCTTGGAGAATTCCCTGCTTACAACCTGTCCTATTGTATCCTCTATTGTTCTCAATCAGATTGTGTAGGCACCATGTCTATGAACACTGATGTAGCATGTAAGGTAGTCATCGAGCGCCCATCCCAAACGCTGCTTAATCCATCTACTAGACATATATTATATTGCTTACTTTGGGTCATCTTCAAAACATCGGGCATAGTTTGTAGTTGTAACTTGGGTCGTAAGCAGATTGGGAATGTCAAAATGATGTTTTTGTGTCACGTGATTCTGTGGGTGGTGCACTGTGCTGATTTAGCCCGGTAGTTTCATTGTGAGGATGACTGTTATCCACGGGCTCCAGTCATTTTCACTGCAGTCTAGACGGTATAATTGTAAACATGGTTATGTACTTCAGGCTCATGTGTAGACTGCATAACTGTAAACATGCTTATGTACTTCCGGTTTACGTCTAGATTGCATAACTGTACACATGCTTATGTACTTCCGGTTTACGTCTAGACTGCATAACTGTACACATGTTTATGTACTTCCGGTTTACACCTAGACTGCATAACTGTACACATGCTTATGTACTTCCGGTTTTCAAGTCTAGACTGCATAACTGTAAACATACGTACTTCCGGTTTACATCTAGACTGTATAACTGTACACATGCTTATGTACTTCAGGTTCATGTCTAGACTGTATAACTGTAAACATGGTTTTGTGCTTCCTGTTTACGTCTAGACTACATAACTGTAAACATGTTTATGTACTTTCGGTTTACACCTAGACTGCATAACTGTAAACATACTTACGTACTTCCGGTTTACGTCTAGACTGCATATCTGTACACTTGCTTAATATGTATTTCCGCTTGAAGTCTAGACTGCATATCTGTAAACACAGTTTGTAATACCGGACAATGTCTAGACTGTATCGCTGTAAACATAGTTCGTACTTCCGGTTTAAGTCTAGTCTGTATAACGGTGAATATACTTTCGTACTTCGGGTTTAAATCTGGACTACATAACTTTAGATATGGTTCTGTACTTCCGGTTTAATGACAGGATACTGAAGACGGCGTTCTTAGGAATTCAATGTCGTTGAATTTTGTCACTAGATGAATACTTTTGTTGCGTTTTGGAGCTGTGAACTGTGTACCGTCGTTCCTTTCAACGGTCTTTGTATTTTCCATTATATTTACTTAATATATACACATTGTGGTCATTTAAGGAAATATTAGATGAATTTAAATATCATTCCCGGTGAAGCCACTGAACTATAACTTTTCATTGCCTTAACATAATTACTGCAACGGGCCACGTTTTGTTCCTTAATTTTACAAAGAGTTTAACTTATGCTAATCATTGATGTAACTACAGTGTTCATTTAATAATTCTGCCGTCATATCAGACAAATGATATAATTTTATGAATTGTGAGCTCCCCAGAGGTGTACATATATGCAAATTTAAATAAATTATTATTTTATAGTTTCTTTTATTGTAGGGTATCGACCATCTACGTGAACCTGACACAACAACAATCCTCAGGAAGTTACGATTTCCACATCCCTTCGCCCCTCATTAATGTCTCGTCACCAGAAAACACAAAAGAAGCCTCGAAAGCAACGTCTAAAAAATATATCTTGCCTGAAACACACACCCGTAGTCAGAAATGCACTCGTGCGTTGATTGGCATATTGGTGGGCCTGTTTTTGGATGCGTGATGTTTGCAGCTCTTTGTCTTTCGTATCGCTACTCGTTTGTGGAAGGTGCAGCAATATCAGGGGGGATCACTCTGGTGATGTGCGTCTTCCTGGTTATCTCCCCTCATGCCCGCTGCGTGGCAGCACTGATGTCAGTGAGCGTGTTTACAGGTCAAGGTCGCACTGCGTTTCTGTCTCTAATACCTGGCCTTCTCCTTGCTGGACCGGTGATAAACATGCACAGGAACTTAAACGAGGTCAATAAAAACTTTATTTCCATGTTAATAAGGGCGGTTGGATTGCGAAACTGTTAAAGCGCTCGATGGACATAATATGTGAAGGCCATTGCTAGTGTCTCCAGAATGAGCTTTCGCTGGAATAATGCTAACAACGGGGTAAAATCCAGCCTATTGGCTAATACAGTAATTGGTCAGTGCTTGTTGTTCTCAACCTTTGTTTGACTCTGCAATAGGTCCCAGGCATGTCACATCTAACCGATGGTGTCAAATAAATGTGAATTATTCTTATTAGGTTTAGAAATTTGCCTGTGGTTATTTATTAATATATTACGATATGTAATTTTTCCCCATGGTTACAGGCCGCATCGTCTGTAGCCTGCATAGCAGAAGTGGTCCTCAATCAAAGTCTCGCCCTACATCATCAGCTTCTAGAACCAATTGCTAAGCAACAGAAGAGCATTGAAGAAGCGGCGGAAGTGGTTGAGAGAAAAGCATCCGCTATTCGATTGGCCTTGACATCCTTCAGGACGGAAGTCAACAATATTGAGGAGTCGGTTGTTGATGCCAACTCGTCAAAGGCAAGAAGTTTTCGTCTTTGTTACATTTATCTAAACAATTCTGTAATAATTCTGTTCAAATACAGAAAACAGAACCCGTCAAATGAAGAAGGTGGTAGATTTATTAGCGACAAATGCTCCCGCAACGTTTATCATGGGTTTGGCATAGTTATTAGTTTAAGCGCTGTTTAGATTCCCTGGTAGATTAGTCTCAAGTATCACGTACTTGTCGCAGTACCAATAGGAATAGGATGACGCACAGTGTGGTCCGGATGACTCGATGCTGAAAAGGTCAACTCACTGGTTTCACTGCACAGACTTTAACTGCCTTTGTATTAAACGCAACATTAGAGCTGTATACGTATGATGGCGATCTGTAAATTATCGAGTCTTGTCCAACCAAGTGATTGACATTGTGAGCAACCAATCAAGCCGTCGGACGCACCCGTGAAGATCCGGGTTAGAATATTGATCTTCAGTAACCCATGCTTGCCGTAAGAGGCGACTAATGGGATCAGGTGGTCGGGCTCGCTGACTTGGTTGACACATGTCATCGGTTCCCAATTGCGCAGATCGATGCTCATGCTGTTGATCACTGGATTGTCTGGTCCAGACTCGATTGTTTACAGACCGACGCCATATAGCTGTAATATTGCTGAGTGCGGCGTAAAACTAAACTACTCACTTACTCAAGCCGTCGGACTACAGTGACACGCAACGTTCACTGAGACTGACGACCCACGTAGATAAAACTGTTTAATAACATTCACTCGCCTAATGCAGATGTGTATCCCATGGTGGTTTGTTTGAAAACCTGCACCTTGGCTTGTCCTCGATTATATTAGCTGAATCTGTGTAACTACATTTTGATAAAAGTACCATGGAAATCTTAATGTCCTGTATGAAGAAAGTGACGAGACAAGGTGTCCGCACACTGTATCTTAGCTGTTGCCACCCAAAACTATTCGTTATTCCTAGTGAGCTGTATAAAGTACTGAAAAAGGAAATAGGTTGTGCATGATATCTAACTATTATTTTATTTGGTTTATGTATCACATATGCGCACTCAACATCAAAATTAATATTGGTCGTTGTTTGGGATGCAAATCTAATTTATAACTCGTTTTAGATTGGTCCATCGATAGCCTATGCAATGGAATACTTTGTTTCCCCAGGGGTGTGCTGGTCAACTGCAGTTCATGTACGCAGACTGTAAGCAAACAATACAGGACTCCATCAAGGTCTGTAAGGCTTCGGCAGGAACGGGCGCTTCTCGAAGTAGAGGCCAATCAAATGGAAGGAACAATGACCCGAGTAACAGCCAAGGGCAGCCCACAGCACAGGCCTTCATCTTCGGTAGAAAATGGTGAGACGTCATAACTATATTGTCAGTTTTCAATTCTTTGTTTGGTAATAATGGTCCGCTGATGATTCGGGTTAGACCAGCCCCCAAGAATTCTCTGGTTGTGGAGAAAGGCGATCCCTGAAGATTCCGGGCTCTGTTAGACCCCAACAACCTGTGCTGGCGTCAGAAGAGATTCCTTTCGGGATTCCGTGTAAGAAACGTCATAAGAAACATGTACTAGTAAGGATTCCCTGTCTGGACTTGGGGTTAAGGTAGTTCCCGAGCAATTGCGAGTCAGAATAGGTGCACAGCAGCCTATTGCTGCCTATCCTACTGGTCGTAGGATGATATTCGGGAGTCTGTGTAAGAAACTGTCCTTAACGTAAAAGGCGATCCAAGTTGGAATATCGGGATAGAACAGGTCGCCAGTAATTATTCGTGATGTAAGGGGAATGTCGGTTTAAAATAGGTTCCCGACAACTTCACCCACGATTGTGTGTTCATAATTTGAAGTTTAAAGTAAGTAGTATGATTCATTCGAGCCTAAACTCGATATATAAATGCAAATTAGCTGAAGATCACCGCGAAGACACATTTCGAAACACTCTATGTTTAACTGTTCTTGGAAAGATTTTATCTCCGTTTCAGTGACTTTGATAATAGCACAACTACGAATCTATAGTTTGGCATGAAATGCATGTGGACCCGGTTTTTGTAAATATCTCTTTATCCAATGACCCAATCGATCTCAAACTGTGCAAGTGGATGTTTTGTCAGACAACCCAATCACATTGTAAATCACCGTTTTGATGCATTTGTATTGAAGAAGCTGTCTATGTAACTGTCAACAAAATATACAGCAGAACGCAAACTGCTTGCAGAGGGAGGGAGCCAATGACCTGTAACAGCGGCCGTGTTGCACAGTTTGAGATCGATTGGGTCATTGGATGAAAAGATATTTACAAAAACCGGATCCACATGCATTTCATGCCAAACTATAAGTAAATGTTATCACATGCTTGATTGTGAAATGAAAACATTTTAGTTTTTATATATTTATACAACATGAACCGTGAGGGTGTAACGTTTTAATATGAAATTATATAACTTTCGGAATAGTTACATTTCTGAGTGGTATTTGTTGTTTGCTAAAGACGACTGAGTATAAGAAACCGACAACATTCTGATGAAGAAAGAAGCTGTTCCTGAATGTGTAACACTGTTCTCGGGTTAGCGAAAACAAATAATCTTTAAATGTCCAAAGTGGATTTTCAGCAAATTAGTGTTTTCTGAGTCCAACACATTGTTTGATGCCTTTTTATAGAGAAAAAGTATATTTGAAACGATAGGATATATGTTTTGCTCAAGGAATACCTTCAGCCCTCCCTCAGGATTTGAGTGAGTGAGTGAATCTAGTTTTACGCCACACTCAACAATATTACAGCTATATGGTGGCGGTCTGTAAATAATCTAGTCTGGACCAGACGATCCAGTGATCAACAGCATGAGCATCAATGTACGCAATTGGGAACCAGTGACATATGTCAACCAGGTCAGCAAACCTGACCCCCCAATGCCGTTAGTCGCCTCTTACGACAAGCATGGGCTACTGAAGACCAATTCTAACCCGGATCTTCACGGGTCCTTCAGGATATTAAACGGGAAGTACCTAAGTGTGTTTGTTTCCATTGTTTGGTGAATGGATCTAATCCAAAATCTACATACCTTTGTCACTCCACTCAACACCGGTCATATAAAATGTAAACTTAATCTCTTGATTTGCATCCACAGCGACCCTTCACTGTGTGACTCGATCAAGTCAAAGTCCATCTGTGACCCACTGAAGGAATCGAATATCTGCAAGTGGGCAAATAACACAGTGATCAAGTCCAGCGCCAAGACAGTCACAGAAAGGTTTGACGAGATCGACGAGCTTCTGGGTTTCAGCATTAACAGCTCCAGTGTCATCGACGTCAGAGGCAACACTTCAAGTGACCCTATTCAAAGAGTCCGGGAGCTGAAGAGGAGACTACAAGAGCAACTGGACTTTGCTGTCTTCATCTTCAAGATCCTCAATCGGATCCTCATCATCTTCCTCATCTCGGCCTTCATCAAAGCCTGCCTCTATGTCAGGCGATATCTTCGCAGTCTCAAATTTGACAACATTTATCTCCGAGATCAAATCAAGTATCTGGACGAACACATTCGGGCTGAGGACGAAAGTAAAGCCTTATATCCACTGAAAGATGTAGAAAAGAAGAAATACATTAATTCCTTAACCCTCAACCTTAGCCGATTGGAATCTCTGTCATGGACGATGGGATTGACGCAGGTGATGCTGCACATCTTTCTGTCAGCTGTGGTGATACTTGTCGATTATGGACTGTATTATGTTCTCATAATCCTTCAAAGAAATGGAGATGTGGATTTTCTTGTAACAGGAGGAGTATGGCTACAGGTAAATGTTAGCGGATCCGGGCCTTTCGCTGACATGTTTAGAACAGTTGTTGAAGGCATCAGCGTTTCGAAATCGTTTGAGGATGTTCTGAACTTCAAAAGATGTCTTCCGTCTCCTACTGAGCAACCGAGGAAAATTCTTTACTTACTTATCTCCCTTTACTCCCTCGTGTTGGTCTTTGTTCTCCTGCAAGCGTATGGACTGAGGCTTAGGCACAAAATGGTGGCGTTCTTTTTCCCCGAGCGCGAGGCAGAACGAATTCACTACTTGTACAGACACATTCTTAATAAGAGAAGACTCAGGGCTGAAGAGAGCAAGAAGCTGAATCTTCTGAAGGACCAGTGGAGTGTCATTGGTTCAGAACATTCCGACGAAAAAACTACAAACTGTTGAACAGCAGATTTATGCTAATGAATGCTTATTACATAGTAGTTGTAACATCTTTCTATCATACATGTCCCAAGTTCCGAAGGCTTGGAAATCTCTTCGTAGATTGAGATGAGAATGTAACTTTTTTCTTGGATTCGGAATATTTTCAGTATTTGGCAATGAATCGTAATATTGCTCTTGATTGGACTAAAGATTGGAGGGAGGTTTAATAAAGAAGTAGTACTCACAAGTATACCTGTGTAGGAAATGGAATTCGGTTCGTCGGCGTGCCAACCGAGCCCTTTAATAACCAGGCTATTTAACATTCCGAAATGCTCAGCCTGTAAGTTACAAAACATCGTTTATTACCTACGAGGGCGAACATATCTGGGTTCATATTTTAATTCATACGATGCCCTAGGGCAAAATATCACTTTGTCATGGTGACGTGACGTCATGAATACTCGCTCTCTCTCGGGAAATACCAACATTTAGGAACTCGTGTCGTAAACATAATATGACATTGGCACTCATATAATATCCTCTGTTTATGCACCTTTTCACAAACATCCGGTAATATCGCACTTTGATAGTGATTCATTACCACATGACCATGATGTCGTCTAAATCGTACAATCGACAATGCATTTGGCTGAGATTTCTTGTTGGTATGGAAAGGGTTCTGTCGCGTATATTCATTAAGCCTTTATACTCTAGCATACCTAATTCTAGCATACCGAATACATCAATTGATGATTTAGAAGCATGGACAATACTGAAATCCATAGACCTCGTTTCGTTTTGTGGAGAGTTACTTCCCTTCCCATATTGATCAAATTTTACTTCCCTTCCCATATTGATCAAATTTAGATATTTTAAATGCTGTTGACAGATTACATGAGTGAGAAAGAAGCCAAAGACACCATTATAATCCTTATCACAATGTATTATTCACATTTATGAATCTTTGGTTTACCTACACAGTGATAAAAGACGCTACCAAGAGATAAATTTACTTTCGTTAGTTCAGTTTTTTTATTGTTAGTGCAAATGTAAAATGCAGGATTACCTCATATAAATCCTTTTGACTTTCCACATGAGGTACGTCTGGTAAAAATTATAAGTCGCTGGGGAATATTACTTACCACGGCATCTATTTACCTACTCTTAAATGTCCCACTTCAGCTTGACATGGCTATTTAGGTAGATATCGTAGTGTTTACAAAGGCTGCTTTCCAACGACAAGCTGTGTTTGTAGGAGGATGGGCATGATTACCCACTATACACATGACCCGTGAAGATCCAGATTAGAATTGATCTTCAGCAACCCATGCCTGCCGTAAGAGGCGACAAACGATGCTCATGCTGTTGATCACTGGATTGTCTGTTCCAGACTCGGTTATATACAGACCGCCGCCATATAGCTGGAATATTGCTGAGTGCGGCGTAATACAACAAACCAACCAACACTATACACATGACCATGTACATCCTACTGTTTGTTTCTTCAAGGCTTCATGTATAAATGGGGCGGTGGGGTAGCCTAGTGGTTAAAGCGTTGGCTCGTAGCGCCGAAGACCCGGGTTCGAATCCCATTGGGTACAATGTGTGAAGCCCATTTCTGGTGTCCCCCGCCGTGATGTTGCTGAAATATTGCTTAAAGCGGCGTAAAACCAAATTCAGTCAGTCAGTCAGTCATGTATAAATATCTGCTCCTGACAAACTATGTTTCTGTGCTTGCTCTACGTGAACTTACATCTATATTGACATGGCAAGTTACCCATTTATACACAATAAAAAGCGCCAATACACACTGAAGAATACTTCACTTCAGTTAAGCCAAGCATTGATTTTGTGAATGTGTTCTAGCTTGTGTCCTATTCAAGTTAAATTGCCACACTGGTTTATAATGTTTCTTTGATTTGGTACATTTACCAAAAAATGTCTTCATTGTGCCTTAGGCAAGTTTCGTTTGTTCGTGATTGTTCCATGTTTTTCACAAAACCTGTGCATTTGCTCATGATATTAAAAAAATATGCAAATTTCTTTGAATGTTTCATGCTGTTCCACATTGTTCCCCATCCCGGTACTTGCTTTATGTCGTCAATTTGTGTTTGTTGTTTAAAGCCGAACTCAGCAATATTCCAGCTATATGGCGTTGGTCTGTAAATAATCGAGTCTGGAATAGACGATCCAGTGATCAACAGCACGAACATCGATCTACGCAGCTGAGATACGATGACATGTGTCAACCATGTCAGCAAGCCTGACCACCCGATCCCGTTAGAAATTCTAACGACAAGCATGGGTTGCAGAATACCATTTCTAACCCGGATCTTCTCTGGTAGATGCAATTAAAACACTTTGTTTTTCATACCCTAAAACGTTATAACATAAATTCATTAGTTGAACATATATACCGTAATTGCATATAAATAATATCTTAGTTGGAATCAGATGACACCTGTCACCTGAGGTGCAAATCATTGAATCCTCCTTTAGCCTATAGGCTTTCAAGTGCAAATCCAATCATTGAACATAATATGTCCCACCACGGCTTTTAAGATCAAGTTCTTTGTCACCCCAAGGTCAGTGATATGGACATAGACAGTTCTCTTACATATCACCGATGGAATTTTAACGGATGAACTTTAATCCTTTCTTCAGATCACTCATATTTGCTTGTGTTTGTGAACATTATTATTATTATATACCGATGATTTTAACAGGTTACCAACCAATCATGTGCATGGTCTTTTAAAAAAATATGGAAAGTTGAAGAAAGCTTTGCTGTCTGCAATGCCGAGTGACAGGCAAATTAACAACACCTATGGTAATGTATGATACGACTAGGGGTGAAATCAGCTCAGCACTACGTTAAGTGGGAGAGTGAGTATGGTTTTACGCGCTTTTAACAATATTCCAGCAATATCACGGCGGGGGACACAAGAAGTGGGCTTTACTCATTGTACTCATGTGGAGAATCGAACCCGGGTCTTCGGCGTGACGAGCGGATGCTTTAACCACTGGGCTACACCACCGCCCCCTCTATGTGTAAGTAGACCACGGCTGCGGTCACAAAGCCATACACAAGTGCTATATATAGTGACTAATGTCCTGTTATTGTTAAACATTTATGGAAGATAGGAAATAAATGTGACTGTGTTGGCAGTATGTGGGAAGGGGGCGGAGCCACGCACAGACAATCACACGCAGTAATGTCACGTGATTTCTGCCAAAACAAGTGTCAGGGGCAACTCTTTTCATGAAATGTCCTTGAAAAAGTTGACCACGACAGAGTGTATCTTAATACACAATAAACACGTGGACATGAGTCATTTATTTCCTCTGCCCCAGGTCCAGTACGTGTCACTGTCAGAGTACAGATCTATACATTCACGATCGTAAGCCTCTGTTAAATCATTGGAGCGATGAACACCGCGATGATATCGCAGATTACTGGCGAAGATCCGGATTAGAATTGGTCTTCAGCAACCTATGCTTGTCGTAAGAGGTGGCTAACGGGATCGGGTGGTCAGGCTCGCTGACTTGGTTGACATGCCATTGTACATCAATTGCGTAGCTCGATGCTCATGTTGTTGATCACTGGATTGTGTGGTCCAGATTATTTACAGACCGCCGCCGTATATCTGAAATATTGCTGAGTGCGGCGTTAAAGGAACAAACAAATCCCCTGTTCCACAATATATACTCATGCCAATAATGGTTGTCACCCCTCCCGAACCCAACCCCACACCCCACCCCACCCACCCTCTCCAATAAAAAACTGAAGGGGTGACAACCATTATTGGCATGAGTATATGTTCAGCAACCCCGCTTGCTAAACACCTCCTCGTCGCTCCTACTGAAACCCCACACACATACCACTCACAGACACCTTCAGCTGCAACACCATTCCTCACAGACCTTTCAAACACAACACCACGCTCTCTGTTAGACAACCTCATCACCCCGACTGAAGCCCCCCACACATACCCTCCTCACAGACTCCTCCTACACCCTCAGCTACAACAGGCAAAATGTTGACTTTCATACAAATTTTGTGAAATGTTACTCAAAGGCTCAAAGATATATATACACAAGAATGGGTTGTAGCACTGTCATTGTCAAGTAAATGTTTCTATTATAGAATGTTTAAATCCTATATATACAGAGAATTATCTGTTTTCACTAAATATCAAGAAATTTCGAAAGGCTTTTGCTCGGTTTAGGTGTTCCTCACATGACTTGGCAATCGAAACAGGGAGATATCATAAAATAGAGAGAGAAAATATAATTTGTACATTTTGTGATCTTAATTGTGTAGAAAATGAATATCACTTCCTCTTAATTTGCCCATTATATTGTGAGTTAAGAAAAAAAAATGTCCCAACATATTACTCTGTATATCCCGATAGGGTGAAATTTTCTTTGTTAATGAGTGAGTGAGTGAGTTTAGTTTTACGCCGCTTTTAGCAATATTCCAGCAATATCACGGCGGGGGACACCAGAAATGGGCTTAACACATTGTACCCACGTGGGGAATCGAACCCGGGTTTTCGGCGTGACGAGCGAACGCTTTAACCACTAGGCTACCCCACCGCCCCCTTTGTTAATGAGTACTGGTTACAATGTTCTTATCCGCAAGTTGTCAGCCTTTATCTATCAGGCATTGTCTCTAAGAATTAAACATAATAATTCATAGAATGTATGTACTTATATTGTTATTTGATATGATATGGTATGATATGATATGATATGGTATGGTATGGTATGGTATGGTATGGTATGGTATGGTATGGTATGATATGATATGATATGATGTGGTATGGTATGGTATGATATGATACATGGTATGATGTGGTATGGTATGATATTATACATGGTATGATGTGGTATGGTATGATATGATATGATACATGGCATGATGTGGTATGGTATGATATGATATGATACATGGTATGATGTGGTATGATATGATATGATGTAATATGGTGTGTTATGATATGATGTGATACGACAAAGTATGTGTAATGCGATGTTATATGATGCGATACATTTTGATGTGATATGACATATTGTGATATGACTATATTATTCTTTTCTATGATATTGTGTACTATGTTCTTGTATACTATGGGCCTGTATGAATAAAGATTGATTGATTGACTCGGTTGACACATGTCATGGTATCCCAATTGCGTAGATTGATGTTCATGCTGTTGATCACTGGATTGTCGTGTCCAGACTTATTTACCGACCGCCGCCATATAGCTGGAATATAGTGCGGCGTTAAACAACAAACCAACCAACCAACCAGCTGATATCACATATGACACCACTAGCCGTAGACGTTATGTGCCAAGGCGTCGGAATCATTCTTGGGGTATTAATACACACAACTCTTTAGAAAGAGGTCAAATGTAACAATAAAATTTAGTCCCATTTGAACTTACACTCTCAGCGTGTTGACATTGTCGTTGGTTGGTTGTTTAACGCCGCACTCAGCAATGTTCCAGCTATATGGCGGCGGTCCGTAAATAATCGAGTCTGGACCAGACAATCCAGTGATAACATCATGAGCATCGATCTCCGCAATTGGGATACGATGACATGTGTCAACCAAGTCAGCGAGCCTGACCACCCGGTCCACATAGTCGCCTCTTACGACAAGCATGGGTTACTGAAGACCAATTCTAGCCCGGATCTTCTTGTGTCCACTCAGGGTTAGCCATATAATGATCGCTAGCACACAAAGTCAGCGAGTGCAGAACGCCTTGCCCATTGCAGTACAGGAAACACTGACGTGCCTTGACAAAGCATCCATCAATTCGTAGAGTGGAAGATCGAGATGTGCCATAACTTTGACTGCAATAACTCTGTGAAAGTCTCGGGGACTCTTTTCGGTGCAAAACGTTGTATGGAACATCCGATGCTGAATGATGTTATGTATATTTGATGACGAAATTATTGCCTGATCATGTGTCGCGCACGACGGAAACGTGTGCATGATGTTTGAGATGTAACAGCAGGGTATGAAACTCCCAAAAAGTTTCAGCCAGACCACAGGGCTGGTTAGATGTACAACTTGCCAGCCCTGACCAAAATGTACCTGCCCACAAAAAAATATCTTCATGTATACATGTCTAAATTTTAACCCGACCGTCGGGCAGGTGAATTTGAGAATCTGGCAGTCCGTGTTGAAAATAACTCGTCCCGGGCGGTCGGGCAGGCAGGTATTTCGAACGCTGGTAATAGTTGTTATGAACATACCGATTCCATATTACAAATTACCCAATTGCGAATTATGCTCGCACAAAAGCTGCTCCCAAATTGGTTGATGCGAGTAGTGGTTTGATGCGTCGCTCGTCTCGCTGAAGATCCGGGTGCGAATCCCCATGTGAGTTCATTGTGTGAGGTCTATTTCTGGTTTAATCCGAGCCATTACTGCAATATTGCTAAAACGTAAAACCATTCTCGCGATCTTCGAGAACCGTGTTTGAAATATCGTTTGATTTATATTGTTTTAGAGAGTGAGTTTAGTTTTACGCCGCACTCAGCAATATTCCAGCTATATGGCGGCGGTCTGTAAATAATCGAGTCTGGACCAGACAATCCAGTGATCAACAGCATGAGCATCGATCTACGCAATTGGGAACCGATGATATGTGTCAACTAAGTCAGCAAGCCTGACCACCCGATCCCGTTAGTTGCCTCTTACGACAAGCATGGGTTACTGAAGGCTCATTCTAATCCGGATCTTCACGGGTTATATTATATGTGTTATGTATTAACACAATAACACCGAACTGTCCAAAGAAAGCATTGTATAACGTGAAACAAAGGCTGCCTAGAAATCTATTGTTTTTTTGGATGAAGGAAATGAGTAACATAAACCTGCAAACCATCACACTGTGTTCCAAATGTGCGCCTCAGTACCAGACAGCGCTACATACCGACCCGGATACCGTCATTTTCCTTGCTGGTTGCACGTCCGGGTTGCACGGTATCCATCATATCAGAGAGAGAGAGAGAGAGAGAGAGAG